GCTGCTGCTGCTGCTGCTGTTGCAGTTGCACTCCTGCATTTTCAATTTCGTTAAAACAAGAGCCGGAACAATGGTAGTAAAAAATATACATCATAAGCGAACATGAGGGAGGTGCTATATGCGATTCAAAAAACCGAGCAGGTATATTCACCATCTGGCCAAATAACAATTTTTTTACAATTTTAAATAAAACATAAATTCAATAAACTGGCTTTTCCTATTCCTAAAATCAGCTGATAACTTTCTAAAAACTGAGGTCCAGTGTTAACATTTTAAAGTATTGCAAAGAATACATCTTCCTTAAACTCAAGGACATCTCTTAGAAAATTCCAATTGTATTGCTTTCTATTTTTATTTCGATGAAAAGGATGTATGATTTTATTATTTATCTGGTTTAAAAGTGTGTGTGAAGTTCGTAGAATCGTGCGGGCTTTTTGATTTTCTTTCTTGTCTTGCAGACATGAAATCAAGCTGCGTTCACCCACCCTCCCACTCACACACACACACGCTCTGTGACTGGCACCAATACAGATACGCTCTGCCGGCACCCAGGACCAATGTTAAAGGCTCGATTATGCTCCCAGCGGGCTGCGCTGCCTGCCAGCGGCCAAGTTTTATTATCAGCCTCGCCAGGAGACAAGAAAAGGCAGCAGCAACAATAAAACTCATAAAATATGTTTGCCATCAAACCCCAACACACACAACGTAATACAATAGTGGATAAAATAATAGGGATTACTTTAGAAAATGGAAAAAAGGTACAGAATTTATTGAGATTCTTATCGCATTTAAATTAAGTTAATATCTAGCCACAATATGAATTAATTTAAAAGAATTTAATACAAGAATCTATTTTGTCGAATAATTTGAAACTTTGTGAAAACAACTCGGTTTTTATACTTAACGTAAGTTTTTATTAAACAGAAAATATTTTGTCGGATCTTGCTATTAGAGTTTTCTCTAAAGACAGTTACATCAGAACAATATTTTTTTAGATCATTTTAGATACAGTATTTATCCTTTTTCCCCACTGTTTAAGCGAGCTGAAAGGCACATTTCGTATTTGTATTTGCTGCTTTATTCTTCATTTAACAGCACGTCCCGCGGGAAATGGGTGGCTATGTGACGCCCACCCACCGCGACCTTTGTTTCGCGGGCCACTCGGCGCCGGCCTTTTTATTATGCGCTTCTTTTGGGCTTATTATATTCTGCCTTTACACTCATTTAAACCATTTTACAGTAATTTTGCTTATGGCTAATTTTAAGCTATTGCCCCATGGTCGCCAGAGGGAAAATCCCTACCCCCGCTGATATCTGCTCTGCGGTTTTCCTTGCGCCTTTCCACATTTTCCACACTTCTATTTTTTTATGACAGCTATTGCTCCGCCGAGAATCATTCTCTCATTTTTCTTCACTTCAGTTCGGTTAATTTTGGCTTTGTTTTTCGGTCCTAACCGCAAAAGTATTTAGCTAATTTATTATATATAAAACTTTTGCCAGCCATTAGTCGTCCCGAAACTTTCACTTTATAAATTGACAATTTGTTATGTGTCTCTCATCGTTTTCTATTATTTATCTCCGATTTTCCCCTTCGCAGCGCAGCCGGATGAAATTATTATCTATTTTTCATATCAAGCATTGGGAATTGGGGAAATCTCAGTGGCTCTCTGGCGCCTTGAATAATTCAAGAACCGGCGTAAAAATTAAACATTAAGATGGCAAGAGGCAACGGCAACGGCAAGGAGTACGACAAACTAAGCCGAGATCTCTGTCACTTTAGGTGCGGAAAAGAATTATGGATCTGGGCGGGATTTGTTTCGAAACTTGTGCAGCTTAAACGCTGGGCTGGGGTTAAGCTGTCGTGCGGAAGAAGCAGGAGCAACCAAAGCAACCGAGGAGCAACCGAGGAGCAACAAGGAGCGGCAAGGATGCTCTGGGAAAAACAATGAGAAGTGCCACAAAAGCCGCACGGCCCGACAACAAATTCTAATATTGCTTTTGTTCCTACTCCCGGCTCCTTGTGCTCCTTGTGCTCCTTTTGGCCAGTTGGGCACGCACTTCGGCCGTTTGGCTTCAAATTGAGTTGTGAGCATAAAAAACCGGGCAAATGCTCTGGGGGCCAAGCGCCAATGCGGCAAAAGTCAACTGCTGCTGCAGAGGCATCCAACGAAGGACACTGGACAATGAACGATGCTCCACAGAAAAAAAAAAAAATTATTAAAAAAAAATGTTACAAAATTTAGAATTCCACAAAAGAAATAATTAATTTTCCTACAACATAAATGATTTTTAAGTAAATCTGTACATTTATGTGGCATTCATATTTACATAAAATTTAATATTTTCACAAAGAAAGTTGTAAATATTTCATAATGTTATTTCACTGCATTTATAAATTCATGTAACGTTCTTAAGTTACAAAAGAAAGGGATAAATTTATCAACATTTTTCCTTTTTTTTTAATAATGTATTATTATTGTTTTCAAGTGCATTTAAAGGCTGTTGTCCAAGTGGCAGTGCGAAGATATTTATGGCCGATGTCCAGGGAGTGTTAGATGGTGTCTGCTGCTGCTGCTGCTGCTGCGTCGTCCGTCGGGCACTTGGTTTGAGCCCTGCTGGTAAGCCGTTTAGGGTTCAATCTCAATGGGGTCGAGGTCGATCGTTTGCCGCCAACGCGTCGTATGAGTGATATGTACGCAGTCAACAATCCAATTGCATGGCTTTTTGTAATTCCCTTGCAACCGATGTCACCGATACTGTCGTGGCTTTGTTGACCAGTCTTGACTTGGGCAATAAAAAATGATTTAAAAACGAAAATCGATTCCTAATTTATTTAACACCTATAAATAATTCAGCAAAACAACACATTTCATTTATGATACCAAACACTACATAAATTGGCACAACTAAATATTATTTGCAACAGGTGACAATATATTTTTTGTAAAACCAATAAAAGCATTGAAGAATTATCTGTCTCTAACATCTGTCAAAAACCATTTATTTTTGCTCCTCATTTAATAAAAAGCTGTTATAATTCGGCTTGTGTGCAAAGCGCAAATAATCCCACCAGCTAAGCTGGCAAAAGTTTATGTTTAGTAATTGAATTATGCAAATTATTTCATGGATATAAAATATTTGTGGCTTATTTGGTGTAAATAAATTAGCAAGTCTAAATTGTGTCAAACAACAAAGTGTGTCTGCCATAAAAGTATGTTTAATAGGTAAATTACTTGCCAATTTTCAGTCGTTTAAAAACTAAACTTTAAGCTACTTAAAGTTGAAATGAAGTTTAAGGAGAAATTGTTTAACTTTAACATAAAGCTGATTTGTTATTGCTTTTTTTATAAATATCAAACATGCAATGATTGTTGGTTCAAAAACAATAAATATTTGATTTGTTTATCATTTATTTATTTTTTATTATTAAATCCATATAATTTGCGCCCCAATTTCATCTTGTTCGCTTGAAACCACAATCTTCTTACCATTTTATCCTTTGTTTGAGCACGAACTCACCGCTTAATATACAATTTGCTGCCCTCAATATTGCCACTTTCGTGAGAGGATGACCTCTTCGCTGGCAGGATAACACCATGGAAAAAAGGGCAAACACTCGAGATCCACTACGGAATGTAAAAGGCACTTGCAGCGTGTTCCACCATTCAATTGGAAGTGCAATCGCTGGCTTAAGCAAAACGGAGGACGAATGATTCCAGGAGAGTAAAAGGTGGCAGGATTACAAGCGCCACATTCCCGGGTTTAACAAATCACCTGAAATATATATATATATATTTTGTACCCTCACCTGACGCGTTGTTTACAGCACTTAAGAATGAAAATAAACGCGTTTCAAGCTAATTAAACAATAAAAGCACAAAAGGGCGCCCGCCCCCAAAAGCAAATAGGATAACAAAGCAAATAAAAACGGAGACGAGCGGGCGGGATTTGGGTAATTCAGCAAATAAAAGTGCACGGCATTGGCATTAGTCTGTGGGCGTTATCCGCTGGAGGGGTAGAGGATTGTGGAAAGGGGGCGTGGCACAACACCCACCGCCTGCTCCTCTGACAGCTGACAAACTCGCGAGCGTGAAACGCTGGAGCGCAGAAAAGTAGGCAACAAAGACGGCAGCGATGCGATGCGATGCGATTGCAACGGTGACGGTGACGACGTGGCACAATGATGTTGCAATTTAATTTGTATTGTCGGCGGGAATGGAATGGAGATGGAGATGGCGATGGCGCTGGCGATGGTGATGGTGATGGCCATGCAGACAGAACGGAATGGAATGGTTGCCACCGACACAATTGCACTGACGGCAAAGAGAATGCCAGTTCTGGTGATGATCACGCTGACGATGATGAGAATGGCGATGGCCATGCCGCGCCTGATGAATCCACTTAGATGTCGGCTGCCTGGCAACGGCAGCAGAAGCAGCAGCAGCAGCAACAGCAACTTGTACGACAGCAACATCGGCAGCAGCCTGAGTGTCGCTTAATTGAACAGCCAAAGGACGAAATGACAGACAAAGACAAAGCTGGCGAATTGCACGTGGACATGGGGGTGTGTTCTTTGGCATGTTAACTACACAAGCTGCAAATTAAATTGGCTCAAAAAACACTACTAATTTAAGCGGGCTTAGATATAAGTTGGCAAATTCGAAATTCCTTAGATTGCAATGAATGCCATGGTTTTTAAAGACTTGCAGCATTTTCACACTTGGTTGGCTCGTTAAAATTATTTCAATTCGCAAATCAACTTGAACTGCAAATTAAATTGGCTCAAAACCAGTTCTAAATTAAGTAGAAATTTATTTTGTTCTCTATTTTGCAATTTAATGCTTGAAATGGAATTGATAAATTTTGCACAATTTTTCACACTTGGTTGATTCTTTAAAATTGATTTTAAATAGGTAAAATTCAGCAGCCAATAGTTATTACTTATAATTTTTTGGTAAGCCCTCAGGCAATTGCTACCTTCAATATAAAAACATCGAGCATAATTTCATACTTCATTTATTTCTACATAATAATGATCTTTTTAATGCCTGTCGGCTACACAAATTGGCTGCTTATGCTGTCTGCGGACCAATTGGACAAAGAAAATGATTGAAATGCATAATAATCGGTCAGGCACATGGCACCAGAAAAGGCAGGCTGAGTTAATCGCGGCACAGGCGCTTCGACGGCGGTTCCTCGTCGGTGGGGGCGATCGATTGCAGCAGCTCGGAGTTCGTGTGGCCACCGAAGAGGGTCAGCAACAGGGCAACGCCGTAGCCAGTGGCACGTTCCCCCTGCAAACAGAACAGAACAGTAGAAATCATATTAAATACGTTACGAAATAAAGCGGATTGAAAGCAATCGAATCGAATCGCGTTGAATCACTTACACAATGAACGGGCGTGGCCATATCGACGTGCATCCAGATGCCGGGATAATCGAAGCCCAGATGGGCGGCAATGAAGAGGCCGGCGCAGGAGGATTGCGCGTTCTGTCGATCCTGCAAGCGGAAGGGAAATCTCGGTTAGACATGGTGACATATACGCTCGGCTGTATGCATTACTACTGTGTCCTACTATGTGGCGCATTTGTGGATGTGCTGCTGCAAGTTGTATGCTGCATGCAACAAGCAGCAAGCAAAACTTGGCGTCGCTTTATTAAAAAGCGTCCTGTGGTGCAGCGCAACAAGGAAATATATTTATAGAGATAGATGAAGGAACAGGGGGTGGGTTTAAAACAAATCAGAGGAGCATCTCTTTAAAATAAAATGAAGATAAAATCTAGGGTTACGTTTAAATTTTAATAACAATTAAATTGAAGTACTTCTGTATATCTCAAGTTTATATAAACTTTGATATTCTTATTTCTCTTCCTTTCTTTCTTTCCTACTATTATAAATACTATTTTAAACCCAATCTAGCTATAACAAATAGGATGTATATGAAAATCACGGACACAACAATGTGTTTCCTTTTTTAGCATTACCATTACCATTTACTTTGTCCCATTTTAAATAACTTTCGAACGCACCTCGGAAGTGGCAAGCCTGGGTGTGCTAATGCCTAAATTATATGCCATGCACTGGCAGCTGCGTAGCGGAAGCAGTCCCTCTACTAACTTGAGCGGAAATTGCAGCGCTTAAATGCCAAACATAAAGTACACTTTGCACACACACACACTCACACACCATTGCACTGCGACCAGCCAAATAAAGGAGGAACCAACGCACACACACATGCGAACACTCTGCTGACAGTTGGCCAAAAAAAGGAGTTAACTGGCAGACTTCAGCAGCAGGAGCCACCGAATCGAGCGGACAGGACGAGCGGACAACTCGGGGATGCAGTGCTGCGAAAATTACATGACAACGCGCTCAGTTCCTCCTCAAGATGAAAGTCTCACACACACACTCATACATACATACGCACACACACACCTTCCGAGGGGACGTGCAAACATCGTCCGTCGAGCAGCGGAAGTCAAAAGTCCATTGAAGCAACAGAACCTAGCAGCAGACTTAAAGAATGAAATCTGAAGACTGCTGTCGGCGTTTGCCACCTCACACAGAAAATAAATTCGAAAATGTAAAATTGTGTATTGAAAACTATTAATATTTAATTTAAATTAATGGAAAGATCCCTTTGCAGTTAAGAAAATAATAAAAATATTGTTATTTGCAGAAGAAACTTTTTAAAATCAATAAGATACATTTTAAAGAAGTTAAATGACCAAATTACTGTATAACGTATATAACTCCTGCGAATTTAATTCATTTATTTCAGTGTAGCAATTGTTCCTTTGGCCTGTTGTTCCTATTCCGCTGATGAAACTCTATTTCTTCGCCGAACACTACACTGCACTGACGCTACTGCTCTTGGCGGTTTTGCAGCTAATAACTGGCTTTTGTTATGAAACTTGCGGCTGACGCTTCTCTGGCCGAAAGCGCACATATAGCCGGCATGTCCTGGCTGCTTCACTTCGGTTTGATTTGCCTGAAGACGAGGAGCAGCATGTGTTAGCCACCAAAACTTTCCAAATGCAATGTTTCCCAATGAACCAATTCAGTCGAAGGCGAGCGGAAGTGGTAAACCACAGAGTTGCAGTTCTAGTTTAAAGCAAAGCTTGTGAATCTAAAGACTTTGATTTCACTTCAAATCAATTTATTTTCTTAAGAAAGCGAAAACAAAATCTTTAACGATGCTTTAACTTGAGATCTCTTATATTATTTAACATACTAAAATATACGAATAAGTGTCTTCAGGATTCCTCTCGGATTACGTTTTACCCTCAAATGAGATTGCTTTCCAAAATTAAAGGTTAACAAGGACCTGATGTTTCCGTGGCGCTAATTAAATGTTTAACGTTTGTCGAGTCTGATCAGAGCACTCACGCACAAGGATTCGGACCGAGTTGAATCCAGTCGAATCGAGTCGGCCTTTCATCAATAATGGCAAACATTTGTCAACATAATGTCATTAACATTGATTGCATTAGGCCCGGTCCGGAATGTGCGTGTGTGCGTACGTTTGCCCCATGAAGTGAGTTTGTATCTCTCTTGGCCTTTTGTAAATAACGAAGCAACGTCAAACCCACCACCCATCCATTCCATCCAGCACCCAACGTGATTTCTCCCTCCGAGTTTGACAATGGGTCGCCGACTAATTGCGGTTTGGAACGTGACCGTATGAAGACCACCCTGTGGCATATATCCCGCCGATTTCCCAAACCAACACCATCTACGTATCAGTATCCGCATACCCATCCGCATCCGCATCCGCATTCGCATCCGCATTTGGCGATGATGCGATTCATTTGCGATTAACTTAAATTGAAATTAGCCAGCTGGCGACATTGTCTCACATTTAAGCTGCAGTTAGTGATATTCAATCAGCGATAACTGCATATATGTACGAGTTTGTATGTCGGGGGTAACGTGAGATTACATCGCTGAATGATTCACGCCCCGTGGCATCAAAATGGCTGGGAGTCCGGGAGTTGGAAGATGGGAGTATCAATTACGCATTCATTCAATAATCGAGGCGAGCACTGAAAAGGATTTGCCATCGATGCCATCAAATGGTTTCGCTGAAGGCGGCTACAGTTTTTATTCAATTTTCGCTATGTCGCAGCCAGCGCTTTAAAAACTTTGTCGCCGCAGGGCGAAGCGGACAAAAAAATATACATCTCTATATAAAAAGAGGATTCAGTGAAGGAAAAAGAAAATATTTGAAAACTCTGTTGATGCCAATTCAACTTTAAAAAATTTTTTGTAGAAGAACTCTTAAAAGAAAGAAAAACTTGGTTTCGTCTTAAAAAGTTTATCAATATCAATAAATCAATCAAATATACTTAAAAAATGTTATTTAATTTATCTAAAAGCGTTACTAAAACTCAATCTCATAAAGTAAAGTAAGCAGAGGAGTACAAGCCGGTTTTAATACAAAATGAAACCTTGAGATCTTTATAAACCGTATTGTAGTATTTTTCCTTTTACTTTCAATTTATAAAACATTCCAAAAAAAGACCATTGGCATCTCTGGCCGCCAATGAAGTTAAACGGAAACCGAGGAATAACAAGCGGAAAGATTTGTGTCAAGAAAGTCGCCGCCCCTTCAAGTATTCAACGGAAACGGGGATCATTTCGCAAAATACGTGACTTTCCAAACCTCCCCTTTTGAAAAAGGCAAAGACCACATCCCTGGTGAAATCTGCATTTAAACCACTGAGCTTGGGCATTATTTATAAACTGCTGCGGCTGGCTTTAATCAAAAAACTTAACCCCGGCTAAGCATAACCGCAACAACGATGAAATACTCGGCGCCTGGAGGTCGTGCCGTAAAAAAACTTTTGCCACATAAAAAGTTCAATGTAATTCATTAAACCACGTAAAAAGTCGCCATCGCCGCCGCCGCTGCCGCCGTACAATTGAATTTAAAATGTCGACGCCCAATAAAAATGAACTGGAGCCGGGGTCGAAACAAAAACAATTACGCATACGCCGCGTGTGCGCGCAAGAGACTGCAACACGTTGCTGCCACGGAATGGGTTTATCTAAAATTCATGCCTCTTCACAGAATACTGGGAGCAGCTTTTTACGATTTAACATAAAAATCAATTACCAACAATGGGAAAATTTTCCCAGTCATAAAACGTCGAGTAACTTTCGACTTACATTCCTTTGCGTCGTCGTCGAGAAATTGAGAAACAATTGGAAATGTTTAAGCAAATTTTATTGTCCCGCCGCCGTGTTGCTTATGTTTTACTTATGAAACAGTACTACTGTACACTCTTTACAGGGAAATGCCCCCCCACAGCAGACACTAAACAGAAACGAAAGCCGCAGACAAAAAGGAAAAAAAGTCCGCTTTACTTGGAAGAAGTAAGCCGAATGGTTGGTTGGATGGACGCTTTCTAGGTCGGACTGTCTCGCGGTCATAAAGTTGTCGAAATTCGGGATAATATTATTTTCACTTTTATTCACTTTTTGTTTGTTTCTGCTTAGTGACCTGGAAGAGGGAATTTGGTTTTAAGAAGCAGAAAGGCCCAAAGGTTAAAGGAAAGCGAAAAGTAATTTGAAGAATATTGTAATTTAATGAGCGATTGCTGCCGCATTTCAAGTTCATGGAAAATTAATAAAGAATCGAAGGAAAAAATATTATGTATATCTTTTATAATTGGTAGAACGTGTACTTTTTTTAAGAGTCTGATATTGAAACGCGTTTTATCTTCATCTGCTCGTCCAAAACAAGCTCTTAGTAAATACATTTTATTTAGTTTAAATATAAAAGTATTGATTTGTATAACTCTGTACGTGTTAAATTTTAAATGACCTGCTTTAATGCCCTAATTATCGAAATTCGTGGCCATTTGACAAGCCAAAACCACAGATAAACTTGTAAATAATGGCAATTTAAAAGCGGTCGACCCACAGACTCGAATCCCAACATCGATTTCAGCAGTTCGGGCCAAAAGGAGAACCTCCTAATTATCGGCTTAAATGGTTTCGCTTAATTCATTGCATGTAATCGAGGACATCGCTCCTGACAGCCAACAGCCGCAGATATCGCCACGCGCCAGGGGATCAGAACTCGAAAAGGGCGTGAAACAAATGGGAATCGGTTATTTAAGGCCAGAAACAAAAAAAAAAAAAAAAAACAAGGATGAGGAGAACGGGGATCACCTGGCCAACGCAAACGCTCGTGCTTGCCAAAATGAGCTGAATAGAGCCGCAGAACGAAAGCCAAAGCCGGCGGCCAACAAAGCACCCTGGCGACCGCTAACAACACTCATAATCCCTCCATTTAGTGGCGAACTAGGGGAAAAGACACCCGAAAGACCAAAAAAAAAAAAAGAAAGGTGTGTTGGGCGCAAAAAGCTAGCTCATGTAATTTAAACGCAGCGCGTGGGAATTTGCCTCAAAGCCAGAAAAAATGCGACGCTGATGGGTAGTAATGGGTGATGGGTGGGCAGGTATTTCACCTTTTTCGCATTTAACGTTGAATGCATTTGGAATTTAAAACACTTTATCACAGACACCATTGACAAAGTGCGCGGCGCTGTCACATCAACTGCAGCGGGGGCGTCAAGGGGTGAAGCGGTGCGGTGTGTAGTTCGCTGTGCGGGTGTGCACAGTGTGTTGTGTGTGTGTCTGTGTGTGGGTGAGGGTGTGTGGCATGGCCAACAACCTGCATTGGTGTGATATTTTGACTTGATTCCCATTTTTTTGCCAAGGGGAGATAGGAAGGGACGAGGAAATGACGAAAAATCAAACAGCCAACTTGCAAAAACGACACAGAGGAAAGCAGTTTTATAAAAGCTAAGAATAAGAATTCAACAATAAACATAATTATCTGAATCTAAGTTAAATTTAAGAACAGATTAAGATAATAACATAATTTATTTAATTTTAGAATCAAATTTAAAAGTTTGGAAGAAAATATCAAATATTGTTTTCAGGTTTATGTAAACATAAATTATATTATTTTCATTATCACATATTTTATTATTTTTAGATCATTTATTTTAATGATTAAACAAAATAAAATGCAATTTGAGCATTGCTAAATATTTCGAAGTAAAATTTTAAAACAAATTAAATTTTTTTAAATTGAATCTTGTTTTTAGTTTTCTAGTTGTTTTGCAACGTGTATAATCGAATGGTGGCAAAGCGGGCGATTGGCAGGTAGCCAAAATTGCCACGCCACTTGACCTGCCGGCATCTACGCACCAGCCAGTCAGTGGATCACCCTGCTACCGCCCCACCGGCAAGTGGACCTCCAACCTCGAACCGTGCCACCTCGAAGCATGCCACCCATGCGACGCCCACGGCGTGACAATGATGAATGACCATTGATCCGAGGCGCTTGCGACGTACAATAAGGTAACTCGATTTGGTTGGCTGTTGTGGCAGGAACTGGAACCAAAGCGAACCGAATGGAGCAGCGAAGGCCCGGGGCCACGACGCACCTCGCTCCGGTGGGCCAGGGCCCAGAGATGGGTTTATGGCTCACCCGCCCGGTGCCATCCCTGCATCCCAGCATCCTCAGCCCAGAGTCCTGGACACACAGGACTCTGTCTCTCACTCGCTGGCTAGCTGGCCTTTCTAATGGCTGCCAAAGTGGCTGGTGGCGTAGATTGAACGCCAAAGTTTTTGATACATGCGAATGCTACATGGGTCGAGCAGAGCGGCATGTGTGTGTGTGTATGGTTGGTGTGTGTGTGTGTGGCATAAATCAGAGTAATACTAATCAATCTTTAAACCAAACATGACGTTCATCATTTTTCCGCAACGGTGCGGTCGAGTGTAAGACAAAAGAACAACATTGAGTGCAAGAGATAAAGTTAATTAAAAATGTGTATAAAATACCGCCAGTGAGGCAAAAGGCAGAGGATGATCATGCAAGGATGTGGGGAAACGCAAACTGAAAATGAATTGAAAACAAATGAATAAAGTTACACCGAAACTTGATTAAAACTTTCTCAAAGTCACTCTATTTCTATCCGCTGCGAGCGGCCAGAAAAGTTCAGCACAGTTGTCTTCGATAATGCATAAATTAAGGTAGTTTTGGGAATTGATTTGGGGGAAACCGCTGTTAATCTTAGACACTGGAAAAGGGCATAAAATAGAAGGAGAAGTAAGGAGGATGAGATAGTTTCATTTTGTAGTTAAGATGCAAAAACTATTTAAACACCATTTAAAAGCAAGGTAATCGATTTTCAACTATACTCAATGATGGTATACAAAGTTATGCAAGAAGAAAATAAGCAAGAATTTATAAAAACATTGCACATTCCTAAAAAACACTCCTTATATATGTATCCAGAATTTCTGAAACCTGTTTTACAATAATATTTTTAATTAAACATAAAAACTTATTTACCACGTAGAACAGCGCTTTAAAAATCAAAAATAAAGTTATATTGAAAGCGCGTGGTCTACCGAGAGCTATGTTTGAATATTTTTCCCACATTTTACAAAGCTTACTCGATGCAGAAAATGAAAATTAATAAATTCCAATGGTATGGATCGCCCTTCACCGTTTTTATTTTGAGAGCAGGATAAAGTTTTCAACTATTTTACTTGCTGGTTTTAATGGTGCAAGAAAAGTACTTACCGCCACCGAGTTTTTCATATCAGCAACGGCCGAGGCGAATTCGGAGAAATGCAATTCGGGGCAATAAATTATTGGCGCCAATAAATCGCCGGATTTGCGTCCGGCCTGCAACGACTTCGCCTCCCATGTCTCCGAGTTTGTCAATACGGCACCATGATATTTGCCTGTTGCAACGCCCTGGAATAAAGAGAATAAAGAGATATATAGTATATACATACGTATAAAGTGGATGTGAGAAATCGCAAATGAAATATTCAAGCACCCGGTTCGGCAGAGATATATTTAAGAATGGTTCGCACCCGCTGGGGAGGTTTTGATAGAAAACAAGCAACAATCAACAAAATGCCAGCAATAAAACTGTACAGCAACTAACAATGTTTGAGGGGAGGGGAGGAATGCGGAGGGGGGGAAATGGGGAAAAGGTGTCGAGCGGAGGGTGCACGAAAATTGCGAGCTTCCGACGCGACCGGCAATAAAAAGGTGCAAGGTTATTTAGCACGAGCAACACCCAAACAACAGGCAAGGACTCCGTGGCGCGTGTTCAACTGCAGCTGGACAAATGAAGGCAGCACCAGGAGCTCCAGGAGCAACAAAGGCAGCAACAGCGGTGCCGAAAAGCAAGAGCGGCATGAATGCACTCAAAAATATATATGTAGGTATATGTGTATAACTTTTAATTAGAAAAGTGCGAGCCAGTTAGAAATTGGAATAAGAACATCAAAAGCAATTGAAAACCTTTACAAAATAAAATATCTTCTTTCTACTTGTTGTATAGAGGTTAATAGTTTTCTTCCAGTGCACCAGGAACCGCCACACACAGCTGAAAACAACAGCAAAAGGTGTAACAAGCAGCAGGAACATAAAATGTAAAAGCGAAAAAGTGTTGGTTGCCTGCTTTTTGTACTTGATGCTGCTGCTGTTTGCTGCTGCTGCTGCTGCTGCTGCAGTGGCAGTTGCTCCAATGTTGGCAATTAATATTATTGCATCCCGTCTAGGTGTGTGTCTGGGTGTAATGAAATTAAGCACAACAAGGTCCAAAAACGAGAATGCCGAAACAAAATGGCAAAATGTTGAAATTTTTAGATGAGAATAGAGTTGGCCATTTTTAGGCTGGGTGCCCAAGGAATTTCGCTGCGAACAATGCAGCTTTCGGGCGGAGAGAAGGCGACTGACTGTATGGCACGCCCCTCTGACCAGTTTCGATTTATTTCCCATCGAACCACAAATAACGTAAATTGGCATCATATTTTAAGCAAATTGCAGTCAAGATTTATGGTAATTGTGCGCCATCGCAGCAGCTACTCAGTCGCTCCTCTCGTTCTCTCCCTTTTTCGCTGCAGTTGAAAACGAAAACCCCACCAACCCACCAGACCACCACCCAAAACCCACTGCCCCCTGCCACTCCATCCGCTGCAACCAAAAATCGACCACAAACGACGAATCCTTTGCTGTTGTTGGTCTGCCAATGCTGGCGCTGCTATTCCTCCAAGTTGCCAGCGAAAACCAAATTTGCAATTTATTTTTCCAATTAACCTCGTGACTTTTATAAAGCGTGGCATAAATTCTCGCACAACAAGGCAGTGAACTCGGTACATCCAAGGCCACCATCCAACCCACCTGGATTGTAGCCCCACCTCCTCAGTTCGGTTTTCCTGGTGTAAAGATCTCTTGCAACCGAAATTACCTTGGACACCGGCAATATAATTTGCTGGCTGCATTAGTGGCGGAAATGTGCATTCAATCTGCTGAATTGTTGCCTTTAATCGCATTAAAAGGACACCAAAGAGTTTCCCAAATGAATGTAGCTGCAGAACAAAAAATCTTGTGGTCTGTGAAACTAACAGTCTTAATCAATAAAAGTAAATAAGTAACAAGACAAGATAAGGATTTATCTGTATTCTATCTTCGCCGGAAATGTTGAAATGGAGAAAACGAGAAGGGTTTAAGAGCTTAAGATAAAAAAGAGGTTTAAGTTTACGTTTATAAATACTTGCGCCTTATCAGTGAAACTATAATCATTTACGCACAACCCCTAGACATAAACTACTCATTCAATAAAACCCCAAAATAATGATGAAATCTATAAAATGTAAATAAAAACAAAATCATCTCAAATGTAATCGCAAAATTTCCAAGTCAGAATTGAATTGATAATATCGGAACCAATTGAATAATTTTATAATCTTGTGAAATAACATATAAAATAAAATAAAATAAAATAAAAGAAGACTCACCTGAGCTCCGGTTAATGTAGCCATGTCGAGTATAATATTGGCCTTCAGATCCTTGTTGGCATAGCAAACGCCATCGGCGAGCACCAAGCGTCCCTCGGCGTCCGTGTTGTTGATCTCCACTGTACGACCCGAGTAAAGAGTGTGAATGTCATCGGGGCTGAAAAAAAAGAATGTACAAAAATGATTAGGAAGACTTTTAAGCTTTATCTGGTGCTAATACCCACCGTGTGGCATTTGGACCCACGGAGTTCTCAGCCATGCAGAAGACGGCATGCAGGTTGTCCTTAAATCCGCACTTGACTGCCGCATAAAACGCGCCAAGAATTGCAGCTGCTCCTCCACAATCTCGCTTCATTCCAGGCATGCCGGTCTTGGCCTTGATGCTCAAACCGCCGGTGTCGTAGACGATGCCCTTGCCCACCAGAGCGATGGTCTCCTGGGCTCCCTTTGGCAGGTGGGAAAGCACCACGAGAGCAGGTGGCACGGCAGCCGCCTTCCCCACGCCATAAATACCGCCAAAACCGCGCTCCTGCAGTTCCTCGCCGCGAATAACTTGCGGCTCGAGACCCAGCTCCTTGTCCACCTCCTCGACGGCCTGGACAAAGTGATCCACGTTCATTTCGTTGCAGGGCATGTCCACAATGCGAGCGGTCAGTCGAATGGCCCGCGAGGTCTCATTCAGGCACTTTATATCCTCTTCCGACAGAGGTTCGCAGTCAACGCCGCCTTCTTTGTTGATTATCAAAAACTCGACGTTCACCACATTCCTTCCGGTATCCTTGTTTCCATCGCCTCCATCACCGCAACCGATTTCTGACTTAGGTGTTGCTGCCGCCAGCAGATTGCCAGTTTTGCGAGAGTAGAGGGGAAAGGCACGAACCACCGCACAGGCGCTGGCGAATAGATTCTCTCGCTCGCAGACCAGCACGACGGACTCCTCGGAAACGTTCAGGACATGGTTCTTCACCAGGCGGGTGATGGCATGGGCCCGCGAGGCTGTGTTGTGCCTGGAGGCCTTCAGCGGTAAAGCAGCCACCGTGGCCACATCGAGATAGAGGGACACCTTATCCGTGGGCGCCGGGTGTAAGCAAGCGACAGCATTCAGGAAGGTCTCCTCGCTTACACGCGGACTAAGTTTGCTCTCGAGATGACTGAACTTCAGCAGATTCAGATGGCGCAGCTGGCCGATGATCAACACCGGATGCGACTGCGGATCGCTGCATCCCAGCGAAGCGTTGAACTTCAGGTCCGTGGCCATCTGGAAGAGAAGACGATTGCGAATGAGTAAAGACTCGGAAATCGAGACCCGGGAACGCCGGTCGAGTGCCCGCGATAAGCTACCACCTTATCAGTGCTAATCTTGGGATTAACTCTCCGCTGAGTGCCCCACTTGCTTATCAGTCGACGACTTTGCACCACAAGGCATCAAGGCATTGACGATGCAGCCACCCATAAATCACGAGAGTGTAAAATGTAGATAAGAAGGGGTTTTCGGATTAGGGGTGATGGTGGGGCTATTTGATCTAAAGGAGGAGGCATTCAGCGGATCAGTTAAAGATAATTTTTTTTACCGAAATGAGGCATTGACAACAAAATTATCGTATTTTTTTTAAATTAAGAGTAAAGAGTAAAAAAAATAAGATATAAATAATTAAAACAATTAAACAGTTGTGTTTATTATTTAAACAACTATTCAACAAACGTTAAAATTTGTTTCTAAATTATCCGTTATTTCTCGTGACCTTGAATTCAGCGCGACAAGAACAACAAGTGGGTCGTCGACCGATTCGCGGGGTATCTAAAAAAAACAAGCACAAATTCTTATTCGTTATTTGCAAAGTATAGTTTAAACAACAACACCGAATTGTGGTTATATCTAAGCATTATGCAAATTCTCCATTCTCTATTTTTAGAACCTTGTTCATGCTTTTTCTTTTGCAAAATATTTTTGCACATTTCACTTCCGTTTATTTGCTTACCTTTCGAATGCGGCTACTGCTGTAAGTGCGAGCGAGAAGGTTGCGTACTGCCTGAACGCCAAACAGCGAACGCATCAATTGTTTGCTTCAGAAATTGCACAAATTATTGCAAAATTTGCGACTTTTAGTGTTTTTGCCTTGACAATTTGACTTGCAATTTTTTGCTTGCCGGCACCTAGTGATGTGTCCCTTGAAGCGATATATCGATGGCGACTATCGATATACAGCTCAAATCAAAGTTTATCGGTCTGGCAACCCTTTATCCAGCTGGAAGTGTCATCACTATCCAAGAGTGTCATCTCTGTCTGGAAAGCAAAACAAGCGTCTCAAAAACAAAGCCGCGCTAAATTTTAAAGAATTTCGACAATTTAAGTAAAATAAGTACAAATATGGCCATTATGAAAGTTGAATCTTCTTTTGAGAAACGCTTAAAGGCTATGTACGACAAACAGAATCGCATGGAAGCGCGGGAAGCGAGCGTCATAAAGAAAATTTTAAAATTTAACAACAATTTATGTGAGTTGCAATAGATAAATTGTTTTCTTAATTTAAAATATTTTTAATTTAAATTTTGTATAAAGTGGATGCCGTGGAAGCAGTAGTTCGCCATCATCGGAAAGTGGGTAAGTTGCAGAAAATCATCCAGCAGAGACGAGAAGAAGTGGAGAAGCGAGTTTCCTTCATGGAGGATTTGGCCCACGAAGTGGAGGCCACCAAACAGAGGAACTTGGTCATGCGTGAACAGCTAAAACACCACAAAATGTTGGAGAAACAGCGCAACAACGAAATTATGGAAAGGTCAGCACTAAGTCATAATTACTCTGCAGTAGAATTACGTTCAAATATTTCCTTGGGTTTTTAAAAACTGGAATAAACAAACATATTATATTATATGTATGTATATACAATTATAAGGTCAAGGAAAGTATGCTCCCTAAAAGCATGCATATACAAAATATTTGCCCACTTTCCCCTGCGCACTCATTATCAAATTATAAACATTGTCAAGTCGTCACGCAATGTCCCATAATTCTGTATGACATACAATAATAAAAGCAATATGTGTTCTTTTGTTTAATTATATAGCATCCACACGCTGAAGCAGACAACAGGGACCTATATAAATCACGAAGCTCTGCCGGCACGTGTGAAAGGTGTCACTGTACTGCGGAACGACAATCAAGACCAGTTAATACCCTTTGATCTGAAGGCAACCGATGTGGAAGGTCTGAACTCACTTTGTCAGCATTTTCAAAGCTTGAACGTAGACGCAACCCAGTGGCGCCAGCTGGTCTCGCTTGCCACGGAAATGTCTACGGATTCATCCACCAGGCATACAACACCGCCCAAGGACGATCGGAAGTTCAATTCCATAATTGATCTCACCTCGCCGACAAGTCAGACGTGATTTCCGATTACCCGACAATGTGTGAAGCCCCACGCCATAATAAGAATTTAAATTATAAATATGTAGTTGGCGACTAAATAATAGCGCAGTAATTTCGAATTGTACTTTAAGCAAAGCAAAGCTACTGCGGGTATTTTTATCGTGTTAAATACAACTTATTTAATTGCTGTCATAATTGTACATCAATATTTTTTACTATAACATGCATTACAAAATATATTTAGAAGAAATCGAACTTTGGCATTCGTTTCTTCATTTTTTTTTAATAAATGAAAACGTTTCTACTGCAGTCATATACATATTAAATTAGCTTCCACGTATAATCCGTTTTGATTGATCCCTTTTTAAATGCTTAAAAAAAACTTGCTGAACAAGATTTACATTGTACGCGATTTTCTTATGCACTTAAAATTATTTTTCAAGTCCGCAGTATTAGTATAAAACGACCCATTTTGGGTTACTTGTTAAAACTAACGCCAAATTCGAATGTATTAAAATTTACTGAACTAATTAAACCACTCTTTCAATGTTTGTTTATCAAGAATGTGATCCCCAAATTGTGTCATAATCAAGTCAAGTTAAAAAGTGCAGTCGAGTCCGAGTCCTCATTATCTTTTGTGTTGGCCGCCGCTGTTGCTCGAGAAATCTGAAAAGTCGTAAGCGAGACACATTGACCGTCTCACCGGCTAACCGATCTATGTATAAACGCCGATGCGATCCATATAGATTGGCATTGTTTAATTGCTATTGTCCGGCGAAAGCAAAGTGTGAGTGACTTATCGGGGGCTACAAAAACGCAGCGGCTCGGCGGCGATGGGTTCAGTTGGTGGCCGGACTCCAAGATGATCACGGAACTTCTCCTGGCGATCTGCACCGCGGTGCTCCTTTGCCTCTCGTATCGATATGCGGTGGCTCGGCCCTCCGGCTTTCCTCCCGGTTCGTTTCGGTTGGAATCGTGGCGAGAGCCCAGCAGCTAATCGGATTATTCACAGGTCCTCCGAGGATTCCGTTGTTCGGGAGCTATCTATTCCTGCTGATGCTGAACTTTAAGTATCTGCACAAGGCCGCTTTGACCCTCAGTCGGTGGTATAAATCGGATATAATCGGACTGCACGTGGGTCCTTTTCCGGTGGCTGTCGTTCACAATGCTCAGGGAGTTCGCGAGATCCTCAACAACAAGGTTTTCGATGGACGTCCTCAGCTTTTCGTTGCCGCAATGCGGGATTCCGGTCCAGATGTTCGAGGTGAGTTTGAATTATGTCCGGGCAATCGTATCAGCCACTGATAGTAGTGAACACTTTGAATGGCGTTGTTTAAAATATATTGGGGTCAATCGTGAATTAATTGTCGCTGTAGGCGAACAAAACACTCTTATCGCTGGAAACCCATTAACACTGGGTGCACTTCACTCGTAGAAAGCGAAATCTAAGTATAGGTAGTTTTTATTGATTAATATGGGGTACTTAAAACTGTTCACCGAAACATTTTTGTTTTGATTGCAGTTTAAGGGAAATTCATATATATAATATCAATTCCTATTCTCAATTGCAATAATCTGTTATCTAATCATAAAGAGTTTAGTTATCGTATCGCTAAATATAACATATAACTTTGATAATAAATCTGTTGATATATTTTAATAGTTTTTCCAAAATTTCCTTTTTCCCTGAAGGCATCTTCTTTCAGGACGGACCTTTGTGGAAGGAGCAGCGCCGCTTTATCCTTCGCTATCTGCGTGACTTTGGCTTCGGTCGTCGTTTCGAGCAACTGGAGCTGGTTATCCAGGAGCAGTTGACGGACATGCTCGATCTGATCCGCAACGGACCCAAGTATCCGCACGAGCACGAAATGGTAAAACCAGGAGGATACCGCGTGCTCCTGCCGCTGCTGTTCAATCCCTTCTCGGCCAACTGCCACTTCCACATTGTTTACAACGAGTGTATGAGTCGCGAGGAGATGAGCAGACTGGTGAAGCTCTGCCAGATGGGAATGCAGTTCCAGCGGAATGCGGACGACTACGGCAGGATGTTGAGTATACTCCCGTGGATTCGACACTTTTGGCCCGAGAGGAGTGGCTACAACAAACTGAATGAATCCAACATATTTGTGCACAAGTTTTTCGCTGAGTTTGTGGACAAATATTTGGATAGCTACGAGGAGGGAGTGGAACGCAACTTCATGGATGTCTACATTGCGGAAATGAGACGCAATTCTGGTTACGGATTCAATCGGGATCAGCTCATCATGGGCCTGGTGGACTTCTCCTTTCCGGCGTTAACTGCCATCGGAGTTCAGTTGTCGCTGCTCATTCAGTACCTCTTGTTGTATCCTTCGGTGCTGCGATCGATGCAGAAGGAAATCGACGAGGTGGTCGGATGCGGACGTCTGCCCACTCTGGAGGATCGCAAGAATCTGCCCTTCACCGAGGCCACTATTCGCGAGGGTCTTCGGATCGAAACTCTGGTTCCCTCGGATGTGCCGCACAAGGCGATGGAGGACACCGAGTTGCTGGGATACCAGATACCCAAGGTGAGTTGTTTGTTTTACAAATGTTTACTTTAACTAAACCTAAAATTTAAAATACACACACTTAATAATAATTTTAAATCCCTTACAATACATCAAGATTTTTAATCTAATCTTTCTTAACCTTCTAGGACACCATTGTGATACCCAGCTTGTATGCCTTCCATTCGGACTGTCGCGTTTGGTCGAAGCCGGAAGAATTCCGGCCGGAAAGATTCCTCGACGAGAAGGGAAAGCTCAGTCTGAAATTGGATGTTTCACTGCCCTTCGGAGCGGGAAAAAGGCTTTGCGCCGGTGAAACTTTCGCCAGGAATATGCTCTTCCTGATGACAGCGACCATGTGCCAGCACTTTGACTTTGTGTTGAGTCCGAATGACCGGTTGCCCGATCTCTCCAAGAACCTCAACGGTCTGATTATCTCGCCTCCTGATTTCTGGGTGCAGCTAAAGGATCGCCATTAAAGACTCAGTGTGAAAGTATCCAAGAAACTAGAATTACCTGATTTGTATCTTAAGAATTCTTTAAACTATATACTTTTTATAATATAAAACTAGTTTTGTAAGCAATGTTTATCTACAAATTGTTCGCATTTTGCGCCAAATATTATCATGTATTCACAAATTTTTTATGAGTATTTTTTGCCTCCCCTAAAAAACAGTTTATACCAATAGTTTGACTATGTAAAACCAACGCATAGTTATCTATTTGATCAAATTGTTATACATTAAAGAGTGTGTTTATGGCTCGCTTTCCGCCTCAGAAGGATAATCCTGTGTTAGCGAAGTTTCGGGAGGAGTAACTGCGAGAGGATCCGCCTCCAAGTGCTCCTCCGAGTGATCGGAGTAGCGTTCCATCCCCAATTCGGCATAAAGTTCGTGTTCGGAATCAGAGGTTATTTCGATATTGGACACTCCCAGCGAACTGGTCGACGAAAGGCACAAGGAAATCAGGGAAGCGATCGAGGAACGGGCACTCAGAGCCGAAGACTGAGTGGCTTCGTTCTCGGATTCGGAATCTGGTCTGTAGCCATCCTCCTCTTCCTCCTGGAGATTCGCACTCGAGGATCCCGACGTGTCCGCCGGTGCAGTGTTTTCCTCGGTTGGAGCAGCGCGACTCTCCTTGCGGAGCTCCACCACCTCGCTGAGGATCTGGTGCTGCTTGTCTGCAATGGTGGCCACCAGCTGCTCCAGGCTCTTGATCGTGGCCTCGTACTCAGTGAGCTTCTTCTTCAGCTGCCAGTTCTCCGCTCGGCAGCTGTCCAACTCCAAGGTGGCGCACATCGCGATCTTCGTGTCGTCCGACTCCGCGGATTTGGTTCTGAATGCAAACCACATTGTTACACAGAGAAAAACAAATCGTAGAAACCGCACACGATTCCGTTTTCAATATAAAACAGATTTATAAGTCAAAAGACTTATACTATTTACAAATTTTAAGAGTGTTATGATTTTGTTATTGTTTTTAATAATCTTTACTGTGAAATTTCCTTGCCCAAGTAAGGTACACATTTCATTTACAGACTTTAAAGAATATATTCAAGACATTCAACGGTTGATTGCGGGTTTTTAAAAAATCAAAATGCATGTCTACGCATTTTTATTTGAACAAGTGCGTTTAAAACTTACATGGTTATGGCACTGGATTCTCTCGAATGAAATGGGCAAGTGTGCGACATTTTGAGACTTGGAATTTACTAATTCAGTTCAGCAATTGTCTCACGACAAAATAGACTTGACCTATTTGTACCTTGAGGTATCCCCCGATATTATTTGACACTGTTCTCCTGATGTCTTGATTGGACTGCAAAATAGTTGCTAGTCCAAAGAATATCCAAGTGCATGACAGAATTTTCACAGCTGACTTGAGTTGTATAAAAACATATTCATGCAAAATCCCAAATAATTTATTAAGCCATCTGCATTTTTAATAGCAGATTAAGCTTTGTAGATGTCGATAACACCTAGATAACCCATTTAAAACGAAAAGCCTAAATAACTAGACGAAGCAGTCTATTAACTGTCAATACCCAATGATTAATAATAAATAATCTTGTCAAATTAACTGTTTCTAATTTTATAAGCCGAAGCTGATAAGACAACTTAGGCGACATAATAAAAAGCCAACTGCAAGATAACCAGCTGTTCGGTCTTATCAATATTAAAAAAGAAAGGTTGTGGTGAGGTTGAAGTACTTGAGATTAATAAATAAATAATAATAAAAAGTCATAGGATCATAAAATATTTTTCACAATCAAATTTCAGTAATATTAAATGTAAGTTATCAAAATATTGCTGCTACTTACTTCTGTTCTTTTCTTTAGCATGCATGATCGTCTTGAGCGTCGGGATCTGCTTTTCCTAGCACATTTATCCTTGCTTGGCCTTCCCCTGTGGATCCTCCGTTGGCAGCAGGAACAACATTCCCTGGGTTGATTGGCACAGCCCGAGCAGCTGGAATGATTTCGATAGATGGACTTCGTTGACCGACGATCTACACAGGATGATGTCTTGCTCCGCTTTTCTATTTTAGGTTTCCCCGATTTGCGCCTGTGACGATGAGTGCAAGACCTTTGCTTTCTGCTTTTTTGGTTCTGCAGCAAAGGGGTTTTCAATTAAATATAAATATACATAGATATATATATGCTGCACTCACCTTCATCCGATACTTGCACTTATCACTCGTACTTAGAGCATTCCATTCTCCGGCTGCCTGACGAAGTGCATATTCCTGCGAGACTTCGGGATATGTGCTCTGCTTTTCCATCACGTAACTAAAAAAACCGTTTACATAAAGTCCGGATTCCATTTTTGTTTCACTAAAAATTTTATAAGAAATATCTAAAAATGAAAAACCTAGAAAATGACTAAAGCTGTTTTGGTACAAAAGTGTAAGAAAAGTCCAAGCATATGTTGATTCAAAATATAATGTTTAGAAAGAACCTTCGTTTGCAAAGATAAAACACATCGCTTGTGGATTTGTTACAACTCATCGTTGGCCTTAGTTTATTATAATGTATATTACAATTTGGTTAAAAACTGTTCGCTTAGCCTATCAACAAGCAGTTTAACTTCAAACTTATAGATAATTTGTAACTATTGTTAGCCGTATTAGATAAGCGAGAGTCCTTTCGAGGACCCTTCTCCAAGTATTGCTTCGACTCCTAAATATCAGCTTACGGACTACTTGATTTATATTCACGTTGCACTTGGACCTGGATCCGTGCCACTAACTTGGCTAATACTGGCCACTCCAGTTCACCCAAGGCGGTTATTCCCCCCATCCCCCGGGGACTTTTGGCCTTGGCCCTTCGCCGATTTGTTCGCCATTCCTCACAACGCAATTAAAGGGGTTTGGTTCGCTTTTAGTAGTAGGCCTGCTTTATGGCCGCACTGGTGATCAGGAAAGCGGAGCCAATCAGCATGAAGGTGATGATTTTGAGAGCACTGGGTCTACCGGAAGAATCTGTAAAAATAGGCGAGTTAAAATTAGTAAACCAATTTTACAAGATTTAAATACAATATTGGTAATAAGGAAGTCTTTTACTTCACTAAATTATAGAAGTTAAGATTTCTTCATTGATTCTTTATTTATATTTGTAGTCATTATTTGATATACTTACTTTTCTTGTTGGACACCACACGAATGCACTGTTTCTGATCGGAGTTCGCTGAATAACCGAATTTGCACTGGCAAACTGAATTGCGACACTCCACGTTCTCGGGATCCTTCTCTATATAACATTCTGTGGCCTTGGTGCAGGATTCTCCAAGCTCTGCAAAGATATTTCAAATATTTTTAAATTGAAGTTGAAAGCCTAAAGTATTTAATTTACCTCGTTTTATTTCACAGACTCCATTTTTCTCATGCTGCTCATCGGTGCAACCACACTTGCCCTCCGAATTGCAGCTGGCCAGGAGTGGTTTGCACTGCTCATCCTCAACGCACTCATCCTCCAACTCTTCAGCTAGAAAACGGAAAAGGTTATTATCATCATAATATTTCTCTTTTTACTTTGCTCGTAATTTAATCCCTTTATAGTTCCTTGTTTTCTACTTACCTTCCCTGAGGCACTGATCCTTGAAGTGCACATATCCCTTGCGGCACTGGCAGGTGCGCGACTCGTCGTCCTTTTCTTGGCAGGTGGTGTTCTCGGCAACGCAGTCGTCCTCCACGGAGCAGTCGGCACCGATTCCCCTCAAGCACTCCTCGTCCTTCTCGAAGTAGTTGTCCGCACAGACGCACAGGCGATTGGAGCAGACGGAGTGGTCCACGGGACAGGCGTCGTTCGACTCGCACTCGGCTCCCAATCCCTGCTTGTATTCACACAACTGCTTGATGGCATCGTACAGGGCGTACTCCTCGCAGGTGCACCTCCTCGGGATCTCCGGGTGGCAATAGGAGGCTCCAAAGGGACTGCATTGGCTGTTCGAGGTGCAGGACAAGTGATACTGGATAGCTGTTGGTCAGAAAAGTGATATTAAATGGTTTCAGAGAGTATATAAAGGGATCCCCTTACGTTTCCTGCAGTTGCGAAGATCCCGCTCGTAGAAATAGTTCTTTTGGCAAACGCAAGTTTTGGACAGCTCATCAAACTCATACTCGCACTCGTCCGTGCTCTCCGCAATTTCACCCAACTCTATGAAATAATATCTAATTAATAAATTACTTTGGAGATTGAAACTCTTTCACTCACCTGCAAAGCATTTGCCATTCTTGGCATAGTATCCCTGGCGACACAGACAAATGTTTTTGGTGCAAATCGAGTGCGGCAGACCCGAACATGTCTTTCCATTATCCGTACAGCTGCTGCCATCTAATGATGAAAAAAGATGAAAAAATATCGGTTTAAAATTGGTATAGTAAAAAAGGATCGAATATTTGAAAAAAAAAACTCTTATATGAATACTGGTAAAATCCAATACACATTAAAAAGAAACATTTTATTGCAGATCATTTAAGAATCACAACTAGACCGTTAAGAGGGATGTATCTTTAAAATTTAGTTGTAATCGGTAAAGTTATGGTAATGCAACCCATCGGAAACTTAAAAAATTCAGACATGAACAGAGATAATTCAATTGAGAAATAAAAATGCGGATCAATTAAGATTAAATTTGAAATCCAGTTTAAATTTGCTCACTTTTTTCAAGCCTTCGGAGACTTGTAAAAATCGAACACGAACAGAGAAAACTACTCACACTTCTTATCGTCGGCGTCGTCGTCATCGCGGCTGGATCCCAGTGTGGAGTAGGTCTTGATGTCCTCGTCATCGAAGCGGAAGAGGGCGGGCAGGCGGCGGCGGTGGTTGTGGGCGTGGCTCTGGTTGCGGCTGGAGGTGCGCCGGCTGCTGGTGCTCGTGGAGGCGGTGGCTGTGGTGGCTGTGGTGGTGGTTGCGGCATTCCTCACACTCCGTCCCACATCCCGGAGCTCCCTCAGCTCGTACTTCTCGATGCTCGTCTGCACGGCGATCTCGTGGGACCGGGGCGAGATGAGCGGCTCCCGATCGCCGTTGGTGAGCTGGGCGAAGGACACCTGGGCGGCGGCATCGCTGTGAGTGGGCGGGGGGCGTGCACGAAGGCCTTGGTTAGCTGGCGGCGACTCCGGAAGGTCGCCTCCTCGGACTCCTCGGGCTCAGCGGTCTCGGTGGTGATCGCCTCCGCGGTGGTCGAGTCGTCGTCCTCGCCCGGCTGCGTGGTCTCCGTATCCTCCGCTCCCGGAGCAGTGGTCGTCGGGATCTCGTCCACATAGGTGCACACTAGGCCCACGCACTCCGCTCCGGCGCCCAGTGCATCACAATCCTCGTTGACGACGCAGGCATCGTTTTCTTCTGAAATTTTGAATGGTAATCTATCAGACTTTAAGGAAGGCAATAATGCTCTGCAATAATTTGGTTTTTAGTCTTTAATAGTACCACGTATTTATTATTTATAAAACCATCAGAATATTACCGATAATAATTAGTGCTTTATTAAACTATATAAATTAATTTCAATCAACTGGAACTTTTCGAATTCATTTTTGGGTATAAGATTTTTAAAGGTTTTTATGCTAAATCAATTTTATCTCTTTTAATACAGCTAGATAAATAATAATGTTAGGGACCGTATTTAACCGAATAACTAAGGTAATTTTATATCAATTAATACATCAAGGCAAATAATAAATTTCTGTACTATTTTGTTAACATTTCTTTTGTAAAAAGAAAAAAGAAATAAAATGATTTCACATACACCAAGTCTTAGTCAATGTGTTTATTTTCTCTGGAGGACCTGAGGATATGCTCTGATCTTATTAGGCATATGAATTAAGATTGCTTTTTAGCTAAGCCCCGAAAATGACTTTTCTTACTCACCCATTGATTTGCGACGACATATGTTTCCATATCTATTATAATAGCCATTTGCACAGCCGCACACGTTTTGCTGACAACTCACAGACGCACGATCGTAGCCAAAATAGCAGTCCAAGTCCTACAAAAACATGGCTTATTAAAATAGAACAGATCATAGAGGATCAGATGTAATCGATCTCACCGTTTCGCAGGACTCGCCGAGTCCGTTCAGTGGGCGACACTTGCCACGCAGATAGTTCTGGCCATCGGCGCAATCGCAGACCCCGGCTTTACAACTGGCCCCCGTTGGCATAAGATTGCACTGGACGCTGTCGTCGCACTGGTCACCAATGAGGGACGTCGCCAGGCATTGGGTGAAGTTGTCCGCGAGGACCGCGTCGAATGTGGAGCACTCGCACTGCCCGCTGGCCAAGTCGCAGCTCGAACCGTCAGCTGTGCAGTCCGCCGCGCTTTCACATGGCCAAAATACGGCCAGCGCGCCGCCTTCGCCTGCAACGGGTTAAAAATGGGTTAAGAATGGGTTAAGAACGGGTTAAGAATGGGTAAGAATGGGTTAAGAATCGGGCGAAGCGACAGTTAGCCTGGTTAAAAATTAACGTATCCGCGGTGCCTGCGTCCACACTCGGATGTGTCGACCCAGTTCCGGGTGCCTCACTCTCTTTTGGGGAAGGAACCACGGAACCTAGTCACTCAATTATTTAAACAGGGATCCAGTTCCCACCGTTGATTAGCAGCCTTTGCATTAATTTCTAGAGAGTTAGGCGGGTGTGTAAATCTCAGTGATATAACTTTAAGTAACAACAAATATAAACAGACTCTTTTTTATATATCATTTCATAATTAAAACCAAAGAATAACACAACAATATTACAATTTTATATATGATCATTATTAAAAAAAATATATTTTCCTACTATTTAAAATCTTTATGTAACTCCGAATTAAGTTTTTTTCTTGACGATATCTACCACTACAATTTTTTATTTTTTTTTCAATGTGTCTTGCACCCTTTTGTATAATCTGCTATTTCCCGGCTATAAATTCCTAATTGATTGAACACATCCTCGTCAATCTTGGCGGGGCCACGCCCTCTTATCCACCTGTCCAGCTGATTATTAACTCCACAAAGCTCCATTCCCAGTCCCAGTGCCATCCTTTGGTAACCGAATTCCCTGCGCCGCGACGGCAAAGCTTCTTTTGGCACGCAACGTGTCGGGGCCGCAATTTATTACGTATACGCCAACGACTTCCGGATGAGGTTGCGGCAGCGAACGAAATTTCCATATAAAACAGTATCAACGCAGCCAGCAACAACAATGCGAAAAGAATGGTAATAACAATAACAATAACAATAACAATAGTACACACAAAGGGAAAATGCTGAATTTCGCCCGACGCTTTGCCACTTTAATTTCCATTTTCCGTGGCCGGCAAAACAATTTCTCAAACCGCCAAGGACCTTGGGAGCAGGACCTTCGTGAGAGACGTTTTTTGGGGGGCGGTGAGCGGTGGGCGGTGGGGTCAATAGGGCAAAGTACTTGACCTTGATTGCGTTTGCATTAATTACTCCCGGTTTTTTTTTTTTTTCTTTAATGTTATGACTGCCGTAGGCCAACGATATAGTATTTGTCCACCAATTCGGTCTGCCCTTTTCGATGGCCTCACACCCGATTAATCGTGACTTTAATTCAATTACCGGAAATCGCTCACGACATTTGTGAATAGTATTTGGCCATATGATTTTCCCCCACTTTCCTTTTCCTTTTCGCTCTTTCTTTTCTTTTACCTTGAGGATTCAGGAGCGCGCAACACAAAACGCCGAGTATTACAATCCATTGGAGGTTCGACATTTTACCAATAAGACTGATTTCACCCGAACCGCTGGCTAATATGGCCGAAAGGCAACTGACCATTTTAAGTGGGGATCGGACTTGGTCGAGTGGTCGATTCCGGTTAATCTTATCTGCTCGTCTGCTATAATAATACTCATACATCGATGATTAACCGGTGGCATTTGGGCGTTAGGCGCTGGGTTTTCCAGATAATCTCCATTTGGAATATCGCGATGTGGAGTTTCAGCTGGCGATATTGGCCAAATGGCACCGGAATTGGTTACCAGGGCTACAGTGATTACCCGCTTTGTTGGCCAATCGCTAGTTACTCCCGGCGGTATCAGTAAGAGGCCACTTATCAGCCAACACCTGGCTGTGCACACCTGTTCTTGTGGCCTAATGGTTGTAGTAAAATGGGTGTTAACCCTTCTCGTCTCTCGCCAAAAGTTGAGCTGATAACGCTGAGGCAGCAGTTTTATGCCGATTGTTGGGTTCTATAATAATTTGTTGGCTTTGCTACTTAGTAAAATAAGCAATCTATGAATCACCCCAGTACTTTTTGGCAGATTTAGTGGCAATTAAAGCCTGTAATGGAATAATCTTGTTGCTGATAATTATTCTAGGCGTGCATATTTTGATATTATTTATTAGAAGGTACTACAAACTATTTCCTACAAAATATTCTATAGATTATTAAGTGAGCTTTCTTTGTATAGCTGAAATATTAGTTATTTTATTGTCTTTCTAATTGGTTTTTGTTAATGTTGTTAATATGTAAATATTTTCTTTTAATATATTAAAGCAATAAAATTATTAAAAAAGGTACTACAACGGTTTTGGGAGTCCCTTGGAATACCATCGTTATTATTATCTTATCTACGAAACATTACTAAGAAGACAATGTTCTGGGACTCTTTCAGGGTCATTTCGGTTGGAAGGTCACTCTGCGTGTTTTCAATTTTTTCATGGTTTTCTGAGCCTGCGCTTCAGTCGCCTCAGGCTTGTCCGACGAGGTTGTAAATTACTAATTGCAGTGTATTTATAATTCAATATGAATTATGTGTAAAAATAGAGAAACAACGTCGAGTGTCGCAAGAGGCGACCTTGAAACTGTGTAACAATTTGTCCATAAATAAAGACCAATCGATGTGCAGGGGTTTAATTTGGGGTCAATTAAACATCATTCCTCCATCAATTCCTTAAATCAGTGCAAACTGCAGTTGGCATAGGAAAACCCCAAATGGTAATTACCCCAAAAAAGTGGACTACTTCAGATTTGAGTGGCGTCCAGAGCATAATGAATGGGTTTTCCTGGAGTGCTGTGAACATGCGTAGGCTTCTATTATATTTGTTTGTTGCCTTCTCCTGGCCGCGTTTCAATTTTCCCGCTAGCTAATGTTGTTATTGTTTGCGGGCTTTCCCTTCTCTTCTCAGAGACATAACGTAAAAGGACATTTTGTGGCTATAAAAATGCTTTGCCACGCACGCGATGAAGTGAAAAGAGCAGCGACAGGTGCAAGAGAAATTATATCCCTTCTACCACCCCAACCTCACATATTATATACAACTTTTTATATACACTTTGGTATGGATTTGTAAATGCCCAAAGTTATTCGGTACAAGTGCAAGGACGCACTTTGGATTTATCGACTTCTGTTTGCCCCATTTAAGTTCGGTGTCTTTTTTTCGGCTACTCACATTTGGCTTTAAGTGATTCCTGTTGACGGTGTAATCCAAAAATCAAATAATCAGTTTGTGGTTTTTTTCAGCACACAAAGCACACTCTTCACTGTTTTCTGATTTTCTTATCACTGTTGGTTGGCTATTTTTGTGCCACTAAAGGATCGCGGAATAATTTGAAATAATCATTGATAGAAAACGTTGCCAGTTTGGTTAACATCTCGAATCCATCTTTAATCAACTAATGCATGCAACAATGAAGTCAACAAATAATACTAATAATAAACTAAATTAGTGGATTTCAAGAACACATGCTACTGGGCTCGTTAGTTAACTGGGAATGGATATGGGGATGGTTATAGGAATCGAATTGGGAATGAGTTCCACATTCGATATGTAATAAATGACGCCCTATTAATGTCTTTGTATTGGTGAGCCCCCACAACCGTCGGTTTTTTTTTTGTTCAGTCGGTGATTTTGGTGTGGTTAAAACACGTTTTTATATTCCACACACAATCAATACTCATTAAAATTTTGAGAATAATTATGTAATGAATAACTTTAATTTCTTTATTTTCTCTTGCACTAATATTAGTATGGTTTTCTGGCATTTGAGAGGCCCCTTTATAATCGATTAATTTTACTTGTTTAAAACAATCATTTATTTTGATGAATGATTGTTAATTAATAAAGCACTTGTTAAAATACCACTGCATTTTATTACGCGCACTTCGTTCTTAAAGGACTCTTTCTTGGAACGAAGTCCCTTGCCACGAACGTAACTTGATCCTTTCGTAGCGCGCTTCAAGCCGCTACTAATGGCTTTACCGTTGGAATCGTGTGTTTACGGCTCTCAGCGACAGCGAATAAAAAACTGAGCGGAATGCGAAAGTGAGAGTGAGAGCGGGAGCGCAAGTGAAAATGCCCTAAAAGGACGAAGGCGGTTTCTACACTTACAAAAATTAATGAGAACGCTGATTTGTTTTAAAAATGTTTAATTGCCTTTAAATTGTGTACCTAAATATAGTTCACTTATTAAATTTCTAACTCCATAACTTTTTAAAAACATATAAGCCGGACTTAACAAGACTTAAGGTTTTTATATATACTGATATTCATAATTCATAATTTTATAAGGACAGATTAAAACTACTTTTCCAATATTTAAAGTGCATTAAAGAGAGAGAGGCACTTAGAACGCGACTTGTGGTTCAGTCACGTCTTCGTGCTCAAATTATTAAGGTAGTGGTAACTGTATTTTGACCCGCTGGCAGAGCAACAATTTTCCGCCCTTCAACTGTCGTGTCATGAAAACTTTGAACTATTAGAGGGCTCATAAAGTTCTCGCAGCAAAAAATATCTCACTCACCAAAGATAGAAAAATGAAAGAGCGAAAATAAATTATACAAAATTACTTTAAATCACTTGGCCAAGTTTTCATTACAAGATAATGATTTCCGGCCAAAGGAGAGGGCCAATTTCCATAAGCCGCCATAAATCCCTGCCAAAAAGTGCAGAAGGAACAAATTTGGGTCAAGTGGCCGCATTGGAATTGAACCTCCTCCGAAATTCGGCCAACACTTGTTTGCTCTCCATCTTTTTTCGCTTTCTCTCTTTTGGCCAGGTTGGGAATACAAAGGATTCGTCGGAAATGGTAAGCCACAAAAAAAAAACACTACCTAAAAAAGTACAGAGAGAGTGTATAAAAAGTTGGCAGTATAAAAAGTTGGGGTTAACCCCTTTACCACTGAAAAGCTATTCACTCAGAGGGCCAACTCTGTTGGTCAGCAAAAGTCGAGTGGGTGTGCGTGCGACTTCCTGAAGGACATAATATCGGAAGCTTATCCGGGATTCATTATGGTTTTGTTACCTACGGTATCTCGGTAATTGGATATGTCTGACATTCAATTAGGGGAGTGTTTTTGAACTTGCAGATGCAGCTTAACCAAGCTAAGATGATTTCAAAACTTTTTTTAGTTTAAGGATGTAGTAGAAATGGCCTATAAATAAACTTGAAAGTAGAAACGCATTTTGAATAATTTAACAGGAAGTCTAAATATAAGATTTCCTAACAGTTGTCCCAAAATAGCAATTAGAGGTCGTCCATATGGAGTTAATGGTAAAACTTATTTAGGTTATTATATGCCATTTTTAGGCTCGTTTAGCATATGCTGTACTTATGGTAACAATGCCAACACTAAATTAGAAGATGAGAGTAAAGTAAACTAGTTCAAAAAATGAGTATGAAATGAAAATTAAGAACTTAAATTATTATTCAAAGATTCAAACAAAAGTTTAAATATTTAATATTTAAAATATAAGTTTTTAGTGCAAAAAGTTAGAGAATTTCCACCGTGTTCAAAATAGAGAGCCTAACCTTGGCGACTGGTGTTAAATTTTGTCATTTTCAGTTTTAGGAAAGCATGCATGTCCTATGTACACAACATTTGTTTTTACGACCGAAGAGAAAGTGGGTGAATGCGAGTGTGGAAATTGGTTGGATTTTCCCGCGCGCAGTTGGCTCGGCAAAAACTGGACTCCCTGGCGGCCAAAATGGCTATTTTTAGACGGAAAACAAAGTGTTTCGCTGGCCAGGACACGCGACCAGGACACAAGGTAACGTACCAGCGCCAAAGGTGGAGTAACATGTTGGCTATGCAAATGCAAACAAATGCATTGCCCTCGAGATTCGATGGCGACATATGCGCTCTCGGCAAATAGGAATTGGAATAGGAATACCTGAGTAAGAAATCCCAAGAAAAGGTGAACGGAGGACGCGAGGTTTAGTCACTCGGCGAATGGGGCGACATATGCGGCGTATAAATAAAAAATCAATCAAAAAGTCTGTAAATACGTAAAACGTTCCCGAGTTGTAGAACGAGCAGTATACTCGTGTGTACCTCGCCCACTCCCCGATATTCCCATATGCATGCCAAATGAGCCAACAGCAGGACATCACAAAAGCAAAACAAAGAAAAAAAAAAATGGAAAAAGGAGCGGAAACAACGACAACTAACATGTGCGGCTCATAAAAAATTCAAAATTTTAATCGAAACATAGTGCAGGTTGAGCGAAAATAGAACACGCTGCAATGAGAATACGCGATGCGTTCAAATAGATAAGCAAAGTGCAACCAGTTGTCTGCGAATTCAAATATATATTTATGGGCATAAGGATATGGAAAAAATATATTGCTTCATTAACGGCTAAGAAGGCCATTAGGGTACATTTTTGTAGAAGCTGGCCTTCTAATAAATTAGTATATATTAAAGTTTATATTATATATGGCTTATTGTACTTAGTCAAGCTAATTCGAACTTGTAATAAATAAAATAAATTCAATGTGATATAATAATTATAATAATATTTTGAAACATTGAATCAGTTACGCTTTATTGACTGTTATAGCTTATAAGTGCCAATTCACTAAGACATTTTTTTGGCATACTTATGAACTCCATTTCTTCGAGTGGCGATGCCACTAGCCTAGTCTCCTTAAAGCCAAGTCTCCCCAAATCCCGTTATCAGACAGTTAATTACCCAAAATCTCTTAAAAAAGTAAACAAACCAAAAGAATAACAAGTAACGGGAAATATTGTTGTCCATATTTCTGCGCTCTTATATACTTTGTTTGTAATACTTAGTTTTTCATATTTTGCAGATTACAACCAGATGTTCTTGGTGCAATGCAGACTGCAATCAAATTTACCTGCTTTTTTTTTATTTATCTTGGTCGGAATAACGCTATCGGTTGCTGTTCCAGGATGAAAAAGAGATTCCTTAAAGTCCGCATAAACCAAGACCAATGTTCCCGTGGCCACGCACGCGCACTCACACAATGTTTTGTTTCTGTTGTTGTTTTTTATAGGGGAATCAACGGCTGACACGAGCCATTCGAAAGCCAATTGGCTGTCAGACTGTCATTGGACTGGTCAAAGCGTGCACTTTGACCCGACTGCACCCCCGAACCCACCATTCGGACCAACAAAGTGCAGCCCAGTTGATTGCACAAATCGGAACGTGAACCGTGTACAATATACAAACACATTGCTTACCATTATTTCTGGGATTGCTTTCACTCTTTTATTTTTTTGTACCTTTCCTTGCACTTTCCCTCGTAACTTGGGGCCAAAAAAATGTGGGTGGTATCTCTTGGTTGGCCTAGAATTACGAGAAAATAAATGGGAAATTAAAAATAAACCGGATTAATGCGTTGATGTCAAAAGGATTAATGGCTTTTCAGTGTGTTAAGAATAAAAATAAACAAGTGGCATTTATTTTATAATAATAATTTCCTAAAAACAAAAAAAAAGTTTTCATATGCCGAATTAGGTGACCGTATCTACATAGTTTCTAGTTGGGTTTCCAAATCGTAAGTTATGTCCATTACATTTCAGAGCTTTCATGTGACTGATGGCAAAGAAAATAAGTGCAACTTTCTGATCTGGGGTTTTGTGGAGAATTCTTATCGATTTACATAGGTTACAGCGTTGTTGCTGTCTGGTTTACAGTTGCCAGATAAATTCTCCATATTTCGGCGAGAGAGCGACGATTAGCTAGCCACCAAATCGTGACAAATTGCAAATAATTTCGCGCTGTATAACATCTCCAGGCGTTTGCAGTTGCAATGCCAATCAGTCGCTCCATAGCTCGGGTTTCGCTTGGTTTATTGCCAAATTCCCAATAGGTGTTTTGTGTATGTTTTTTGTTTTTTTTTTTTTTATTGGCATTCAATTAAAAGTGTGACAGAATGAAGAGCAAATCGTGGACCCTGCCACGCCTTTCGGATCAATCGAGTGTGTCCGCCCATTCGCTTTTGGGATCCGTGCGTCTGACCTATACAATTTGTGCCTTCGTATCAACCTGTCTCCATGCTGCCATGAGAAATATGCTCGGCATGATCATCCTGAAAATGGTGATGCACCGACCGGAAGATTCCCTGGAAGTTCATCCAACTGGGAGTCATATCACTAATGACTCTCGGGTTGTGCATAACCCAGTGATCCCCGAGGTTCAGGCAAGTTTATTTACCTTTGAACGTCTGCAAATAACTCAGTCCTGCATATTCTTACGAGCAAATGTTATACAAAATTAACATTAAAAACAAAAACAAATAGAAGTGCTACTTAAATCTTAAAAAGTGATATGCAAATACTCTTAACAATTAAAATGCCTTAAACAAATTAGACATAAAGTAACGATTACATGAGCTTTTTTAAAAACCAGCAGCTACTTCATTAAAGACAATACAAACACTACTCGTTTACAATAATAAATAATCGCTTTGTGTAATAAGCAAAAAAAAAATCAAAATAAAATAAAATAGTGTACATTTGAACAGAGCAATGCCATTCAAAACCGAAATTTTATTTAAAATTTTAGTTTAATTCAATTTTTGCAGACAGGCGGTGACTTACCATGGACTCGAAACCAGGAGCTGAATTTTCCGGGGGTCTATTACTACGGCTTTGTGGTTTCCATCTCTTTGTCTGGATATTTGGCAGACCGATGCAGCAGCAAGGTGTTGTTTATTATGTCGCTGATTTTCGAGGGGGTGGCCTATGTTCTGCTCCCAACGATGGCACATTATAGTTTCGAGGCGGCGGAGGTTTGTCTAGTTATTTGCGGCTTGCTGGCGGTAAGAGTAGAAAAACTAACATTTTATAAACTTAATTTAATAAGTATTTCTACCATAGGGTTGCGGTAACCCGGCAATGTACAAGTTATTTGTTACCTGGGCTCATCCCACAGAGCGAACAGCTCTTTTGTCCTTCGCCTACAGCGGACTTCTCGTGGGATCCATGCTGGTTTATCCGGTGGCCAGTTACCTGAGTAATTTCAGCTGGGAAACGTCCTTCTATGTGGTGGGCGGAGTTTCGCTTGCTTTCGGCATCACCTGTGTTTTTCTAGTCTACGATAGTGTTGATCGGCATCCACGCATTTCGGAGATGGAGGTGAATTACCTAAAGCAAGGAAGGAATCCCTTGGGGGTTCAGGATCAGCAGGTGAGCTACAAAAATGTCAATAAAATAATACATTAAATTCCATATATTGAATTCAATTAAAAAATAAGTAGAGCAATAAAGTTTCTATAATAAATGTTGTTTTCTGATGTTTATCTTACCTTGCAGGTGTTAAGGGTTCCCTGGAAGAGCCTATTGACGTCGCCATATGTCTATGGCTTCGTCCTGACCCACATGTTCCACACCTACACCTTCCTGGTTTTGTCTCTAGTGATGCCGCGATTTATGCGAGAGGCTATGGAGTTCGATCTGCAGGAGGTAGGAATCCGATCGGCGGCTCCATATCTGGGCGGGATCTGTGGAAAGATGGTGTGCATCCTGGGTGGCAGCTATGTCGAGCGTCGCGTGGGTCCCGATCAGAACTGCATGCGAAGGATACTCTATGGGATCTGTTAGTTGAGCAAGCCATTCCCGATTATTCTCCTTTTTTCTTAACCAAATTTTATAATCCAGGCAGCATTCTGACTACTTCTTTTATTGTGGTCATTATCCTTGCTGATTCCAATGATAAAGTATTAGTACTGCTGATGTTTGCCTTCATGATGGCCTCCACGGATATGGGTTTTAGTGGCTACTGGCCCACACTTTTATATTTTGCGCCCTCTTTTGCGGGACTACTCTCTGGATTGGCAAATGGATTAGCCCATCTCTCCGGATTTCTGGCTCCCCACCTTGTCGCCGCTTTGGTGCATACTGTAATTTCAACCTATAAAAACTTATAAAAAAGATTAATTTTTAATAATATCATGTATCTCATAGGGAGGCAAGAAAGAATGGAATGTGGTACTGATCACGCTGATTGCTTTTAACACAATGGCCATGTTGGTATTCGGATTTTGCAGCAGTACCAATCTGCAGCAGTGGGATCCCCGAAGCGAAAAGGAAAATGTTACATCTGCGACAGCTAAACCAAATAATAGCTAACCAATCTGTAGTTGATGAATATTTTAATAGTTTTTACTCTTATTTTGTATTTTAAAATTGCGTGTAAAAATTAAAAAATGTTGAATAGATAAAGAAAAACAGACTACTCATAAAAATCCATTTTATATTCAAAAACAGTTAGAAAACATCTTAGAGAGCATTGCCAATTTGAAAAGAAAAAGGTGCAAATCAGACTATTTTAAATTTTCAAAAGACGTTGCTGGAAAGAAATCAATCGATAGCTTTGAATTAGGTTTGAGTCACGGCTTAAATGAGCACTGTATTAAACCCTGAAATCAAAAACTATTCGGATCAAGGAAATGTTATTATACATATAAATAAATATGTAAGAAAAATATAAAAGATTCGAATGAAATATTTTGACTAGCCTACTTTAAAGATGATTTTACTAAATCGATTACCCCAGCAACTATCGATGCATCGATAGTTAAATCGATGTTTCTTCTCCTCTACCTACTTGCTTTATTAATCATTTCAATTTTTTTCAATTCGTTTGCTTGACGTTCACGGACGTAAATCCGCACACAGCCCTTACTCGAATACGTTTTGCAATAGATAAATCAAAATTCTCCGTGTGGATTCTATCTGGGATTGGATGCAACACTAAATTGCCTGTGTATTCTAGCTTTTCTAACGACGCAAAATTCTCAGTGCAAGAAAAAAAATAAAACGACTTTTAGCAACACAACATAAACCGATAATAACAACAAGTCGCCTGAAGGCACCAACTCCAAAATATAAAGCGGAAATTGGACAAGCTTCCCGACGGGATTGGATGTGAGTAGATGGGATCTACAGGATCGCCCCTGAGTCGCGATATTCATACTAAAATAATCATCCACACAAATATGCTCAGAGGGGGAAAGGCGGAAGTCAGAGAACTTGGCTTCCTGGTTTTTCATTTGACTTTTGGCGCTTCCGCCAAAACACTTAAACGTTCACTTAAAACCGCTTCTTGACAAATCAATAAAGGCCAAGTGTCGGATCGGCCATTAACTTGGCGTTCCTGCACGTACACATAGGAAATATGTATTTAGATGATCATTTAATTTATTTAATATATGATCAAATATTTATTCAGGGAATATGATATTGCTCCTAGATTAAGAAACTGTGTGGAAAAGTTTGCAACAGATCTATACTATAATTCCATATAAAATGTTCATTAAACATTTTCGCACAGATAAAACTTACTTTAGAAACATTATCCAATCTTTTAATCATTTTAAAATCAATGAAACTCTCCGTTACAGAAAACAGGTTGATTTTTAAGAACTTTAAGCTATTAAAAGTTATGGTACGTGCAAAATATAAAGACTTCCAGTTAGGAGGTTTGAGTTACGAAAGTTGCCTATCTATTTTTTTCTTTGTGTACCTGTGCGTAGGCTAAACTTCGAAGTACACGAACCAAAAGAATATTAATGTTTGAACATTAAACACTTGTTACCTTGAGCGAAACGCGATGTATTATATTATCATTGCCGCTGTCGTATTTGTTGTTTTTGGGTTGAGGGAGGTTCATTCAATCGGGCACACCAACACAAGTGGACTTGAAAACCCAACTGTGTGCAAGTGTGTGTTGCGATTGTTTACCTCCTTTGTTTTTATGCATATTTACTTAATGCATGCATGAATTTCGCCGAGTCCGCCGTGCAAATATATTTTAATTTTCGCAATTCGGTTTAAAATATGGCAGCTTAACTTCTACTTTAAATTCGGTGGGCTAACTTGTGCGTGTGTGTGTTCGTATGTGTGCGAGCCAGCACGTACACCAACAACGGTCCAGAGTTGCCATCTCAACATTTGTTTGCAAGTGTTTTGTTTTGCTGATAAAGGACAGCTGATTTCTATAAATAATTAAGTAAACAAGACAAGAAAAGCAAAAAATTTCCACAGATTGATAATGGGATCAGATGTGCTAAAGCCAATAAATAGCCAGAACCGATTATAATCAGACATTATGTCGCAAACAGGCCCCAACACAAATTCAAAGAAAAACAGTAAACAAATTTTTATACAGTCGAGGTACAAATTGTAAATACACTCAATAAAAATGGAATAATTTTGAAGAAATTTAATATGGTACAAAAATATTTATCCTTTATTATTTTATTAATGATATTTTTTATTAATGAAAACATTTACAATTTTTTAAACCAACTAAAAAGCATGCCTCTGGATATTATGCAATAATACCTCAAACCAATTTACAAGTTTGAACTCCAAACACGACACCAGTCACGGTTAAATGATAGTTACGCCCATGAACCTCCTACTTTTGACCGATGACGATCATCGCCTTTGGGTTATTGCGTTTTTGCATAAATTCGCTCATTTGAGTTTCGTGTTATTTCACACGTTTGCTTGTTTTCTTTTGTTTTTAACTGATAACGGCACTTCTATACGCCATAAAATGTTTAAAGAGGACTAACAGTGATACGGGTAATAGCATTATATACCGTCAATCAACTAAAGTTTGCACTGACCTGACTTGGAGTATATATATATGTACATACATATATATGTACAATGTATACAAGTGTGGCCACTTTATTTGGGCTCTTTTCGCTCTTGCACTAAAGCTGAGTCATTTTGTTTTCAAATTTTTGTGTGCCGCGGCCACAACGCAAAAAATAGACATCGCTCGCATATAAACAAAAAAAGTCGTTGCGCAAAAAGAAAAGAGAAAATGTACGTTTATTTATATAAACAAATAGGTATTAGTGTCATAAACTTTACCTGTATAGGTGCGAGTTTTGTTTTGTTTATCTCACAAGATTGACGGCGAACCGGTTTTTTAGAACAAAAACACAACTCGTCGGCTACTTGCCGGTTAAATACGATTATATATTCAAATACAGAGAAGCTTGCTTAAGCCTTTTTAGCTTTAGAAATATGTTTTGTTATTTTGCCAAACTTTTAAGTTAGGAAAATTGAAAACTATTTAAGGTATTTTGTATTTTTAAACTTTGTCAGGCATTAAGCTTAAATAGGAAAAAAAAATAGTTCAATATAAAAATGTTTTCTTAATTTAAGAGTTTAAAAAGTTTTCGAATCAATGGAAAGAGTGGGCTTGGAAATAAACGTTTTTAAACTCTGACCAATGAATTCAGATAGAACTCAAAAACTCCTGAGATTAGACTAGACGACTAACCAAGTGTTTAATTGCTAAATATTTATAAGACCCCAGAACAAGCTTGACTTCAACCTTTGACATAATTTGTTTTTAACTCCATTTAAAGATATAACCAATTAGTGATACATAAGACCAATTGCTTATAATAACTGCTATAAGTAATGCCAATCGAATTTGCTTACAGCTAATATCATGTTGTTAAAAGTGCCATCTGTGGACTGGACGGATCAAATCATTTACGTGGTGGACGACGATGAGTCGCTATCAGACATCGACGATGAGCCAGATTTCTCCGAATATATGTGGATGGAGAACGAGGAGGAGTTTGACAAGAACGTAAGATTAATTACATATTAATTACTCTGGCTTTCTGATATAACAATCTGCTTATAGGAACTTCAACGCCTGGAAGAGCAGGAGATTATGCAAGAGTGCTTTGAAGCCATGATCGAGGACGAGCTGGAGGAGCAGATTAACGAGTGGGAGAAGGTTAAGTGAGTTGTCGAAAGAACTTCACCATTTGTAAGGCGAGACTAACAAAGTGAACTTATTCGCAGAACGGCGGAACAGAACACGGCACTTTCCGCGCTGCCCAAGAGCCAGTGTAATGTGGAAAAGTCTGTACTGAATCCTATGGCCGATGAGTTTATTCCTCGTAGTCATATAATGGATTTCCCTGCCTCATAAAGCCAGCTCGTTCCCTGCCCGCCACAGAATCACAAACCGCCCCGCCCCATAACACGTGGACCTCATACGCGAAAATCCTAAGAAACTAAAGATCCTTTGCTAAGGCTCAACTAACAAATTGCGCCAATGAGATTGAGATTGGCATTCTGACCAAGTTGAGCAGCGAGAGCATTCGGAGAAAGTATAGCCCATCATTATCTAATTCCTAGATACCCAAAAAGCGAAATATTCGTACCAACTCCAAATGCTGGCGACCGAAATGCAAACGAATCGTATTTTTAAAAACCGTTATAAAAAAAAAAAACAAATCAATGCAAAAATATAAAAAAGATGTTTAATAGAAGAAAGCAACAAACAAACCAACAAAAAGAAAAAAAAACCAACTACAAAATAAGAACAGACAAATAACAATTGACAACTATGCCACGTACATTACAGTACATTGTAATTAGAGTTAAACACGAATTCTTTGCCGAGGAGTTTGGAGCCACGGCGCCTCAGAAATTCCGAACCCAAAATGTTAAACGAAACGCAGACGCTGGCGCTTGCTAAAGCTAGTGAAAACTTTGGTATTAACGTACAAAACGAAAACGAATGACTTTTTACACGCGACGAACAATGTCGTGGCTTCTATACCAACTAAAAACTAAAATTATAACTAAACTATGCCAATTTCCAGCTAAAGCAACTGTAAGCAACAAACAAGACTCGATTGTGTTAGTAACAAACAAAGAAATGAACAGAATTTGTAACCGTCATGTCGTTAAAATGAAATTCTATTCAAAGACTTTAAGTGTAGTTTAAATCGTATTTAATTTAACGTCCCGCCCACTGTCTAGACTCGTTTTAAGTTGACAATTTTGTGGATTATACGTGTTTACTAGTTTTCTTTTTAAATAATTTTCACCATTGTTAACTCGTTGTACGTTCTACGCCCAAGTTACAATAAGCGCTTGTTAACTTCCCTTCTGACTCTCGCAATACTTGTAATTTACAAATGTAATTTAGTGTACTAAAATGAATTGAGATACTAATGTTTAACGCCCCCTTATACAAAAAGCATGCATCAATATGTTTAACTAGTGTTAATTGACAAAAAAAAACAGACAAAACCAACGCTGCAATAACAAGTAGTTCTGTAATTTTAAGTAAAAAATCTTTTGAACCGTTTGCTGCGGGTCAAATGCACAAACCCCAATCGACTTTGGTTAACCACGTTAAATTTCGTTCCGGCATGTAGACAAAGATGAATTTCTATTTTTTCAATCAGCTTAGATTTAGTGACTTAAGACAGCATTAAAAGATCTACTACATTACTTACGTTACGTGTGATATAAAGATATAAAAAAACAAGCAAAAAAAAATATCAAAAATGATTTTAAAAATCTCAATAAAAAGAAGTATTATAGCATAAAACTGACTTGTTTTCATTTTATTTTAGTAAAAAATATTTCCTGGTGTGAAGATTACTTGCAAACTGAAAGCTAAAAAACCTAAACTTTATTTTAAGGATTCAGTTTGCAGATTTAATATGAGCAAAGTAATGAGCATTTACAAATAGTCATAAATTAGAAATTATAAATAGTTATAAATTATTTCTTTTAAAATCTTGTGTACAATTAATATTGATTGTGTAACAAAATAAAAATTTTATTGTAATTTAATATTACTTAATTATTTTCAATTATTGAGTAGCACAAACTTTAAAACCACTTATTTTAACAGTACCCTCAATGCACATTACTTTCGATAAATATCGGGCTGACGATAATCGATATGCATATCCAAATACCGATACCAAAAATGGCGTCGCCAGCAATTCGTTGATTTCCTAGTTAACTTGTACAAAATGCAGCTAGTTCTTGATTGAAAAGCAACCAAGTGAAATGTGAGATTAATTAGAGGAAAGCGACGAGCCCAAGGCATGCAAAAGAAGCCCATCCCTGACAGGAATCCACACCGAAGTCTGGGGAAAAGGATATGGCAGCGGCGGCAACGGCAGCACCTGCGACCTCCAGTGGGAATGCACCTGCTCCATCGGCTGCAACGGCCCCCGGGGGAGGAGGGGGAGTGGCCGGTGGGGGAGTATCGGGTGCCCAGTTCAGGGAAATCCACAAAAACACTTGGCTGAAACGGCTGACGGCGGATGGCAAGCGTTTGACTGTCGGTCCTAAAGTAAGTGCACAAAGATTACCGAAGATCTGTAAATATTTAATCAGCAAACTTCCAGAAATCCGAGTGCAGCTGGGTGGTGTTTTGCGTCCACGATGACACCGAAGCTCTGCTGGAGGGCTATGCGGAACCTAGGCAAGCAGCTGGACACCTGCCCGAGTGGGCCGTTTCTCTCCGGGAAACCCTCCACATCTCCCATGCGCTCATCCCCAATTCCCATGAGTTCGAGTTTGTGGTCACGCTCAGCCACGAGGTGTTGCGCTTTCACGCCGTCTCTTGGTAAAGAAAAAGCTCCCCGCACGCAATGCCAATTAAGATTGCAACACTTAAAAACTTGCTTTCGCTTTTTTTTTCGCAGGGAAATTATGCAAGAGTGGGTAGAAACGCTGCGCTCCAAGCTGCGCGAAATGAAGATTCTGTCGCCGCGCGAAAACCTCTACACGAAGCTACCTGAAGTGCGCGCCCCACTGCTGCCCACGCGGGATCCCACATCGCCATTGCCGCCACCGCCGCCCGTTCCGGCGGCTCTTGTGCCGGGCGTTGAGCGTGTGGTGGCCGCCAGTCATCAGGCTCAGTCAGCGCCACCTCCGGAGCAGCCCCCCAGTCCAGTGGCCACAACGCCAGCTGCTCCTGCTCCCGCGCCCGCTGCCATGTCGAACACGTTGACGCAGCACCTGCTCAACATGCTCTCCGATCCGATTAGCACTTATAGCGAGCAGATCAGCGAGTCTGCAGAGCCAACTGCTGAACAGGAAAGTGCAGCGGGAACTGAAGGAGCAGCAGAGGAGCCCCCGTCCAATAGCGATGCCGATCTGAATCTCTCCGACGACGAATACTTGTCGCCACTGCTCCGAAAGGCTTGTGTGCTTACCGACAACGGTGTCCGGGTGGACGTCGTGGCAGCCACTGTTCAACGTGCTTCTGCTGGTAAGCTCATAATGTCATATCATTTTATTTAAATTGAAATATAATAAAATATATATTTAAAATATTGCAGATCAAATCCTGAGTTTGGAGCACATGCTGCAATGCGAACGACTGATTCCCAGGTGAGCCAACAATTAACTACATAAACTCATTCATTTGCTCGTAGCTCTGCTCCAAAAACTTGACGACCGCCTTTTTGGTGCTTGGCTTACCCTCAAAGGTTTCAAGGAATAGTTTCCGCACCACGGTCAGATATCTCATTGCACTGAGAGTCAGTTCCTGGATCTGTGCATCCAATTTCAAGCCCAGTTCGTTTTTGTACCTTTTGCTGACTTTGGCACGCAACTTGTCATATTCTTGACTGGCTTGTGTCATTAATGGAGCACGCTGCTGTCGCCGATAATGGTCGATGTGGGCATTCAGCAGGGCCTTAAAGTGTTCGTTAAAGTGCTTCACCTGTTGAAAATCGGATTCATCTTTGCAGAGAACGCTGTACAGGGTGTCAAAAAACGCAGACGGATCCTTTCCAGTGCAAAGTTGCTTTAGAGCGTTGATCGAAGAACAAGCAAATATTCGCTTTAAGTAGCGATTCTCCTTGTCCAGCATGTGAATCTCCTCGGTTTGCATTTGGATGGATTTCGCGTTCTTCTCACGCTTTGCCTGTAATTTGTTGAACAAATCCTGGAGCTCCTGCAACTCCTTTGATAAGGCAGCATTTTCGTCTATCAACCTACGGTTGGCCAGTTCTAAATTCTCACAGGAACTGAAAGAGGACAATTCCTCCTCATCCGAGTTCTCTTCCCCGCTGCTTTGGGGCTCTGGGTTATTAACCATCTTCAAGCTCATCTGGTGGAGTGTACGCAAATCCATGTGAGAACTTTTAGAATCGGTAAAGGGGTAGCTCAATTTACTCTGGTCATTCAGTTGCTTGTGAAGCAGCAAGAGCATATAGTTTCGGGAGAATTGTTCCTGTGGCGTTGATTGCTGGAAGATGTTAAGCCATCGGGTGCAGGTGGGCACAATCTGATCTCTAGCGGGCAGCCGACCCACCAGTTTCACCACACTGGTCACCTCCTCCACGAAAAGATCGTCCAGCTTTTCCTCCGTTAAGGAAAACCGCTTAGCCATGATATACAAAAATATATAAGGTTTATTTTTGATTTATAAAGCTGCCTACTTTGATGTCGATCAAATCGATAGAGATTTTAATTATGGCAGATGTTATACTTTACTAATTCTTTATCCATTTTTAGACCACAAACATCGCGTTCTATGTCCGCTGGCGCGGCAGACAAATCGAAGAGACCCCCACGGGAAGCCCCTCCAATCCCAATCGTCCAGTGTCGCTACGGCAAACAGTGAGGATTCTCAGGACAATATCACAATCATCCAGGTGTCGAACATCAGCAACAATGGCCAGGAGCAGCCGCCCGAGCTGCCGCCCAAAAGTTCGACGACAGCCGAAGTGTTTCGCTTTCCGGAGGTGAAGGCAAAGTCGCAGACGAATGCCAAGCAGAAGCCATCACAGGCACATCAGGAGTATAAAAGCAACGTACAAATCATTCCGTCCACTGCCAGTAGCAGTACCAGTACCAGTACTAGTACCATTCAAGTCCTGGGCAAACAGCCCAGCAGCAGTAATCCGTATACCACGCCCGTCAAGCAAAGCTCTTCCAGTGGCGCCAGTCCTCAGGTTTCCGGCACCACCAAGGTGAAGGTGCTGGGCGAGGGCGAGGCCACCACAACTGTGGCGGTTTATGGCACCTGCTATCCACCAACAGGTAGCAGTGCCCCGGCCAGCTCCTCCAGCTCTGCCTCTGTTAATCCTGCCAAGCCGCAGACGCCAAGATTAAGTAAGAAGATAATACTCAGTGCCAACACCTCGGGCATTACGAATATTAGTGTGAATAACGAGCAGGGCAGTGACTCCATAATCAGTGGCAACGTTCACTACGAGAAGGTCTTCCTCTCCTCCAGCATTCCCATTACCAGTGTAAGCAGTCCCACAAGAGCGACGAGCACTCATCCCGTTCAACCGGTGTCGAATGGAAGTCCTGCTTTGCCTCGTCGTCGGTTGGCTTCTCCGGCGACAGTACAGCCTGCCACAACCAGTGCACCAGGAAGAGCGGCGCCACAATTAACTCGAGGACTAACCGAACTGGTGATTAGTTCGCGACCCAGCCGAAGGGATTTCCACTACCTTAAGCTGCTGAACACTCCACTGAAAACAAAGACGTCCCACAAATCAACCAGCGCCACGAATAATAATATTGAGCAGCAGCCGCACCAGTCCACGCCTTCCAGTTCCACGAGTGCGCAAGTAACGCCAAGGAACAACACCTCCATAACGACAGCTGACAGCCAGGAGCAGCGCCGGCGCAGCTCGTCCACGTCCGATGCGCAGGCGCCTCTCCAGCGGGTTCCACAGCCGGCAACCCAGCGAAATGCGAACAACAACGAGTTCACGCCCTCCCGAAACGGAGCCTTTCGCATGCAGCCACCTCCGCAGGGAGCTCCTCCGACCAGCACTAATCCCGCTCAGCAGTCGCCCAGTAAGCGAATGACTCTGCGGGAGCAGCAGGTTATGCAGTTAAGGCGGGAGATCATGCATCCGGGTGGAGTGCGTTTGAATCTTAGGCGCAAGGATTGCGTTGGCTCCATTGCGTGGGTGGATGCCTTCGGTGGCGTTTGGTAAGTTTGACAGAAATTCAAGTTGTATGTAGTGAAATACGGAAATAGATATGTATGTTCAACAAAATATATTAACTGGTACTATTTTTTCAGGATTGCTGGCTGGAAGCAAAAGGAGCATCCCGTGCTGTACAATGCATTGCACATCGGCGATCAACTTCTATCAATTGCAGGAGTGAATATCAGCAGTGCTGCAGAAGCCAACAAGATTATCAGGAACACCAATACGCTCTTTGTAAGTTCGTTAGGATATATTATTAGATACATTGATTACATTAGAATTATTTTTAAATCAGGTTGAAGTCTTGCTGCGACGCATTCCATTTGGTCGGGCATATGCCATTCGTCGTGACCGAGAGGGTCAATGCCTGGGTCTGATTCGAGACGGAAACACTTCGACAATCGTGGACGTTGTGCCAAACAGCTTGGCCGCACGACATGGCCTTCCGCCCAAGGTAAGCAATCAGCTTATAAATATAGGAATTCCTGAACAATGAATACACATAAATATATTTATTTTAGACCCAATCGTGCGATGGAAGCTCACTCACCTTCTGGATGCTCACCGAGATTAATGGTCGATCACTCAATCTGTTCTTCAAGGATATGGAGATACGCGATCGCCTGAACTCCGTGGGCCGAGATATATCCATTTTGGTGCAGCCGTCGGATTTGATAACCAAGCTGAAGAAGCAGCTGAAGTCGCTGCGGGGCTACAAGGACTACTTGGTACAGTAGGGCCCCAGCAATAACGATCGATTCCATATAACCACACATAACTCGTAACTGTAATAAGCTGCTATACGCGAATCTATTTCGAATAGCTCTCGGCCAGTAATCATTCCATTTTCGCGTATACGTCAATGAACGGAACCACTATATAGTCAACTAGAGCTGGTAGAATCATTTCGCTATAATACGTACTACACATACACACCACACTTACTATGATCGAAACTACTTAAAGGACTTAGGTGTAGCGTTGAGGAGCATATACAAAAACAACCTATATATTTTTGCAAAATTTTATATAAACTCGTACATATATATACAAATTGATCATTATATATATATATAGATATATATACACCTTATGTATAGCTGACACTTTTAAGGGTTACCAAATTTACACCTCGAATTTGTTTGGATGCGGAAAAGTTATGAGAAATTTACAACATGAAATTCAAGTATTTTAGGTTAACATATACACGCGTATCACACACACACACACACACCTGTGCAACTTAGTATCCTTATGCAATATTGGAGTGCCTCTGATTTTGTTCATTGATGTTGTTTTCTTTCATGTTTCCATTTGTTTCGTGCGAAAAGAAAAAAGCATCTGTCGTAACTTTTAAGATGTGATAAAAATGAGTACTCAAATTTAGGCAATTTTTAACGGTACATTTGTAAATGCTTTTTGATTTATTTTATATATAAGTTTCAGTGAGTAAATTCGATATACATATTATTACTTATGTAACGATCTTGCGGAACATTCATTAAAGCAATTCCACACAAATCACTGACACACTGTTCCATTCTTGGCCAAGCTTGCCTTTTGCTTCCAGATCCGGAAATTGTACGCATTCGTGTCCAGCTTGGAGTAGACAAATATGGGCATGGAGTTGGACATCACCCAGATGGTTCCCTCCTCATCGATCTGTAAAAATATAAGTTTATTCTCAGTTGCCTTAAAAAGAATTAACTAACCGTCAAATCGCTGGGATAAATCATCTTCTCAGCATTGGAATACACAGAGCCATGAGTTTCTGGCGAGAACGGCTTTTCGGTGTTCCAGCACCCCACTCCGTTCTTCTGGACCTCTGCAAAGAAGACGACGCAGGTTTCTGGATCGTATTTGTGCATCGTGGACTGCGTTGATGGCCCACGGCTTCCCAGCATCCGGAAATCGTTTCCCTGATCGGAGCGTTCCGCATTGCACTCCTGCTGCAAAACGCGGTTGGAAACCACAAACTCATTTGTGCTGGCCATAGGATGGAAGAAGACATCCCGACTGCCATCTGGTTGATATGGTCCCAATGTCGTGGAGAAAATGCCATCATCCCAGCGGAATTTCTGACCGCCAATATTGAGATCGTCTGAGAGCGGATCGAAGTTGAAGAAGTTGTGCTTGAAGGACCAAATTCGATTGTCTCGCAGGTGATAGACATGTAATTGCCGATTGACCAGATCCGGAATATAAGCGTAGGCATTGCGACAACGTCCCTCCCTCACATCTACGGTTATGCTGGCCAATCCGCGACCGATCTCCACAATGTCCTGGGGGATTTCAACACGCTTCAGCACGCGATCTGTGGCCAAATCCACTACCCAAATGCTGGGACGACGGATCTGTTGGCGGTTATCTAAAGTGCAGAATATTATATATGTATATAATATATTACAATCTAACTTAAGTTCTCACTTGGGTACTCCAGCATTCCAGTGTCGACGAACCAGAGGCGCTGACAAGCATCCACGGCGGTTCTGTAAACGGAGACTAGATTTTCAGTGCTGTCGTTGAACTGATTCAAGGCAAAATTTGGATAGGCCCTGAGAACGGGACTCTCGCTTTGGCCATCCCTCTCCAGATCAATGTAGTTCAAGGTGGAGGGAATGCCCTCCTGTCTCCTTGGAACGGTGACAAAGAGTCGTCCCCGGAAATGGGTCACTCCCTGCGGCACATTGTTGTATTGAATGAAGGGAAGAGTTTTGACACGGGAAGCCGGAGTGTTCATACAGGGTTGGGAATTCGGAACATGCGGATCTAAATAAGTGAAACAATAACAAATAATTGGGTATTCAATATACAATACTTTTATTATTAACTCTCTAATTCTTTTAATAATTTTCGTTTGGTAAACAACATTTTTGTTAGTCCTACGTATTAATTATAATTTTTTCTGCGTCATCGAATTCCACTTAACAATGGAAGTTTTGGTTCTACATTTTCTGTACTTACCTTTTAAGGAGCAAAGAAACTGCAAAGTGTTTTGGTAGTTATCCCCGCGATTGAAAAAATCCAGCTGCTTCCATCTGAAGACCTCAATCATGGGATTTCCATCTGCAGAGGTTAGCAATTCTAACCCAGCGATCATGAAGAGGAGCAAAAACCGTGGCGATAACATTTCTTTGTCTTTGCTCGAGAACCTGAATGAAGCTCCGCTTACTCGCCTCTTCAGGTTGAGATTTAACTTAAGACTGATTCGCAATAACTTCTTAAACTCATTTCTACGTGCTCTGCAGCTCGAAAGTGAAAAAGGAACAAATTAAAAGAGAAGAAGACTCTCACTTACTGCTCAGATTTTGTTTTGAGATATTTACCTATGTAACAAATGTTAAAATTCGTCTGTTAAAAACATTCAATAGACTTTATATGGCAATCAGGGAGAGGCATTTTTAAAGTTTTATTTGGATGAGCTTTATTTACTTATTTTAATAATATAATTCAGTGGGTTATTTTCATACATAATATTATTATTCTCTATAAATCACTCACAAACGGTTCCCCTCTTCGCCAACTTTGCCTTTTGCTTCCAGACTCGGAAGTTATATATATTTGTATCCAGCGTGGAGTAGATAAAGATCGGCATGGAGTTGGACATTACCCAAATGGTTCCCTCCTCGTCGATCTGTAAAAATAAATATTATAAATCATTTATGAAGAAACATATATCTAATTTATGTTTTTTCTTACCGACAAGTCGCTGGGGTAAATCATATCCAATGCATTGGAGTCCACACTGCCGTAGTTTTCCGCCGATATTGGCTTGGTTGTCTTCCAGCAGCCCACTCCGTTCCTCTGGATCTCATCGAAGAAGATCACCCCGGTGCCAGGATCATAGGCGTGCATCGTGGACTGAGTGGATGGCCCTCGGTTTCCTATGACCCGGAAATCGTTTCCGTGATCGGAGCGAGCGGCATTGGACTCCTGCTGCAGAACGCGACTTGAAACCACAAACTCATTCGTGCTCGCCATGGGATGGAAGTAGACATCCCGACTCCCATCCGGCTTTTGAGCTCCCAAGGTGACCGAGAAGATGCCGTCATCCCAGCGGAAGGTCTGGCCACCAATGCTCAGATCCCCGGAAAGCGGATCGAAGTTAAAGTAGTTGTGCTCGAAGGCCCAAATCCGATCGTCTCGCAGGTGATAGACGTACAATCTCCGGTACACCAGATCCGGAATATAGGCGAAGGCATCTCCACATTGACCCGCCCTCACATCAACTGTGATACTTGCCAATCCGCGACCCGTTTCCGCAATGCTCTCCGGGATGTCGAAACGCTTCAGCACTCGATCCGTTGCCAAGTCCACTACCCAGATGCTGGGACGACGGATCTGTTGGCGGTTATCTAAAAAAAAAAATTATTTCGTAATTCTAAATGACACATATAAAGGGTTCTATAACTTAACTATCTATAATCTTGATTATACAATACCAAAGTAATAACTTTTCTAACCAATGGTTTTAAAACAAATGTGGAAGTAAATAAAAAAAAAAAACTATAAATAATAAAAAGAGAAGGCTGGTCTAAGCTTTTATATTGATAAGGCTTGTGTATTTAATTTGCTTTTTAAAAGCCTCAACTCAAACACGGAACAATAGAAACAAACTAATTTAATCTCACTATTGCTTTACACAGGGTCGCATAAATTAGAAACCAATAATTAAATCTCGGGGTGCAAACTCACTTGGGTACTCCAGCATTCCAGTGTCAATGAACCAGAGGCGTTGACAGGCATCCACGGAGGTCCTGTAGACGGAGACCAGGTTCTGGGCACTGTCGTTGAACTGATTCAACGCAAAGTTGGGATAGGCTATAAGCTTGGGGCTGACTTCCGATCCCTCCCTGGCCAGATCGATGTAGTTCAGGGTGGACGGGATGCCCACACGGCGACGGGGCATCGTGACAAACAGGCGACCCCGGAAGTGGGTGGCTCCCATCGGCACGTTGTTGTACGGAATGTAGGAGGCGTTGGGGTCATCACTGGCAACCCGGTTGCTTACGACCACTGGAGTATCGCGGGAGGTCATAGACTCTCGCTTTTGCCGTGAATATCTCCCAGGGAAAACAACAGGGGCTAGTTGAAAAGAGTAAAATGAAATTATTTTGATAAAAAACTAAAATTAATAAATTAATACAAAATAAACACCACCTTACCATTAAAGCTTATGCTAGGGATCCGTTAATATTAAATTTCAATATTTTAAATAAAAGTTTTATATTGAGATTGTATTAAAAAAGTATTATGGGGGTTTAAGGTCTGTTATTCATCCGACAAAATAAAGTAATTACAAGTTGCCTTGGGGCGTGATAGAAAATTCATAAATTTTACTTTAAAACCTTTTTTAATGGATTTTTCACTCACCTGAGATGCTGGGCCTGTCAGGTCTTCCGTGTGGGCCATGTTTTCCATCCCCTCGGTTGTAGAAGTCCATCTGTTTCCATCTGAAGACCTCTATCATGGGATCACCTTCTGCGGTGGAAAGCAGCTGTAACCCCGCGATTAGGCAAAAAATTAGAAATTGTGGCGATAACATTGTTGGATTTGCTAAGCTTAATAAATAAAGCTCGGACCGATCGCCCTTCCAGGCTGAGATTTCTAAAGCGACTGATTGCCAATATTCCCAGCTTAATTCGACATGCTCTGCGGCTCGAAAGTTAAATATTGAAATTGATAAGAGAAGTGCGGCTCTCACGGATTCTCAAACCGGTTCTGCTACTTGTTAGCTTAACAATATTGTCAATACTAATCGACACTCAAATCAAACAATCAATTAAAAGTCATACTAGAGAAATAATGTAATTTAAATATATGTATTTTCTTTCCAGGCAACTTGTTAAAATAGATTACACTTAAAATATGTTAGATGTTAGTTAACATTCAAAATATGATATGCAAAATAAATGATATTTAATTATTTAAAATTAATAAAAACTAGGTCAATATATTACTAAAAGTCTGCCACTGATTTAGGCGCCAAGTGATTCAAAACCAGAATGTTCTAATAATCGATTTTGCCGTACTAACGATATCTATATCGATTTCGATTAAATTCGACAAATTGTGCAAATAAAATAAACAAGTGTAAACGAAGCTTGCAAAATGCGATATAATTTGTTTGCCAGTGCCTTAAAATTGCTGAATAGCACAAAAAACCACAATTTGTTGGTGGTAAATGTGCGTAGTTTGACCGGCGCTGCTCAAACCAATGATGTAGTTACGCCAGGCACGCGTTTACCGCCAGCGGAAACGGGAAATCCAGACGAGGATCAGCGGTCGCTGCACATCGCGGTGATAGGAGTGCCCAATGTGGGCAAAAGCACGGTCATCAACAACACGGTGAACCACCGAGTGTGTCCCACCTCCGCCAAGGTGCACACCACTCGCCAGTCGAACACGGCCATCTACACCACCGGTCAGACGCAGTTGGTCTTTTACGATACACCTGGTTTGGTGACCCAGAAAGAGATCCGGCGGCATCACCTGGATCAGAACTTCAAGAGCGCCTACCGCCATGCCATTCAACATGCGGATATCATCGCAGTGGTGCACGATGCCTCGAATGGATGGACTCGGAAGGAACTGCATCCCACGGTACTGGACACTCTGAAAGCTTACAGCAACCTGCCCAGTTTCCTGGTCCTGAACAAGATAGATGCCCTTAAGTCGAAGCGGTTGCTGTTGGATCTGATCAAGACCCTCACCAACGATACTTTGACTGCGGGAAAGCGCGGATCCCAAGGAACAACCCCGGTGGATCCTGCTGCCAGGGAAATACGGGTGAACAAGCGGGATACCAGCTGGAGCCACTTCAGCGATGTGTTTCTCGTATCCGCCCTGACGGGCAGTGGTCTGCATGAGATGCAGAGCTATCTGGTGGGTCAGGCCAAGCCCAGATTGTGGAAATACCCAGCCGACATCCGCACAGACTCCACTCCAGAGGCTCTAATTGTGGAGAGTGTGCGAGCCCGCCTGCTGGACTACTTGCCCCAGGAGATTCCCTACAACCTCAAGTGCGAGCTGGAGTACTACAGTGTGGATAAGAGTAAGCAAACTAGGGTAGCACCTGTATGAATCCTTTCTAAATCTGCTCCATTTTCCAGATATTATTTATACATCAGTGCAAGTGCAGTGCCCAACGACGCGAATCGAGCGACTGATCTGCGGCGAAGCCAACGGAAAACTACGACAGATCACGGAGAGAGTTACCTCAGACCTGGTGGAAATGTTCGGCCAAGCGGTTTCCCTCACCATCTCCACGGTGTCCAAGGGCAAGAAGACCGCCTCCTCGTCCTAAACAGTTGTTGATTACTTGTACTTTATTTGTAACGTTACATAAACCTAAGAGTTCACAAGAGCTTCAAATGCGCCACTAGTTTGTCCAGATCCTCGGCGGGCGCAGGACCCAAGCCGAGTACGGTGGCCGTTCCTGATTCCAGTTGCGTTCGTCCGGCATCCCGCACCAAAGCGGAAACCACGTTCGCCTGCTGAGCCTGCAGTTCCAGGGAGCTCAGCTGCTCGAAGTTATCCACTCGCAGCACGATCTTCGGTTGCCCCAGGCGGCACCATCGCTGCAGGATGGCCTTCTGCAGTTTTGTGCCCTGTTCGGAACCCTGATAGCACATGATTGCCGCATGGGCGCACTGGGCCGCCGTCTTTCCCTTGGACATCTTCAGATCGGTACGGACCACCAGCGCCAGCTTGGTGGACTTGCCGAAGGCCACACTACTGTTGAGGAACTTCTGCAGGATGCTACTTGACGTTGGCATACTTCTGGCTCTGCTGCTCCACGTACTTTTGCATGCACGCGCGGAACTCCTTCACCTTGTCCTGGCAAGCCCTCCAATCTCCCGTTTCGGCAATGCACTCCTGCACCTTGTAGTGGAGCTCTATGCAGCCGGTCTTCTTGAGCATCAGTTCCACGGGATCCTGATCCGTCGATGCGGACATTTTCTTCAGCTCTCCGCCGGGTGAAATTGCACCAGCTCGATTCGAATTACGAAATTCTGACAGGGTTGTCAGGTAATCGTTCCGTTGGGTTTGAATAACGTGAGCGATTTGTTTCCACTTTAAAGCTAATATCATTTGGAATCGAAGTTGTAAACTTTAAACAAATATATTGTTATTTTGTAATCAAAAACTGACTACTTTAATTTGTTTTATTCGAAAACAAACTTTTAACATAAAGAAACATATTTTACATACGTAGATAACAATGTAACATAACATCTACATTCATAGTCATTTAAACGTAAAATATGGGCTTAACATATTGGTTGTCCCTATAAAGAAACACAGCTAAATATTAAATATTTGAAGGCACAGAGTCTTGCTGACAAACAGTAATTACCCGCTCGTGTTTTTAGAAAATGTAGAAAACCCACCAACTAACGTGTAAATAGAACTCCCACCTTTAGTCCATAAAAGTGTGACCAGTAAATGCGACCCCCTTTCCGTGGCGTTATGGCATAGCGAATTCGAAGGCCACCGGTCACACCGCTGCAATTGCAATCAACGAGAAACGAGCGAATTGCAACGAGCAGGCGAAAAATCACAAAAAGCGGAAAATCACAACAATCGTGGGTGCAAACGGAGCGGAAATAGCGAGGCAAAGGAAAGTGCCCGGAAAATCGGATGGCCCAGCAGTGAAAGCCCAAAACGCAGAGGCGCACTTGGCGCGTTTCAAAGGGGAAAGGCGCGTTGTTTAGCGTTCTGTTTCCAAGCTCTCGAATTCGTTTCGATTCCAAAACCAAACCAATCCAATCCCCACTCACACACACGCTCACTCACTCCCTCACACACACACACAGACACGCGCGCGCATACAGTGAACGAGTGAAAGTGCATCTACATCTGTGATTTCGTATATAATAATGCGTCGCGCATACGCGGATTTGGCCAGGAGAAGCACCAAAGACTAACAAGTGATCCGAACCGGGGATTCAGTTGGTTAGTTGGTCAACCCCGAATCCCCCCGCGCTCTCCCTCTCCCGCGAAATGGCCGATCCGGTGGCGCACACCAAAGAAACGGATGCGGAGGAGTCGCTGGACACCAACATGCAGCACATGGTGAATGGCGAATTGCCATCGGAGGTGCCCGCTTCATCCTGCTGCCATGTGATGTCCTCCATGGATGTAGACGTGGACGGGGACGTGGATGCGGACATTGAAGCCGCCACCTCCTCCTCCTCCTGCTCCGCTTCCCAGCTGAATCCATCGCCACCGCCTGCTGGCCACCAGCAGGCGAAGCCGGCGAGATCCAGCTCGCCACCATGCAATCTCCTCGAGCGGCTCAACTTTCCCGAGGGCAACATCATCAACACGCTGCACACGATCCTCGCGCTGCCGCCCTTCGATCCCTATGCTCCTGCTCCCAAAGCGGAGACGGTCTACAAGGAGGTAATCTCTTTGATGCAGTGGAGCCAGCGGGAGGACAACGCCATCGAGCTGGAGCTCAGCGACAAGCTGCTCCATGAGTGCGAGCACAAGGGCGGCGATCCCAACGACGAGACGCGATCTTATTTGGTGGGTTTCCATGTCGGATTCGTGGTCTAGGAGATACAAAAGAAATATGAAATATCCATATTTTTCATTGTGATCACTACTGATCAGATAGGATTCTTCTTTATAACTTTCGAACAGTGATTGTTGTCCTAGGAAAAAATGTTGACAAATAAGACAGATAAACTAATAGGATAAGCTTTTCATAAATCTATAAAAACCTAATAAGAATTTTGGATTGTTCGTATTTGTTTTAATAAAACTGTTCAGAACTTTGCAAATAATTTCATTAACTAAATATCAAACTTCGATACTCTAATTGAAGAAAAAGAAAAGTTTTGTAATCACCTGTTAATCCTTTTACCAGATGGCCATTGAGAACATGCGTCTGTTTTCGGAGGATCCAAAGAATCCGCTGCGTGATGCCGACGGACAGCTGCGTGCAATTACGGTGCGTTTGCCTGAAAATATAGAGTATCTTAATGGAATGTGCTCCTAATCCATTGTAGCTATATTTCCAGAATCTTGCCTTCATATTTGTGAAACACGAGAAGGATGAGTTCTTCACATTTTGTTCCTGCAAGGAATGTCTCGAATACCGCGAAACCATCATGGCCATCATGATGGATCAATTTAAGGCTGCGCACATGGTGGTCATGTTGCTGGATGTTTTGATCAAAGCCTACAGCCCCATGTTGAAGTAAGAACGGATTCCTAAATTATACAACCGGATAATAAATATTAATATACAAAATACAAATATAAAAACAATTCTTACAGAAACGATGCTGCCTACAATAAGTTTGAGAAGCTGCTTGAGTGCAACAAGGAGATCTATTGGATTACAAGCGGCTATCTCTACGATAAGAACGCCGAATATCTTGATTTTATTGATGACACAGCGATCTCCGACAATATGATATTAGTGCTATTCAGCGCCATGTAAGTTGATACCTGGACAATTATTTGTTTACAAATAAATCATTCAAATACGTTCGCATTTCAGCTTGATGGCCAACAATCCGATGCTGCTGCTACAAATACTCGCCTACAACGTGGAGTGCATTGTGAAGGCATTCTCCGAGGGCATGATCGAAATTGCCCAGAATATCCAGGAGAACGAGAAAATTTCCGCGGAAAGGATGCTGACATGTAAGATTTCTCAGTTGTGATAGAATTATATCATTTGCATGCATATACTAATAATTGCTTTCTTAAAATGAAATGACTCACAAATCATTAAGTTGATAAAATAAACATTAAGGCTTTTCTTTTCTAAGAAAAATATTTATAAACAAAGTTTTAAACGATCATGAGTCACTGCTAATATTTATGCAAGTTCTTTTGAAAAAAAAATGTTACGATTGTAAACAAGACTTACTAAAGTAATATTGACTTTTGAAAAATTCAGTTTCTTAAAGTTTCCAAACAAAAAATACCCCTTAGATTATTACTTACCTATTAAATGAATCACTCTTCCTTTTAGACATTCTTGACGGCTACTCCGATCTGAATTGCATCTCGCAGAAGATCTCCCTCAGCCTGTTTGCGTTCGAGAACGACTTCCTGCGCAAGTTCAAGCTGTCGTGGGTGCTGTTGTGCCAGCGTCTTTTCCAGCAACATGTGTTCACTCCTTTGGGAGATACGATGCTGGCCTGCATCCTGTCGCTGAAGGAGGCGGCTCCATCGGCCCAGACGACGGCGCTGATCAAGCGGTACATGCTGTTCGACGAGCACATGCACTCCATTGAGCGCCGCTGGACGGACATCTGGATCGAGCTGAACAAGTTCAACTTGTCGCCCACGGAGCACGAGCGAAGGATGGGCCTGCTCGATGTGTACAACATATTCGACAAGGTCGTCCTGGACGCCACCTCATTCTCGCTGCCGGATATCAGCGACGACGAGTTCATCGACTTCCAGCGCATCGTGGATCGCCAACTGGCCTGGAAAAACATCATGGCCTTCACGAAACTGAAGTGGCCCGACGGCTTCTACGATCCGCCCAATAAGCTGGTGCACGAGGATCTCTGCAAGAAGTGCAATTCGTTGCTCGAGCACCATAACGAGTAAGTTAGGGAAATCGAGGAGATCTGAAATCGGTGTATTAATGTCATAATCCCTAATATAGTCAATACATTTAAGTAAACAATAATTGAATGCTGATAAAGGCGGCTACTAAGAAAAACTCTTTATGCTTTATATTAACTCACATTTTGATCCTTTCGCAGGAACTGCAAATGCATCACTTGCTCCATCGCCGGCACTCCTTTGAGACCGCGGCAAGCGGGCCATTGTGCCAAGTGCACAACGCTCGGCATTGTCGAGAAGGATCCGAAGCTGATGAAGTCCAAGATCCTCAGCACGTGCACCAGTGACGAGGCTAAGCACAATGCGGCTACGGCGGCGACCGCCAGCTCCACTGCCGCCCAGCAGCAGCGTCGCAGCAACGATCTCCCGGAGGACGAGTCGCCATCGGGAAGCGGCAGCGGATCGGTGTTCCGGCGACAGGCGGAGACGGTCGACACCCTGCGCACCACATATCACATTGCATGGGCGGTGTTCCAGCACCTGTCCACCAGGAAGCGCTACCGCCACGAGGCGATTGAAGCGCAGTTCTTCTGCGGCGAGAACTGTCGGGTGTCCGCCTGCCAGCTGGCGAGGAAGATACTGGCCAACCAGCTGTCGCCGCCGCTGACCAAGTATCTGCTGCGCTGCTTCCAGCCGCTCTCGTTCACGCGGGAAGAGCTACGCTCCACGCTGCCCTCGCTGATGTTCTTCAACCGCAAGCTGGCCCCGAGTCCCGCCGAGCTGCAGGAGCTGAGAAACCAGCACTACGTGTACAAAACCTACTGGACCTTCGTCCTCTCCATCTACGCCAACTTCTTTGTCAAATTCAACTCGAGCAGCACGGACTTCGGTCACCTGGAGCTGCTCAAGGGGGATTTGCGCCTGCGGCTAAACAGCGTGGTCGGCGACAAGGACGACGGTCGCTTCGAGCAGTTTTTGGCGCAAGTTATTGGGTGAGTAGCAAAAGTCGAACTTAACAGTAAAATATACTAAATGCGTTTTCTTACTGTTTCTGCAGGTATTCACCTTTCAAAATCACTGATGAGTAAGTATGCTATCCTTGTTGTGTTTATTTCTCTAATTTTAGTATCACAACTTCCTTCTTTTTTACTTTCGGCGGACAAACGTCATTTTTTTTTTTGACAAGTAATGACATTTATGGCGGAAATGTGCTTCACTTAGGGACACTCTACACCATCAAACAGACCAAACCCTAGAGTTTATAGAGTTGTCAATAAAATAGTAGAGTTACAAAAACACGTTTTTCGTGATTGAATTTTTTTTATGTTAGTACTAATAATTTGCAATTGAACTCCACACTACTAACACTTTACTAACACCGAATATCGCCTGTACTATCGAAAGTTGATCGAAAACTTGTGTCCCGTCATCTCTCCTTCATTTGGAAAAAGATTTCCTGTGCTTAATTTGTACTAAATTGGCATTCCTTTTGCAGTTTTACGCTGGGTGATGCCAATATAGAGAAGATGCAATTTGGAGTGGATCAGCTTATGATGTTGCACGATTCACAGATAATGTAAGTGCTTAAAATAACAGTAAAGAAAATTAGAAAAAAAAAATCAAAGGTGTGAAAATTACAAAAAAAAAAAAAAAAATATTGGCAAGAAACAAAAATTGAAATGTCAAGAACAAATCTTGCATTGAGAATATTAAGAAAATATGTACATACATAATGCAAACCAACGAAGAAAAATATATAATCTTAATCAAAAGCTTAAAATATGAGATTCGTAGGGATATCTGATTCTTAGAGCTTAAAAAAAGAGAAAACATGTGTTTCACTAAAGCTTTTAAATCAAGAGGAAATGATATGCCTTATAATCTAAAATTTTTATCCAAAATACTCCATTTTAGAAAACGCACTAAACCCGATAGCACCACTGGCTCCTCGGGCGCCAAATCCAAGGTCGGTGAATCCAATATGTCGCAGTCCGGAGGCAGAAATGGCGAAGCAGGTGGCAACAAGAAGAGCAAGGAAAAGATGCGTAAATGTGAGTAGAAATAATAAAGATTTGTAAAGCTTTATATCACATTGTGCCCCAATTCACAGGCTGTGCCGACTATGCGGACATTGGGGAGCCGTGCAAGGAAAACCACTCGAAGAAACGCGGCAAAAAGGAGTGCAACCATGCGCGCTTCAACGAAACACGTGACCGACTGCGCAAGAAGCTCTCCCAGATTGTCAACGACCGGAAGACGAAGTCCACGGAGGAGGCCATGCCACCGAAGGCCAAGTCCAGCATGCCGGAGCCCGCTGTTGTTGCTGCCCCAACAGCCATCCCACCGAAGCGGCCGCCCAAGGCCGAATCGCTTCCGGCTAGCCAGCCACCAAGCTTGAAAGTGTTCGCAACGGCGCAGCTGCCATCCACCGGCAATCAGCGGAAGATGCCCTCGGCGGCAGCGGCTGCAGCAGCGGCTCTCAACGAGATCGGCGAGCAGGTGGAACATGAGGGCGACAATAGTCTGCTCCGCCTGGACAGCCTCTGCAAGAGACTCCAAATGCACTCGGATGCGACGGATGCCTCGGCGGCGGCAACTGCGGCAGAAGCTGCGGCTGCTGTGGCCGCTTTCAAGCGCGGCGGCGGATTCCCGGCCGACTACAGCAAAGAAGACATGATGCAGGACTTTGCCGAGTTCCTGGGCAACTACAGCCAGCAGAACAGTCAGCAGGACCAACAGCGCTGGATAAACGAGACGCTCAACTTCATCGAGGGCAAGTCGCATCAGCCGCAGACTGTTAATCCGAAAAAGGCGGCCAAGAAGGCCAAGCAGAAGATGCGCAAGGAGGAGGAGAAGCGCATCAAGGAGCTGGAGGACCTGCGCGGCCAGTTCCTGGACATCTACTTCAAGGAGTTCATCGACAAGTACGAGATGAAGGCTCTGACGGCTGCGGGCGGCCGGAAGAGGGAGAAGAAGCGCATCGGCGAGCTGGAGACGAACATCAAGAACCTGCAGCGGGCCAAGGCGAAGGTGGAGACGGTGATCCTCGAGCTGATTGCCACCGTTAAGCAGACGAACAGCGAGTTCAAGTTCTCCTACCTGCCCACCAAGCAGCAGCAGCTGGCCAAGATGGCCCAGCTGGAGGAGATCCTCAACGGCGGACCCCCGCCCGCGGCCACTGCCACCGTTGAACCAGCTGCTCCGGTGCCTGTACAACCCGTGCAGCAGTACGCCGAGTTCAGCGGCGGCACCTCCTTCTATTCGGGACTCGGTCAGCCGAACACGCCCGTATGCTTCGCCCCACCGTATGTCTCGCAGCATCCGCCTCAGCTGTCACGGGATGTGATCGCCGCCATGGCGGCCAACTCCATCACTGCCGATCCCTCCAAGCGCATTGTGACCATACGCCGGGTGCAGCTGCCGCATCCCGGTGCCGAGCAGCAGGTGACCGTGGTGGCCAAGGGCAGTGCTCCGCACGAGGACAAGCTGCTCTACACGTTCGTCAACGGTCACATGGTGGCCTCGGGTCCGGCCCAGCCGGAGGAAGCGCCTCCTGCGCCCGCGGCTCCAAGTGTTCCGGAGAAAAGTGCCAAGGCCAAGAAGAAAGAGGCTAAGCGAGCGGCAGCGGCGGCGGCGGCAGCAGCGGCGGCGGAACAGGAAGCCAAGCTGAAGGCCAAGAAGCAGGCGAAGAAGACTGCAGTGGCAGTGGTCACCGCCTCCAGTTCCACGGCGAGCAGCAACTCCTCCAAGACGCAGACGCCGCAGAGCACGCGTGAGAGTTCGGTGTGCAGTGTGAAGCCAAAGGCTGCACCCAAGAAGCAAGCTGCCAAGCCACCGAAGGTGGTGGAAGTGGCGCCACCACCTGATCCAGAGCCGGAACCGGAGCCACCGAAGCGCCAGAAGCGGATCAAGTCGCGACTGGATCCTGGCCAGCTGGACAACAACCCGTTCAAGTCGCTGCACATGCAGGATTCGTCGGATGGCGAGTGGGAAACGGGTACTGAATCGGAGGAAGATGTCGAGGTGCCAGCGCCGCAGCCTTCCAAACCGCAACCCAAGGCGGTGGCTCCTGCTCCAAAGCCTGTTGCTCCTCCAGTGGTCACAAAACCCAAGGCAGCGCCTGCTCCAGTTGCCGCTCCTGCCAAAAAGGTCAAGCAGCAACCGGAGGCGCCGCAAAAGCAACAGGCGGCGCAACCCACAAAGGTTCAACCCACGGCCAGAGGCAAGGGAGCAGCTTCCTCCGGCGGCAAATCGAACTCCCAACCGCCGCCGCAGCAGCAGCAGCAGCAACAGTATCAGCAGGAGAAGGTGCCACCAGCCAAGAGCCAGCCGCCGCGCCCAGCGGAAACCGCTAGGAAGCAGAAGCAGCCGGCTCCTGGAAATCTCGAATCCAATCGCTCCGTTCACAACCAGCAGCCGCCTCAGCAGACGCACCAGCAGTCGCGAGGTGGCCGGGGAACTGGTCGGGCGAAGCCCTCAACTGGTGGGCAGCAACAGCCGCAGAGCCAGCAGCACTCCAACAACGCCCAGCCAGTCGACGCCAGCGCTCCTCCGAAGAGATCCCAGCGGGGAAAGCGCGCTCATCGCCAGAAGCAGGGTGAGTTTGGGAATTATATTATGTACATATAAATTTATTACTTAAATATTGATATTGAATTCCAATTTCTGTTGCAGAGGATCTCTCCGGCATTCCACACAACATGGGCTATTTCAATCCCAACGAAGTTGCCATACCTCCGCCGCAAACAGGCAGCTATGCCAGCACATTGTCGCAGCAGATGCAGAACTTGCGCATCGGCCAGTCGGGTGGCAATTCCAGCGCCAAGCAGCCATCGCAGTCGCCCAACTGCAGCATCATGGATCAACTGAGTCGAGGCGTGCAGGTGGAGCACCTCTCGCTGCCACCTGGGATCACGCTGACCAAAGTGGATCCCGCCAAGAGCGAGCAGTTGCGCCAGAAGAGCGAGTCCATTCGGCTGCTTTCCAAGCCGCTGGCCGAGCAGCAGCAGCAGCAGCCGCAGCAGCATCACTTCCAGCAGCCATCGCACCTTCTGGCCGGCTATTATGGAGCAGCCGGTGCCGCTGGCATGGATCCCAACGGGGTAATCATGGTGGAGGCCAATCCGCGCCCGAATCGCCACAGCCAGCCTACGAGTGCGCCACCAAATGTGGCGGCAGCTGCCTCGGCGGCAAGTGCCAGTGGAAAGTCTTCGCGGCGCCGTCGTCGCAATCGCGGGAAGTCCGGTGGTGGCAGTGGAGGAAACATTGTCACCTCTGGATCGGCCAACAAGCAGCGATCGGGAGGATCAGGATCTGGAGCAGGGGATATCCAAAAACAGGCTGCCTCGCCAGCCGGTGCAGCCACCATCAAAACCAATGCCAGTGGCAATATTATCACCCTGCGCAACCCAATGTTCCACCAGGGCAATGGACCAGTATCCGGCGGAGGCATGATGCCACCCAATCCCAACCCAATGCCACCAGGTGAGTATAAGTAAAACAGAATGTTAAATTTATGTTAAATCATATAAAATCCTTACTTTGCAGTGCGAAACTTTGGCGGTGCTCTGCCGGTGGCTCCGCCCATGGCCATGGATCAGCCTGCCGCAATCATCAAGAACGAGAACGGCATGTTCACCATTCGCAATCCGGCGCTTCACCAGGCGGTCACCAATGGCCTGGCGATGGGCGGCTACCGCCAGTTCGGCAGCAATGTCAACTACTATACGCCGCAGGAAGCGGTGGCCGAGGCGGCGCGGGCTACCCAGCAGAAACAGCAGCAACAGCAACTGGCCGCGGAAATCGGCAGCGGCAACAACACCTCGAATTTCTCCTACTTCTCTAGTGGATCGGCCAGCGGCAACAGCAGCGGAAGCAGCAACGGTGGCAACGGGACGCACAACAATATCAGTATTAGCTGTACAAACGTTCCCCCGACTCCAAACACCGCCGGCAGCGGAGCCAACAGCCCGGGCAGACTGGTCGGCGATGCGGCGGTGATTGCGCGTCCCAAGCAGTCGCAGAAATGCCTCTCGGCCATCGGCAGCGAGCTGAAGCAGAAGGCCAAGGACAGCAAGTGGCCCTGCTTTGGGCAGCAGCCGCCGCCATCGGAGTACAATTCGGTGGCGGGTGGAGGAGGAGCAGGAGGCGGCGGAGGCGTTCCTTTGCAGGAGAAGTACCAGCAGTCGAGCTACTACAACGGCTTCGAGGTCTTTTCAGCGGCGGGCGCGGCACAGGCTCCTGGCGGCGGCGGCGGATCGAGCGAATGCCACATGCATCACAGCTGCGGCGACGACTCTCCGCCGCCCACCATCACCGGTTTCAATTCCTACCTTGAGGGCATCCCGAACACCGGAGTCATTCGCTACGACGACGCCGCCTTTCTCAAGAACTTGATTCCGGGCCAGCATCTCAACAACGAGGTGTGTGACTGGTTTGGCAACTGGCCACTGGGGCGGGATGTATTTTACAACTACCCAAACTATCCGGAGTTCAATCTGACTCAAGTCTCCTACCCATTTGCATCGTTTTTCTCATCCTAATCATATCATTGTACAGTTTTTCTTTCGGATTGCCCAGAAATGCTCCAAGAAAATTGGTATATTTTGATTTTTGTATGGGAAGTTTGAAAATAAATTAATGGGCGTTGGGACTGATCTTTACAATTAGTTTTTTCTAAAAGTCTTACACGTAAGACATGTCTTTTTATAAATTTCTTACTTAATTTTTTTAACTTTAAAGACATTTATTGGACAAAGCTAAGTTGCAAATTTTCAAATTTTCAAATTTTTATTTTTATTTTTTTGGTCTATTTTTTAATGTCCTGAAAAAATACTATATTTTGACTTTTCCAAAAATCTAAAAAAAATTATAGCCAGATTGACAGCATATTTAAACTTAAAAAAAAACTTTTTTTATTTATGTCTAGAAACCATAGATTTTCAAATTTAGAAATTCATTTATTAGAAAAACTATATATAATTTTATTAGTTGTACATAAGGGGAAAATAACTCCTTACAGTTTGGATTTAATCAGGGGTTATGTATATTAGCTAACTCACAATATCTTTATTCGTAGGTCTCCATACACAATATATCGGAGTCCAACTTCACGCGCAACAACGCGTCGCCGTCGCCGCACCACGTGGAGATAACCAGCGTCTTTGGCAGCCGGGTGCGCTCCTCGAACGCCTATGATCCGCAACAGCAGGCACCGGCGGGCGTTGGTCCAGGTGCCAACTACTGCGACAGCGTGGCCGCCGACTACGGCAGTGGTGAGTAGAGCAACCAACCAGAGGTAACCCATATCCAGCACTCTGTTAATAAACTGCCCCGTTTGCAGATTCCCACCTCTTCGTGCAGAACAGTCTGCTGACGCGAATGCCACAGCCACCGGCACCTCCGGATCCCTTCGGTTACGACTTCGATCCCTCCGTGGTGCCCGGCGGTGAATCGAAGGCGGCCAGCGTGGCCAGCGACCTGAACGAATTCCTGCGCCGCAGCCCGCTGAGCCAGCGAACCTCGCCGTACAGTCCGGATGAGAGTGCCGCCGCCTTGGAGACGTTCGTCCAGAACATGAGTGCGCTGCAGATCGCGAGCGATGCCGAGCAGTGCTCGCGGCTCAACGGAACGGCATCAGGGGGAGGACCCAACGATGCACCCGCGGCGGATGCCACCGCCGGAGGAGCCGCCAATGCGGCCGCCGCCTGGTGGTGAGCCAACCACATGACAAGAGGTGCTGCATGGCCGGCAGATTGATTTGAACTCCACACATTCATACCGCTCTCACCATACGCAGACATTTCATCGATAGGGCTGAAAAACGATAATTGAAACCAGAAAAAAAAAAAACAAAAACGAAACATAAAAATACAAAAAAGCAGAAAACACATCCAAGAAATCATTCAAAATGGCTTAGGAGTCAATTTCAATGTTTCAACAAAAAAGAGAAAAAATAAAGAAAAAATTAACTTAAATGGAAGTTGATGCGTAAGTTCCTTTTTTTTTTTAATTTTAACCACCATGAATAGAAATTTTCCAATTGTTTTGTGTTATAAAACGAACCTTTCTCAAATAATTGGATTTATTTTAAATTTTCAATTTGATGCTAGAATTATAAAAACGTTAAGCTTAAATCTCCACGAAGATGGATGCTGTTGAGTGGCTAAAATACTTGATTGCGTTTAAATCTCAAAGACGAGGGATCCTGAGGCGTAGCTGACGCTAGAGTCCTCCATGTCCTGGCACTGGCTGCTTTGGGCGTACTTGAGGAACTTAAAACTCATCTTGTCATAGCCCTGATCCTGCAGAGCCTTCACAGCGCCCAACATCACGCCAATGGGATGGCGACCGCATATCGTGTTGTTGTACTTGCGCAAGTACTCGGTAAACGCCTGCGGATTGAGCGTCTCGATGAGGTCCATGCCCTGCTTGTCCAGCTTCTCGATGGACTTGTGGATGGCGCCGCAGGAGCGGTCGTAGTACGTGTAGCTGAAGCGCTGGCCCCAATGGCAGAAGTCGGAGGATATCACAAACAGGTTGGTGGGGTCCATTAAGTAGGAGGACAGCAGGTTGCCGTACTGTGCCTCCTGCTCGGGATTTAGCGAACCCACCAGGATAGGCACAATGGTGAACTGATCTTTGTAGCTGCAAAAAGTAAAGCCTTCATATTACTAGCCCTCAAAGAAAATATAGTTAATTTAACTTACTCCTCCATTACTTTAGCTATATAAGGCAAATGCATCTCGATGGAGTGCTCATCTTCGTCCGTCTTCATGTCCATCCAAGAAAACTGTCCAGTCTTCTCCAGCTCAGCATTGACTGCAAAAATCATTGAATTAAAATTTGAAAAATACATTTTTGGTTAAGAATCATACCCTGAGTATCAATTTTGAGATCATAGAGGGGTGTCCTGTATTTTTTCGCCACAGATAAGGCACAACCACGGAGTCGCACGTGGTGCGAAGGACCCAGAATGAAGATCCTTTTTCTGTAAACCAATTGTTTTATTTAATTTGATGGTTTTTAATTTATTTGTTTTTAAGTTCTTACACGACAACAGGACTAACTTGGCGGTAGGCGAATGCACCGCAGGCACCACAATACGTGTATCCAGCATGTCTGAAAAATGCAGTAAATACAATATGGGATTTAACGTGATTTCAGTTGTATATTACGGAGCAATAATGGCGCGTGCCGGTCCATGTGAGAGATCAGCGGCACCTAGCCAACGATCCAACTGCCTGGAGAGTTCAGTGCCTGCAAAAAAATTTACATTTTTTATTAAAAACAATTTAACATTTTTTTAAAATTTGATAGAGATTAATGTAAGTCAGTTATTGTTTTCAAATAAAGCAGCTCAGTTGGCTTGGTGTTGCCTAGCAGCAAACAAACAAATACGATAACAAGTTTTTCTGACTGTCTAGGAAGGCATATCTTAACAGTGATTTAATTACTATATTTAAGTTCAAATTTTAGTTAAACGATGGATATGGAAACTGAAAAGGAGAAGCACAGCGATGAGTTGATGAATCGCATAAGGAATGAACTAACAGCCATTATATCGCAGACGTGAGTACTATATTCAAACTTTTATTATTATTATAGAGAAATTATCCACAATTGCAAAGTGTGAATAATTTTATGCTTCGTTTTAAGCAATAGCTACAGTGGCCTTCTGCTTAAGTACTATGTTGTTATAACTGACTGAATATTTGTTGAGTAAATAAACGTATCGTAGGTATTCAATCTTATAAAATAGTTTATAACGCAAGTTAGAAAAAATGTGTGTGTTCTAATTCCAAATTTTTTTTCATTAGAACTACCGAAGAAAGGGAGAAAGCCAATGATGAACTCTTGAGCCCGAATCCCTTGCCCATTTTTGGGCCAATAAGTAAAACTAGGTTTAGAAAATCAACGAAGTCGGGCCACACCAAGAAAAAGGTGGATAAGCCCTCTTCTGCAGGCAGTGCGAAGACTTCCTCGGAAGGAAGCGGATCATCTGAAGATCGTTTAGCGGGAGGAGATGTCCAGAAAAAGGCCACGAATCCGACTTCCACCACCTCCAGTTCCTCACTCGGAACAGAGAGTTCTGGTCAGTATGAAGGTCCACCCAAGGACCCCAAAGCCCGCGCAGAGTTCATGGAATCCTATGCGGCCAAGAGCATTGATGACGACGTTCAAAAGATGCAGTTGGAACTGAAGCAGAGCTATGAGCTTTTTCAGGGTATTGGAGAGAAATTCGAGTCGGTGAATTTCACTGGCTTGCAAAACCGCATTCGAGATCTACATCTGAACGACTCCAACAACGAAATAGGCAAGGCAACAACCCAGGAGCTGCAAAAGATGTTCGACCAGCGCTTTCTGCAGAATCGTCTGGACAAGCTCTCTACGGATGCGACTGAGGGTTTCCGTCGGCATCCCGGGGAATTTGGAGACATCCCAGAGCTAAGCACTTTCTTCCAGGCTTGCACTCAATTGGAACATGGACTGGATGCACTACGTCAACAGAGACGACGCAACAGCGAACTGGAAAAGCGGCTTTGTTGGGCTACCGAGATTGCCTACGATCGCATGGATGAGATTCGCAATTCCGTGGGCTCCGATCCGGAAAAGAACTTCTAATTTGCCCTTTACTTAGTCATAGAACATATACTATATGTAGTTATTTTACGGTTCATCCAAAAGTTCATTACCCGTATACACATACACATGCAGGTGCAATACATATGGATATTCCCCACAGACACAATGCACTTGGAATTTACTTGGAATTATTTTATGAGTTATTCGCTTACCCGAATCAGTGTACCAGCTGCCTGCGTGGGTTGCTCTTCTGGCCGACATTTTACAGCGAGATCCCTAATCGGTCCGTTTAGCTGGTGATATTAGCTGGCAGTTACTTGTAAAAACCCGTCTTTGTTATTGGTGCAAGCAGTGTGACCGTAGCCAACGTTTTCAAAACTCGACGGTCGCTGCCGTGAGTGGAAATACTTTTTCGGCACTGGGCTTTGGTATTACTTGTAACATTCAAATATAATTATAATTTTATTATTAAACGTTTTTTTTGTACTTTGTACTTATGCGGGCAATTTGCCCCGGGCCTCGCGTTTATGGGGGCCCCGCGCGATATGATATAAGAATTGACAATCCCCCAAAATTGAAGGCCCCCGCAGTTTTTTGGGTAATACTTCGGAATTTTGACTCCAGCTATATCTCAGCCCCAAAAAATCTTGGGAACCAAATCAAGGGTTTTTTCGTAAGATAATAACCCCCTTAGGAGGGGTAGAAGGTTTTTTACCTTGGGAAATGGAAATTTCCTCGGAAAATCATGTGTAATAAGTATTTTCGCCCGCTACCAGCCCTCACTATTATCGGAAATTTAAGGCTCGATAGCTCGTAAACGGTGCGAGAAATCGAAAAATTTTATTTATTAAAAAGTGTTTACTTTGGGCCAATTATCCAAAATATGTCCTCAAATCTCTCCTAGCGCGGAAATGCATGACGTGCATGTAAGAGTTTTCCGCTGATTTTCCGAGGAAATTTCCATTTTTCAAGGTAAAAAACCTTCTGCCCCTCTTAAGGGGGTTATTATCCTATGAAAAAACCCTTGATTTGGTTCGCAGGTTTTTTTGGGGATTAAATATAGCTGGAGTCAAAATTCCGAAGTATTACCGTTTTTTGCCCCGGGCCCGAGACTACTTCTGTGCGCCTTTGAGTCCAGACCTCTTACCAAGTGATTACCACCTGTTTCTGAACATGGCAAACGAGCTTGGTAGAAGGAAGTTGGCCACAATAGAGGCCTATTAAAATTGGCTCTGAGTTTTTTTTTTCCAATAGGGAAGCGAGTTTCTATAAGAAGGGCATTATGAAGTTGGCCTCGAAGAAAACGGCCCTTATATCACTTAAATCCCCTGATTGAAACAAATTTGATGGATAATTTAAAAATTCATTTAAATACCGCAGGGCTTTTTTGACACCCTTTTATTTTGTTTATAATGTATTGTTAGTGGAAACACTTAAAAATACACACTTGTCCTGCGTCTTAGTCGTAGCATAAGTAAGCAATGACATTTTCAACTAACTAAATTAAAATAAATTTCATATATGAAAATATACTGTCGGGACCGTGTCTATTGCTTAGTGGGAAGGATCTCAGTTACAATATCAAGGCCGTGAACTAATCGTTTATAAACACTATTTGCTTAAATTTTTTTGTTTCACTTAAATAAATTAACGTATTATCCTTACAAGCGAATAAAAATCACTTCAAAAATATTTTCTACAATAAAGGTATTTTTTGTAATGTGCCTTGCGCATATCGTGGTATTTTCGAGCTGTAGCCCTGCGGCCACACTGTTCGCATAGCGTCATTGCTGTACTAAAACCTAAAAATCCGCCGTGTTCGTATTCCGCCATTTTGAAAGCTGCGAGTGGAATTTGGACGCGTTGCTGGTAAATTATTTGTGGGAAAACTGACCGAAAAGTGCATAAAATTAGTGAAAAGTGGTCGGCGACGGTGTGTGAACCCACCCGCCAAGTGTTCGCCCCCAAAAATTGTGTGTGGCCCCGGTTTTGGCACGTGAATTTTGTCCAATTGTGAACTCGCAAAAAAAAGAAGAAAAAACCGACGCCGCCGTCGCCGCCGCCACAAAGGAATAGGCGAATAAGCGAGAGAAAACGCAAAAACGAGAGAATAGAAAATCAAATTGTGTGCCGCTGATTGCGTTTCAGCAATTTAATAATACCAAAAAACTCGGCTGCGGCGAATTTTCACGGATTACAATATTACATTTCCATTTGCCTTTCTGTTTGCAACGAGTGGGCGTCTGTATGTGTGAGTGTGCGATAAACGTGTACAAGAAAAATTTAAACGTGCAGAATTCTGATGAATTTTAAAGCGGAACTACTTTAACTTGTATGGGTGATGTGTGTGAGTGCGTGTTTGTGTGGGTGCACGCTCACTTGACCAAGTATTGTTGCGGTTTAATGCAAAGTCGAGTGCGTGTGAGTGTGCGAGCGAGTGAGCAACGCCTGCCATATTCTATGCAAAACATAAATAAAATTGTGCAATAATTTCCCCACATACAGGCACAGATACACATTCTCTCGCTTAAATATGCGTTTGTGTCTATTTCGTATATGTGTGCTTCTTTTTTTTTGCGCCCGCCTAGTGACAATACACACGCAAGGTTCACTGCGCAACGCCCGCCCCCAGTTCTTGCGACCCCCCTTTTGCCCACGCCACTGCAACATGCTGTCTCATCGTTGTTGTTTTCCGCCGCCACATTTAGTGCGAAAGAGAGAGGAGAAGAGGCAAAAAGCAACGAGTTTGAAAACCAACTAAAGCCTCATGTTTACACATTTCAACCGGGAGTTTGTTCTTTCGGGCGGATTAAAACTCTTTAAAGGGAGAAAGTGCTGCTGCCTATCGTTTGGCGCTTTTGCTTCACAAGTTTGAGTCTTGAAGTAGAAATAGTATTTTTGCCCGCATATTGATTGAAATTTACAAGCGCACAGCACTGACTCATACTCATGCAGGCAGCTACTGTTGAAATTGCATTGTATTTCTGTGTTTATGCCGGAACGGCATTTAAATACACAAAATGCCAAGTGAAAAAGTTTGATAAAGTTGCGAATGTCCGTTCAAATTGACGCTTGTTTTCTAGTTTTATTACAATTTTTGCGCTTGTCGTGTTTTTGTCGTTGATTCTTCATCTCTCTCGCTCTCTCTTTTCGTTCGCCCTTTCACTGTTCGACGTGCCTGTACCCATCACACACACATACACTTAGCCACACATACACTCCAACATGGAAAGGCAGACAGACAAGCAACTCTGGGCTCCCCATCTCCTCTGCCTACCTACCTCCCTTACCCCACCCACTTACATTTGCAACGGGAATGTTGTTGGTGTTGCTTTGCAGTGCTCAAAACTTCGGAGAGGATTACAAATGATGTTTTTGTTTTTGCCAAAACGGAAATACAGACAAACTTCTGCCACATAAAGAGTTCAAATTATAGGGACTGTTATTTATTTCCCCTTGTCTCTGCAACTTTTTGCGCACTTTTGGGTTATCAAAATAATTTAAGGACTTCTGAAAGAGGCATCGTTTGAAAGTGCATATTTTATGGAATTTAATTTACACACTCGATACAGAGGCTGAAACTTAATGTTGTTTTTAAAGTTTTTCTCTTGATCAAAGTAATTTTATATTTGAAATATAACATTATAAAACAATTTTCCTCCAAACGATTTTATTTGGTGTAGACACTAGAAATTGAATTTCATAAAATTTGTGTTTAAATCTTCACAAGAAGAATGTATTTCCCCATACCGATTTTGTTTTGCCATATCATGCAAACAAATCAAATAGAATAGATGGAAATATATTGCAGAGACCCCTTTTTTCGTATCCACTTGAATATTTGCATTGCCATGGAATTCTGTATGTAGTCCATCGATAACTGTACACATTGCTGATTTTATTGTTACTTGTATATTTTTTTGGCGCAACAACATTTCCCGTCACTGCCCTTTTTTGGGCAATAATAAATTTGATTGTGTTCGGCTGCACACTCCCACTCTAACGGTTATTTATTGTCAATGCCAGGCAAAGCCACCCACTATTTATCCCCTCCCACTCCCCCGCCCCTTATCACTTTGATGCTTTGTATTTTTGCGCGGTGTTTGTTGTTTTGTGTTTGTTGCCGACTGCGCGCGTGAAAAAATGCACACCTGCCCAAAGAATTTCACACTTTGGGGTGCGAGCGGGGTAAAACAAAGCGAAAGCAGCCACAGAAATAGCAGCAAAACGTTTAAATTTAAATATAAGTCTGAGAAACTAAAATTCGAGCAAAAACACAATGGCAGCCATGTGTGCTTTTTTTTTTTTTGTTTAAATGTATTCCTCTATCTCTATCGATCTGAAAAATAAATACACCGAGAGGGGGAATGCACTTTGCCATCCCGATTTTTTTTATACACTTCCCGAAAGTAATTCTTTTTAATGTGACAATGGAAAACCAAGTCTATCTTTATTTTGTCTAAACTGGCAAAATTCTAGAAGAACTATAAGACTCTTAGTAAGAGTGTGCCAAATAAAAACAGACAACACACTTTCAGATGGCTCAGCCAAAATCCGTCTAAAACAACAGATATAGCAATAATAATAGCAAGAGCAGCCACAACGCAACATCAGCAATTCGTAAGCGTGCGAGGGCAGTATATATACAAAAGTTGTATTTTATTTGATTTTTTCCCACTTCTGGTCACTTGCCACTCGCTATGCTGGCTTGCAGTTTTTCAATTTGCGTCATTCGCAGACCGCGCACCACCAATCAATATTATAAAAAAAAAATAACAGGGAAAAACGAGAAAAACGCGAGGGAAAACAATGAGAAAGCAACGCAGAATGACAAATACAGACAAATAAAAACATTGGCCAATGTCAGGCAAACAGTTTAAGTGGTTTCTTTTGGTAGTACAGTAAATATCGACGGTTAAATTATTGCTGAAGGTCCAACGTAATAGCTTTATCTGCAGTTTTTATGGCAGTTGCAGTAAATATCACCGGCAATTATCGTCTCGGAATCTTACTTGGTCAAGTGTTTGCTTAATAAGTGCTGAGTCTTTATCCATATATTCATGCTTGTAAACCGCCTTATCAAGCCAACCTATATTTGAATTGATTTTTTACACTAGGACAACATGGGTGTACTTATTTAGAAACTTTTAAGTTTATAGAAGATTAAAGATTGTCCCAAAAATGTTGTAGACTGTCTAAAATGTATTTATAAATACTCTTTTTTGTTCTCCATAAATCAATCATATTTTGATTTCAAATATAAAACTATTTTGTTTTTTGTTTGAATCAGGGATAAATTTGTAATTTAATTTAAAACAAACCAATAATCCTATATTTTGCAAAGAAATGACTTCTGGCTTATACCAAAAACTGATTTTAAAGCCTTATTTTTGTTGCTATAAACAACAAAATATAAAAGAGCACGACAAATAAATGTCAAACTTTAATCAAAATTTACTAACTGGCAACTGCATTATTTGTCAAAGATTTGTGATGTAAGGCCCATGAATCAAATTCTCTCAACTTTCGCCGGCATTAAAAATGGCTATTGCGAAAGCAGCTAATATTGTGGCATTAATATAAACTTGCTATAGCCCCTCAATGAGAAGCAATATTTTTATTTTCTGTTAGCCACGAGACTTTTGGCGTCATCTTGAAGCCGGCTTTAATGCAATATGCATGAAACAGAAAGCTGAAATTGAAACCAGAAAGGCTGTTCGGGGGGGCGTGGAGGGTTAATGGCGGGGGCGGGAGGAAAAGCGCGGGAACGCAACGTCACGACAGCCGTTAATTCAGGCAAAAAACAAGTTACGAGCACCGACTTAAAGTTTGAAAAATCCCAGGCAGTCGCAATAACGACGCATGAGCAGTTGCACTTTGAATTTTCAGTTGCAGTTGTGGCCGTTTTCCTACCCCCTGAATTTCCTCCATTTTCCCCCAGCATCTCTGGGGCTTTAAAAGTTGTTGCCCACAAATGCGCATGACTTATTTAAACGTGTTTTAAGCAGGCACACAAATACGCACCAACAATTTAAGCGAACATGGCTTTTCCTGCCTGAAATTGTGGCAAAAAAAAGAAACGTAAAGAGGGAAAAAATAAGGCAGCAAAGAAATGAAAATAAAATCGAGTGAAAAAGGCAACCATTGAGTTTGCCAGCGGCTCTTTAGCGCTGACTTTCCTCATTTTTTTTTTTTTTGCCTTTTGCTGCTGCCGCCCCGCTCTGTTATCGTCTGCCTCGTTTTCGTGTTGATAAACCGGTTTTTCGCTTTGGCTTGGTTTGGTTTGGTTTGTTGCTGTGCCGCCTGCTGCTGTCCCCTGTCCATAAAAAGATATGTACTCGGCCATCGTCATCGTTGCCGGAGTTACTGCCGCTCCAGTACGACAGTGCTGCCGGGATTTTAAAGCCAACCACCGGCTACTGTTGTGCAATCTTGGGTTTATTACCCTTTTTTTTTTTTTTTTTTTGGAAATGTGGAAAAACGTTCTGCAAGGTTCTCAAGTAAACGATTGCTGGGAAAATGTGTTGTTACAAAGCATTTGTTGTAACAAATTCGTTTGATTTGCTACTCAATACTCAACTCCCTAATTTGTTTGTTCAAAAATAACATCTGCAATGTTTAAGGTCTAGTTAGAATAAAAAGCAACTGAACTTTCTACCCATATTTCATGAAGAAGAAAATACTTTAATTTAACCAAAACAACCTGCCAATTTCTGCAACTAAGTTATAATTAGTCGCATCAATAAACCAGCCAAACTGGCTGCTCTGTTGCCAAATGTGGCCGGCTTGTTTGTTAGACAGCCGGCGGCTTGTACGGAATCAGAATCGAAATGGGAATGGGAATAAGAATCGGACTTGGCCTCAGCCACAGCCTCAGATTCAGATTCAGACTCAGGTAGCTGCGCGTCACACTCGGAATGTATCTGTTAGATACACGGCCACGACTTACTGTACACTCCGGCGCTAGTTGTGATTTATAATGGCTCGCTGGATGTGATTCTCCGCTCGCTGCATTATATGCTTTGATTTGATATTTATTCCTATTCATTGCCCGCGGGCATCAACAGGTTTTCTCGCTCGATTCGGTGGTTTCGCAAAAGCGGTTCGGGTGAAAAGTGCCTCTCCCACAGGCGTGGGCGCTCACACACTGCGAATGCCACATCCTGTGGCAACTTCAGGCATTCAAAAAAGAAAAAAAAAAGCAGAAAGAAAAAAACGCGAAAAAAGCAAGCTGAAGTGAAACTGGTTTTTGGCGCGCTTTAAAAACCTCTTTACTGACATTTTCCATTTCGACTGTGCCTCGAAACGGCAAAGTGCCTCTGTTGCAAAGTTGAGCAGAAGTGTAAGTTTAGTGAACAGTAAGCTTGCAAATTAAATTAAATAAGGAAACAAGTTTTATTAAATGAAATCTAAGTTTTAAAATGTTTTTTAAACTGTAATCCAGTAAAACGTATTACGTTACTCTTCAGCTATGTCTTGAGCAAAACAACATCAGTTTGGTTCAGATAAAGCCGGTTTATATTATAATGCTCATACTAAGAAGTGTTCAAAATCACTTCAATATTATTATCATAAAACTGAGCGGAAAGAAAGCTCGTGCCTCCAATAAAGTGGATTAACATATTCAAGTGAATTTCCAATAAGTGCAGTGAATCATCCGATTTGAGCCGGTTGGTTTGTCCACGCAGCCATATTCTGCAAAATATTTCCGAGTAAACAAATGCGAATCAAAAATCCAAAGCCACATGAGCCACAAATTCTGGGCATAGAGAAATTGCTTGGAAATTAACAAAGCGTTGCGCCCACTTGACTTTGGCTATTCACTTGATAAATATATGCATATATATATGTGAATTTGTCATGAAAAGGGGGGCTAAAGAGGGTCTGCGGTGATGTGATTGTGCTGGGATATTTTTTTTTCCATTACTCGATGTCATAATTGCGTTGCTTATTTCTGTATTTCAGTATTTTGGCTTGCGATTTTGCTAGCGTTCGCTCGAGCGTTATTCCCCCCGCAGTATCTGTGCAGGTTTTTTTTTCATTCGACTTTTGCTATTATTATTGTAGTCTCGTCGTTGCCGCATTTAAGCGTATTTCATACTTTTGCACAATACGTGACACATGGCTGATGGGAAATGACGAATGGAGGGAGCGGGAACCTCGGGCAGCGGGCAGATGTGTGTCTAAACATAGCCTATAGCCGTAGAGGCAGTCATTGACGGCTTATCACCGGAGATACACGCACATACCATACACACACCAGTATGGCTAACCATATGTACATGCAGGGATATATCTGTGCTGTCAAAGTGTTTGTTATTGTTCCGATTTGCGGCTCTTATCAGCGCTGCGAAGTGAATCTCCGCTCGTATATAACAAAAAAACTATAAGAGCGTTTAGTCGGGCAGCAATTCATGCGATATATATATTTTTATATACGGGTTCGGATTATAACTGTCGTTTTGAGTAATTTCATGTGATCGTTAATAGTTATCATTTTATTGATAGCTACTCAGCTGTTGTTCGCCCCACTCATAAATCCGATAGTCATTCAAATTAGTGGTGGCGATAAGGAATAACAAGTTGGAAAATTTCGCTAATGCTTCGACTTATCTTGGAGTATTGTCATTGGAAGTATATTGTTTGGTCTTTAGACTGTGAGTCAAAATCGAAATCCTTGACATAAGTTCAATTTAATATACAGTTTAGTATTAAAAAAATGAATGTATATTTTTAATGAGATCCGGTTTTCGTTATTATTAATAGCTAAAATCACTCAACAGTTGACTAATCTAAAAGTTTAAAATCTGTACACTGTACACTCAACCATCGTATAGATGTTCACACTTTTCTTGAGCCCATGGTGTATATATCGGTCACATTGCCATCACGCCGCTCTGGAATCCCCAACCCACCATCCGTCGCCCGGAGTCGTTCCACGTCAGATAACCAAGAAGTGTCGTGGTGATAAGATACGGCTGGCTACTACACGTAATCCGTATCAACTCGTCGACCGGGCAGATGTGTGGGTACAGTACCTTGCTCTTCTGAGTTGCCGGGACCCATTCTTCTGTCTAATCAACCGTCCGATAAGTTCAGCTGGCTATGGTCGAACAAGGGGGCTTTCAAGCCCAGCGGTGACGAGGTGTTTCTGAGCCAGCTGGCCAACAAGAAACGCCCTTTCATCCATATATAATCGAAGAAGTCGAGAAGGGGGAGAATTGAGACTGAGACAGGCCACCGGGCACAGGCCATTCCGCTTCGGTCGGCTTCGATGGTCTTCTGTCGCATGTGAACGGCGTTGAATTTCTATGTTTCTGCAATGACACCTCCCCTCCAAAATCCCACTCCGAATCGCCGGCCCTTTACGCTTAAGCCACTCAAAATAATGCGGGAAAGGGAAAAAGGGAGAGGGGAAAACGAGGGCAGCGTTGTGAGTGCGGCAATAACGTAGCTATATCGCTGATGTTGGCGAAATCCAAACGAAGAACTTGTCATCAGTCGAATTCTGCTGACATGAGTTGTTTGGTTTTTGCTTTTTTTTGTTTCTACATCACATTTCATGTTTTCCATTTAATTTATGTGTTATGTGTTTTTGTTGTTTTCATTGCAGGATTCTCGATTTCAATATGAAGCGCCAAAAATGATTGCAGCGTTTGCATCGTAGTCTTGAAAAGGTTTTTTTCATTGATTTAATTAGAGCCACTGAAAGCGGTTGGCCATCCAGAGAAGCGAGCGACCAGGGATAAAGGAATTCCCCACAAGTCTGCGCCCAGCGCCCCCTTAACGCGGTAACCACTGACAGAGAATCAAAAGAGGAACCACAGCCGGAAAAGGCCAGAGGTTTAATTGTTACGACGACGACGAAGAAGAGCAGAGGACAGCAGCAGACAGATTCGGATACAGAAACAGCGAAATGGACAAAAATCTGATGATGCCGAAGCGTTCGCGCATCGATGTCAAGGGCAGCTTTGCCAATGGGCCGCTGCAAGCACGCCCACTGGTGGCCCTGCTCGATGGACGCGACTGCTCCATCGAGATGCCCATCCTAAAGGATGTGGCCACGGTGGCCTTCTGCGATGCACAGAGCACCTCCGAAATACACGAGAAGGTGCGTATAAATGCTTACATTTATTTGGTATTTATTTTCTAATTATTCTGTTCATTTTCTCGTACAAAGGTCCTCAACGAGGCAGTGGGCGCCCTGATGTGGCACACCATCATCTTGACAAAGGAGGATCTTGAGAAGTTCAAAGCTTTACGCATCATCGTGCGCATCGGCAGCGGCACAGACAACATCGACGTGAAGGCGGCGGGCGAACTGGGCATCGCAGTGTGCAATGTTCCCGGCTACGGAGTCGAGGAGGTGGCGGACACGACAATGTGCCTGATCCTCAACCTCTACCGGCGGACGTACTGGCTTGCGAATATGGTGCGCGAGGGCAAAAAGTTCACCGGGCCCGAGCAAGTGCGGGAAGCAGCGCATGTAAGTCGCTTGAAAACAAATTAATTCAGAACTAAAATCCAAAATCTGTTGCTATGTTAATTGTCCATAAAGGCAGAAAATAGCTATTCTTATCTAGGCATTCTAAAGTTAGTAGTCAGCTCCCCTGCAAACCAAAAGCTAATGGCCAAGTAGTAACAATTTTCATGCTAAAAATCAGTTGGTATTATCACGTGTGTTTCAGCTTAACATTGTAGATAACTTTAAGTACTCATACCTTGATACAGATAAGAAGAAAAAAGGTTTTCTATGTTTGTTTGATTGGAATTAAACAGAAAATACCAATTGAGTTGATAAAACCATGTCACCATGACAAATACTTAAACTCTGTTTAAAGCAAGTACCCAAGAACTCGAAAATTATTAAGTCATTTTCGCTAGCCTTATGTTTTCCGGATTATTTGCAAGACAAAATTCAGTGGCTATAATATAGCTTTTAAGCTGATTGCTTATGCCCGAATTCAAATTGGTTCATGCAATTCAAATTCAAATTGTATCCAAAAATACGATTTGCATATAAGCAAGCTCTCCGGTTAGTAAACACACAAATAGTACGAAACGTAGAATATGTGCATTTCAGCAGTATTAGCATTTAATCGATATACATATAGTATAGTTCACCTTTGAAGGCATCTAACTGGAACACCATCTGTTCATTTTCGCTTCACAGGGCTGTGCACGCATCCGCGGCGACACCTTGGGCTTGGTTGGACTGGGACGCATCGGGAGCGCCGTGGCCCTGCGGGCAAAGGCGTTCGGCTTCAACGTCATCTTCTACGATCCCTACCTGCCCGACGGCATCGACAAGTCGCTGGGCCTCACTCGCGTCTACACACTGCAGGACCTGCTTTTCCAGTCCGACTGCGTCTCACTGCATTGCACGCTCAACGAGCACAACCATCATTTAATCAATGAATTCACAATTAAACAGGTGAGTAAGAGCTTTATATCTATTTATATCTAAACACGAAACCTTTGTGAGATTGAAAGGAAATTTCTTGACTCCTGTGAATTGGCTTTAAATAATAATGTTCTCCTGTTTGCAGATGCGACCTGGTGCATTTCTGGTGAACACCGCACGCGGCGGTCTGGTCGATGACGAGACCCTGGCGTTGGCGCTGAAGCAGGGAAGGATAAGAGCTGCCGCCCTGGACGTTCACGAAAACGAACCTTACAATGTATTTCAAGTAAGAGATTGTTGTAAAACGAGACATTTTACGCAATCTGAGTTGGCGCCGCACCCACGTGGAATGTGATCGTAACTAATGCACATTATTTTTTGCAGGGCGCACTGAAGGATGCCCCAAATCTGATTTGCACACCGCACGCCGCCTTCTTCAGTGATGCATCCGCCACGGAGCTGCGCGAAATGGCAGCCACCGAAATCCGGCGGGCGATCGTCGGCAATATTCCAGACGTGCTGAGGAACTGCGTCAACAAGGAGTACTTCATGCGCACGCCGCCTGCCGCTGCCGCCGCGGGCGTGGCGACGGCTGTTTATCCCGAAGGTAAACTACAAATGATATCAAATCAAGAAAAGTAGAGAGACAGAGACAGGCGAGCGAGGGAGCGTTATTACAAGTAAAAACAAAACAAATCGAAACAAAATACAAAAAATACAACAAAAAAAAAAAAAAAAACATAAGAAATCAACCAACAAAATCCAAGCAAAAATGCAATACCAGAAATCGTTTAAACACACATACCTTACACACACACACACCATATACCATACCACACCCACACAAGCACACGCACACAGATGTAGCAAGCATCCAAACATACTTCTATTCTTTCTCTGACTCATTCGAAAGTATATATATATAGACGACGGGAGTGGAGCGCGCCAGAGAGAGTATATAACATTTGAAAGCAAGATTCAAGAACCCACGCTATAAGAGTTGATAAATAAGTTACACAGTTTAAGCTATACAAATATATAGATCTATATACAACATATATATGTATAGTGGCTAAGCGCTGCACCAAGATCAGAATGTTTGACGTCGATGAGGAGGATAGAACGCAGCCGATGTTGGCCAAAAGTTACCTTTATTCAATATGTATCTGTGTATGTATATGCAATGTTTTGGCTCTGTTGATGATGAAAAAAGGCTTCAAAAACCTTGAAGATTTCATTGAGTTCCCAAACTCCTTCGTTTTGTTCAACTTCTTTTTAAAAATTCAATTTGCCTCAAAATTTAACGTTTACATGTGGCCAACTATCTTCACTTTAGTCTACAACAATTACGTGCATATATAGAGACATAAAATACATATTAATGAATAAGTTGCAAGATAATTTACACATGAAAACAAGGTGAAAGTAAACAATATGATGGATTATTGTTGTTGATGTTTCGCGACCTCCCTTCATCCCTCCCAAAAAAAAAACCCTCACATGTGTCCGGCTTTAACTTTAACGGAAACTAGAAACAATCAGCGGAAAGTATGTAAAGTAATTTTGTTCAGTGTATTTAGCCATGTATTCAATGTATTTACAAATTAATATTATTATGGAAAACCAAGCAAATGATTCCAATATGAGTAACTCCCCACGTCAAAACATTTTGTAAGCTTAAGAATAAAATTGGTTACCTTATTTTGCGCCATTCATTGCTGACTTTCAATTGTTAAATGGTTCGAATAAGATACGAAATAAACACCCCAGAGGACAAAGTGTTTAACTGAAATTACTATTCTGTTGCTCAAGCTCTGCTCTATATTACAAAATGATCTCATCATTCAAGTTTATTTTCGCCTTACGTACATTCTTGTATTTTCGATTGGCTACAACAAACAAGCAAACAGCAAGAAAGTTAATAACTAAACTATATATATATTTAATAGATGACAACTCGGCGCGTTAGATTCAACCACATCTATAAATAGAAAGAAGAAAAACTACAATTAAATTAACGCATAGTCTATGTACATTTAAAATATAACAGAAATTATATTAAAAGCAAAACCAGCAAGAAACAACAAATTGCTAAAAAGAAACAAAACAAAAAAAGATAATACATGTAATATTAATGAACCTAGATTTACCTTAACGATAAAGGCAGCTGAACGGCGATGATAACAAGGATATGATCGTCAGCGAGCGGCACAATTAAACATTGTTAGCGTGTAAATTGTAATTTTATTTAACGAGAATATATATTTACATGTAAACGGAAGTGCGCAACAATTGTAAGTCTATCATTTTGTACAATTTTGCAATTTAAGTTTAGAAACGAAAACGAAAAGCTTCAAGCGGTCGCCAACAATGTTTGGATGGATTCTTCCTTCTTTCCTGATCCTTATTTATCTAACTGTCCCGTCCCAAGTCTATCCGATAACGCTCAAAAGAAACGAGGAGATGAAAGAATTAAATTCGATTCCTTAATCCACGATCCGTTCCCTACTTTCCCGTACTTTCCTTGATTTTTTTTTAAACTTCGTTTTTATAAGGAAAAACATTTTTTGTAATATTTCAAACATTTACAAGCACAAAGCATACACGCATACACACACAACATAGACACAGATACAGAGCAGTATACTCACACATCAAACACACCCACGCACACACGCGATCCTATATAGCAAGCTGCAACAACAAATGAGCAAAGTAAAACATAAATAAGCATAAGCATAAAAGTAAAAGTAAACATAAAAGTAATGAGTAACGAGACAAAAGAATAAAATACTGTTATTTTGTAATGTATAAAAGGATATTTTTAATAACTGTGAAAGCTAAATAAAATTAAAAGCGTAACAATTGACGATATGAAGCAACAAAAACGAAACAAAACAAAAAGTTAAGAGACGGAGAAGTTGATTTGAAAACCAAGAAAAAACCTTTCCAGAAAAAAACGAAACAAAAAAAAACCACAAAAGATAGAAACAAATAAAACAAAATCTTTAATGAACCCATTATTGTTTTAACTTGCCAAATTGGAAGCTGTTAAACTCGTTGTCCTCCTTTTTTATGTGTGGCAGTGTTATTGCGCAAGACTGTTTGAAATGTTATCTTATTTTTCCCCGCCTATTTGTTGTTATATTGCAATCGAACTTTGTCGCTGGGATGATGGCATCATTGAGAGCAAGCAGCAGAGCAGAGAGAGCAAATTAAGTTTAAATTAACGAAGCGGCAAAAGTCAGTAATGAATGGAAGCGCTGGTAGCCGTGTGTGTAGCCTTAGCAAATTTGTATCTAGCTCTAAGGACCGGAAGGCTCCCTCCAAAATTCCAATTCGTATTCGTTTACCAGGGGCGCAGCGCCTGTTCCTCTTAAGTCATTGCATCACTTTAAGAGAACAACCAACCAAAGCCAAGTCCACTTCTCTCATATTATAGTTTAGTGCCAGATTACACAGACTCGGCAACGTTTAACTACCCGCACTCAGAACCTCAGAACCAACCCGATAAAAACATAATACCAACCAACCAACCAATCAAACCAAACAGCAACATTTCATATTCTTACCTAACTTTCAACTACCAAAATACCAAATACCAATACCAACCAAATCGAAATACAATCCAGGATTAAATGGCGGCTATTATACAGGCGCACTGCATCACCGGGCACACAGCACCACGCCGCACGATGGTCCCCACAGTACAACCAACCTGGGCAGCACCGTAGGAGGCGGTCCGACGACAGTCGCTCAAGCAGCCGCTGCAGCCGTTGCCGCTGCGGCAGCCGCCGCCGCCCTCCTGCCGTCGCCGGTTCCGCCGCACTTGTCGCCCCAGGTCGGTGGATTGCCACTTGGAATTGTGAGTAGCCAATCGGTAGGTAGTCAAAAACAAAACCAGAAAAACTAATCCAAACTTCCAAAAAAAAAAAAACAAAAAAAAAATTCGAAAACCTCTGTTGTCTTGTGTTTGTGTGTGTTGTTGTTTGCCAAAGTTATTTATGCCATCTTATCCAAGCCCATCCACATCTAAGTAATTAGCCAATTTGCGAGACTCATCAGCAGAGAATCTGTTGTGTGGTAATCGTGTGCGTGGTTCTCCCAGCTCTAGTCCGTGTTTGTTGCTAGTTAGTCGTAGTTCAGTGTTGGCTAGGCTAGGGCTTTTGCTCATCCGATCTGGCTGCTTGTGCTAATCGTTGCTAATCCATGATCCTCTTGCTTTTAGCCCCTGAGTGCGCCCGACCCTAATAATCATCTGTCGTCGAGCATAAAAACGGAGGTGAAGGCCGAGTCAACGGAGGCGCCGTAGGCATCTGCTGTCCACGTGGCCGGAGCCGGAGAGCTGGAGTTGATGACAACGGGCAGTGGCGCAATGGAGTCCAGCACAACTGGCCAAAGGAAGGCGGCGGCGGCGGCGGCGGAGGAGGAGGAGTCCCCAAGGATTTAAATTAAAGAAAGAACCCCCACGAGGAGCAACAGGCGAAATCACAATCCTTAAGGATTAAAATAAAACAAAAAAGAAAAGAAAAACCTCCTGGAGTAGTGTAGTCATCTGTCAAATGTGTGGAAGTCCCCTGTTCGTGCCGTTGTTCGTTTGTTCCGGTTGCCAAACGGATTCCTTGCGCTTCTGTGCCAGCGCTTGATTTGAATTTTTCCAAGTTTCTATGTTTTAATTTAAAATACAATACATATTTGCATTACCAATCCCCCAAAACAAACAAAACACGACAACATAATAAACAACGCAGGAAAACGATGATGAGAAGGAAGATGATCCCCACACACAACACGCCTCAAAATTTACTACATATTTAGACTTTAATTTGTAACTATTTAGAACTTTACAGTTACAACTTAAGATTTTTATTTGTATTGCAGCAAATTGTAAGTGAAAATATGTTACCACATATTAGCGCAAAAACAAATGCAAATGTTGGAAAATTTTAATTATGAGAAACAAAACAATTATGGCATACAAGAAAAAAAAACAAAAACAAAAGAAAAGAAAACACTAGAAACAAAACAAAAGCAACACACAAGAGAGACGTTTAGTGCTAAGATACGTTTAAAGTACATAATAAAAGAAAAACATAAAAGAAAAGCGAAAAACACCTGTATTTGAATGGAGTTAGAACACTCATTTTATCGACTGGAATACATATAGTACATTTATTTGAGTCAGTTACAAACAATAGCTCGTTTGCTTTTGGGTGGTAAGTTCTATTCTAAATGCTACATAACACCATTTACGGATTGCAAATCTACGCAGCTAATAATCATGCGTCCAAGATACATACAGACTGCTTATAGTTCGCTCGGTATTCGTATTTCTAAAACATTTTTACGTTTACAACGCTCAGATATAGTATATAGTATATGTAATAAAGTACTTGTAGGTTGGTATGTTTCGGTTTTCGTTTTGTAAAATTCCTCATTGTTTAGCATTTAGCTTTAGTTATACATTATAACACACGGCCATTGGAGGTCCATCACGTATTCCCCCAATTCTGAACAGTACTAGCTAACTTTTAGATTTTCGCTACGGAATGAACAACATCTATGAGCTGGATTGGAAGATAAAGTAATGCAAATGCAGAGGCGGGTTCTATATGTAGTATCTTCATCGAAATTTACACTGCATTCTCGAGCTTAACACAAGCCTGCTAGGAAACCTTGTACATACAACATGGAATACGATGCCCTAACTATCCAAAACTTAGTTTCTTATACATGTGGTTCTTTTGAGTTAACAATCAGGTGGACAATAACAATGTGGTGTGATCTCTCATGTTTTTTTTGTTTTCAATTTAGATTAGAATGTATTCGAACTGGTTAAGAACGAGTTAGTCACTGATCCGAAAGCAATAATTTCTTAATTGGTATAATTTAAATTCCGAACATGCCCGACAAAAATCTTGGATATTTTAAAACTAGGATTATGTGTAATGGTCTTTTCGGTTTGTGTGTTGGTAGTATCTGCGTGTGCAGGTATATACATCCATGGATATATTTCGTATATAAACGAGTCTATCAAAACATCATTGTACAATAAAATACAATACAACTAATTCGGTTCATCTGCGTACGCTAAATTGTGTATAAATCAGCGCAAGCGATTCGTTAATTACTAAAAACAAAGTCAACAGAGTAGCAGACGCAGGGAAAAAAACAGTCGGCTCATACTTGGTCCACAGTCCATCGTCAAGATCCTAGAAGAAGCGAGTCAGGCGAGGCCGGAAGAAGCGGAAGGCACCGTAGCATCCAAGGCCAATCAGGCCGTACTTTAGCGTGTATGTGCAGATGCGCTGGCCGATGCTGGCCGGCGGAATTTCGAGAATGGCCGGAATCTTCTTGGGGTCCACGGTGCCCCACATCTTGGCAATGCCGTTGGCATGCCCGATGCCCACCACTCCGACCACGCGCACCGGACGGATCTGCTGGGCGCCCGGCGCCGCTTGAGGCAGAGCAGCCAGCTGCAGCGAGTGGCACAGGAAAAGATCGCGCTCGCGCACGAACACATCCGAAAAGGCGGGAAACTCGCCGGCCATCTCCTGCATCAGCTTCTCCAGCAGGTCGCTCTGTTTGCACTCCTCCACCTCCTCTATGCTGATGCTGTCCGTGAAGGTCAGGCGCCAGACCAGCTTCATCGTTTGCCACAAGGACAGCGCACGCAGTGCACGATACAGGGTGATGCGGATGGGACGATCGCCCAGGTGCAGAATGCAGCCGGGCAGCTTGTGGATCTCCTCGAAGGCACGCCGGAACTCTCCGCCTGGCGCCATGCCCAGGTCCTTGGCGATTTGGGCGCTCATCTGCAGCAGCAGGATGAAGAAGATGCCGTTGATGTAGCCATGAGTGTGCAGGATTCCTCGAATCTACGGGGTTTGCAAGTGATTGTTATTAAAAGATAATTGAATCAAAATTGATGATCTTACCTTGGGAATATTGATGCTCTTGGCCTCTTCCAACAGCGTCTTTTCATCGAGCTTCAGGATGTGAATACGCGAAGGACACAGCTCAACCATGACCACATCTGGACGGACATTGCGTATGACCTTAAGAAACAGAGAATACATTAAGGTACTCTTTTAATTTGAACAAGTATGTTGCAAGCACTTACAAATGAGACGTCATCCTGGGACTCCTCGCTAAAGTGGGCCGTGCCCACGAGATACACCTTGCTGCCAAAGGGCGTGTTTAACAGCGTCACCGTCGACGGCAGATTCTGTTCAAACTCCTCGATGGTGTCGTAGATTGTGATTTCGCGCTTGGTCTGCGGCTGATCGATGACCGGCACCAGATCCCGCTTGTCGCCATCGCCATCTGCAGCGGCCGAAGCCTCTGCAATCGAAATGTCCAGCTTCTGCTTGCTCGTCTGCAGCAGTGACTCTTTGCGACGCCGCTTGTCTGCGTTCACGCCTGCCGAAGTATCCTTGCTGGGCGACCTCTTGAGCAGATTCTTCACACTGTCGCCCTCCACCAGCACCACCTCCTTTTCGAGGTCCTCTTCCTTAATCGAGTTATCGTTAATCTCTATAATTGACAGGTTGGGATTATCCGTCTTGAATATTGTCTTGTTGGCCAGCTGCGACTTGGGGTCCACCTCCTCCTGCGATGTGTTGGTGTCAGTGCTCTCGGACTGAATGAGCAGCATGCTGGCATTGAGAGCTGGCGTGGGACTGTTGAAAGCGGCCGGCGCCGGGGATCCGAAGGACTTGAACACAGCCGACTCATTGCCAAATTCCGCATTGACTTTGTTGGCCGAATTCGAGGGGGCCAACGGATTTTGGCTCAGTTCGCTGATAAGGCTTTCTGTGGGTTGTAACAAAAACAAAAAAGAAGAAAATAATGAGTTCATCAAGGTTAAACCCAAGTTTACTTGTAACAAAAAATATAATAAAATGTGAACGGGTTTTGTGGTGTTTAAAGAAGAGGTTCAAATTCAATAAAATAGAATTATGAAAACAATAATTATTCTTTTATGATTTCCTGTTCATATAGAACTTTCAACCTCTTTAGATATTCTTTCCCATCGTTTTTATCGGTGCAATTCGTTAGCAATAATTGCCTTAACAGATCGAAACACTTTTCCTTCATTGCTAAAGCCGTTGCTTCCTGGCGTTCTTCTTGTTTTTTTAACTGGCTTTCATACTTTTGAATGAGCTTCTGCTCTAGTTTCTTAGTTTCTCCACTGATTGTGGCTTTTAGTGAAGGCTTCTGCCGCTCGTAGGCGTGAATGCACATCTTCTGCACAATTTCCCGAAGCTCGTAATCCATGGTTTTAAAATGATCTTTTAGTTTCTCATCGTCTGCGAATAACTGGAACACTTGGGATAATAATTGGTTGGGAAATGTCTCCGGATCTTGGGATTGCAAACTATGACGAGCTGCCACCATAAGGTTTTTCTTAATGCTCCCACTGTAATCGGTCTTTTGGCAGTTTTCCAGGTTTAGTTTCCTCAGTTTTTTCTGTTGGTGCTTCGTTTGGATTTGCAGCGCAGCTATCTTAAATTTAAGAATTTCAACCTTGCGGTTGAGGTGGGTGTTCTCGTTTTTAAGGTCGCCTTGAAGGTAAAGGGCTACCGAATCCGAGGTTTTGTCGCTGGTTTGCTCTAAGAGTTCTTCTAGATTGGCGCCCTCGGTAAAGGGAGCACTTAGATGGCCATCTGTACTTAATTGTTGCTCCATTTTACGCAACAATCGATGTCTAGATTCCTTGTCCAGTCTTTTGGTGTTTTGTAAGGAGTCCAGCCAGCGCATGCAAAGGTCGTATTCCTCGCAATTCTGCGGTAAAGTGCGGAGTAATTGGAAGATACGATTAAGTTGATCTCCCGACTGCTGAGTCTTGTCTGTTTGATGATTATCACAAGCAGGGGAGTCCTTCTGTCGCACGATCTTGTCATCTGAGTGATGTCTATCGACTTCTTTTTGTTTTTCAAAAGCTGGAGAATTAGTTTTCCGAAGGATGTGGTTAAGCTGCTCCTTTGTTTGATGATTCTTGTCGGTTTTCTGCACTTTTGAGGCTTTGGATTGGGTCTGCTTACCATTACAGGTCTTGTAGGCCGTGGTGGACAGCTGGTGATCCAGGGCACTGTCGTACAGCGTATTGTCGCCCACGTATGTGTTGCTCCTTTTGTCCGGCGAGGATTCAAACGACGTGGAGGCGGATAAATCCATGGTGGTAATTTGGGTTTCCTGGAAGAATCGGTTACGAGTGGAAATTCGGTTTCGGTTGATGGCGACGCTTGAACATCTGGCGAAGAACTGTGGAGTGCAAAAGTTAAAGAGCGATTATCAGAGACAGATAGATAATACGTTGCTTTACTCTCTGCAAACTGCAAATTTGTTTTACTTTCTGCCTACGTGTCTTACATTCCCAGCTGCTTTGACGCAGTGACTCTTTCCCTAACTCTGACTTTTAGTTCCTGGGCACATATGTGAACTATATAGCTCAAAATCTAAACAACTCAACTGGGCATTCCAAAAAATCACAATAATTTACTCACCTGAAAATTTGTATTTAGTGTGGGTATTGCACTGCTAAAGATTCGGGGTGCATTGGCAAACCCTTATAATTGACTCTTTTATGCTAGTTGAAAACTCAGTTCGGGTGCCACTGATTGCCGTTTTGCTTTGCTGCGTGCAGTTAATTTTAATAAAAACCCAAAAAACTAAAGAAATTAAATTGTGACTGTGGCAAATTGTCGTTTTCTTGTTCTTCCTAGCGTCGACCAGTGTTGCCTAATGACTGAAAGTGGTTTTATAAGAGTGACTCTTATAAGAAACAAAAGTTATCGACTTAGGGCGATTACAATCGAAACATTTTAATTTAAGAAATAAAAGCGGACTTTAATTTGTCAGCCTAATTTTTTTTATTTTATAATTCGATTTATAATTGAACAGAATGTTTGTTTTTGTTTTAGTTTTAGTTGTTTTGTAAACAAAAGGAGACCCCTATTACACTACCATAACCGGATAGTGTTTTTGAACGGTAACTCTGCGGTCACACTTTTGTTTTGTTTTGCTCTGCAACACGATTTTTTAAATTGCAATTGCAGCATGGCCGAAGAACCCGAGGAACCTGGCAAGGTAGACATTATATAAACCTGAAGATGAAGTATTACCACTTAATTATTAAATCAAAATTCATCCCACAGAGCTTCGTTATCTTTGGCCGTGATGTATCGCAAATCCCGTGCTTTCGTAACAGTTTTCTCTACGGAATCAGTGGAGGAATCGGAATTGGACTGCTGACTTTTCTGGGTACTTCGCGAACGCATCTGTCCACCCACGTGGGATTCGGATCCTTCTTCTGCGGCACCATCGCTTACTGGATGTCGTGCAGGTAAGTGGATTACGACTAATCCCTCTAATTCTATAATAATCGTTTATATTTCATCAGGTATCAGTGGTCCGCGCGGAGATTCGAGCAACAACAACTTCGGGAGGCGATGCGACGACAAGCTTTATATGAGGGCACCGATGTCGAGCGGGATTTAGATCTTAAGTCTGCGTAGCATAAGTCAGTTCCTATCCCATTTTACCTCTTCAGTTTTGATGTTTGTCCTTGGGTACCAAATAATTCAGGCATTGTATAGACCCTCTTGTTGTAAATCCTTTTGTTACTGAATGGCTTTATTATAGCAAATATATTGTATTTTAAGTAAATCCTTACACTGAAGTTGAATCCTTGGTGCGTATATTGAAGAATTTAATTTATTTATCCATAAAAAAATTTTACCATACCAACCTTAATATTGTAATTTTGTTCTTCTTAACCTGTTGATTTTTATTGTGTTTTCCATTCGATTTATATAAACCTGTCGAACGTTTGTTGTGCTTTTGTAGAACATTGACCTTTTCATCAAATTTTATTTCTTTTTTTATGTTCTTTTTTGTCTGTCTTTAATTGGATTTACCTAGCAGAGTTTACAACTTGGAAAAGATTTGATTGATGGTTTTGTGTTGATGATGGAGAGGTGGAAGTAAAAACTGAGCTGAGAGGCAATATATAAATTTAAAAACGTTACACAAAAAGAGCTAATACTTCATTCATAATCTAATGTGGGTTAAGTAATGCATTTACTACTTAGCAACGCAGCTGTTGGCATATTTACAGATTATTTAATACTTATGATAGTTACTACTAAGTGAGATTGCAACTATATATTTCTTAGATATAGAAAACGAGTAATAAGTGGAACCCCAATACAAGATTAATATTCTTATAGATAAGTCCCATTTATTTTTCTATAGCTAGACAACAAACCACTTTAATTCACTGGCAATGTAAAACATTGAACATTTGAGGTAATCTAGATAGGATATATTCCTAATTATAACAAAACAATTGAAAAAAATTGCTTATCTTCAATCTTATTGTAATGTTTTTATTGTCACAGGCTCATAGTAGATGTATCTGTAACATGGAAACCTAATGAAGATAATAAATTAAAGAAAGGCAACCTACAAAATAAATAAAGATATGCAGATAGTTTATTGTTATCCGAAAGTTTTTCTTTGCTACCTGCCTGTTTTTGAAGAGCAGCTCTTGAGATGATAGATGGTGGAACTCCCGCCTGGAAACCCAGACACATTGTTGATCATTCACACATGCTGGCGATCCTGCAGTTCGTCGGCTGTTTGCCTTATCTCAATAAAAGTCGGCGCTTGGACGGATTGCTCGGTCGTTGGCACATTCATTACGTTTTCGTCAACAGTTCGAGGCGGTTGTGTTTTTAAATTCGACGGGCGCCCGAGTTTCTCGGGTCTAATTTTTTTAAAACTTGTTTTCGTTTTACATTCTAAGAACGAACCTGCCATATATGTAAACGAGTCGTAATTGCAGGCTGACACTTATATAGGCATTGGTACCGAGAGATACTGAAAAGTGCGATGTCTGTCAATAAATCAACCTCGACTCTTGTGTTTTTCGTGAATGGAAAAAAGGTACTAGTTCTCCAAGGTACTTAGATACTTTGCGTGTTTTTAGTGTCGTTTAAATATAGATTGTGCTGTTCCCATATCGATTTTCTCTTGTTTTATTGCCTCAATTGCGTTTAACTCGCGCACACTTAATGGAATTTGCCTTCTTGCCCAATTAAATGTGTCGAATGCGTTGCACAAAATATTTATTGAGCATACTGTGCTGATAACAATTGACCCCTATGTGGAGGATCGCTGTTTGCTGGTGGCCCCTTATCACCCTATCAAGATCGTTCGTTCGCCAATCGAATGGGAGCAGTTTCTCTGGGAGAGCAATCGCCATGGGAATTGTGGGTCTGTCCAATAAACAGAGCTTCTAATCCCCGAATTCCGAGTGGCTCTACAATGTTTACATTGCGGCGCAGAATTTAATAAACTAGAGTGGATTACTTTGATAAGAGCTGTCATATTCAGCACCTGGTGTTAAAAGGAGTGCAATTAAAGTTCTTTAATTTACTCCCACAACTTGTGCAACAGAGAATATAAAAAGCTGCTGCTCGTGTGGCTGTTGCCTGATAATAGTAGATAGCGAATTTTATTTACACAGGGCTGGCCGACTAGCAATTAAAATATCACTGTTTAAACTAAGCCACATTTCTTACCGCGCTTCTAATATTATTATTACATTGCATTTGGTATTTAAACAATTTTCAAAGAATTTAAATTAATATGGTTTGATCTTTCGAGATACTTAAACGAATGAATTTAGAAATTTATACCTCAAAAAAAAGAGGCACGCTTTTTAATGTAGTTTTGTTGCTTTTTGATTAGGTTGCTTATCTAATATGGCAACAATCCAAGGCAATAGGTTTTTATCTACGTAATAATAATTTGTGTTAAACTTATCAACAAAAACTTTTTTAGAAATTTTAAGAAAGGTAATGAAATTTGTAATAAACAAATATGTTAAAAAAACCTTCTTACCAAAAATCGAATACCAATTATTAAGTTAAGTTAAGTTTTTTCTAAAATTCTTTTTTTTTCACAGGTGACTGAAGTGAGTCCGGATCCGGAATGCACGCTGCTCACGTACCTCCGTGAAAAGCTCCGCCTCTGCGGCACCAAGTTGGGATGTGCAGAGGGAGGCTGTGGAGCCTGCACCGTGATGGTGTCCCGCCTGGATCGTCGGGCCAACAAAATCCGTCACCTGGCGGTGAATGCATGTCTCACTCCGGTTTGTGCGATGCACGGATGTGCGGTGACCACGGTGGAGGGCATAGGGAGTACCAAGACCCGACTGCATCCGGTGCAGGAGCGACTGGCCAAGGCACATGGCTCCCAGTGCGGATTCTGCACTCCGGGCATCGTGATGTCCATGTACGCCCTCCTCCGGAATGCGGAGCAACCATCGATGCGGGACTTGGAGGTGGCCTTCCAGGGGAATCTTTGCAGATGCACTGGCTACCGACCGATTCTCGAGGGTTACAAGACCTTCACCAAGGAGTTCACCTGCGGAATGGGTGAGAAGTGCTGCAAGGTGAATGGGAATGCATGTGCTTCCGATACGGATGACACACTCTTCGAACGGAGTGAATTCCAACCACTGGATCCCAGCCAGGAACCGATCTTCCCACCGGAGCTCCAACTAAATGAAGCCTTTGATTCGGAGAGCTTGGTTTTCAGTTCGGAGAGGGTCACCTTTTATCGTCCCACGAATTTGGAGGAGCTCCTCCAACTGAAAGCCCAACATCCTGCTGCCAAATTGGTTGTTGGCAACACAGAAGTGGGCGTGGAGGTCAAGTTCAAGCACTTCCTGTATCCCCAGCTCATAAATCCCACCCAAGTAAAGGAACTATTGGAGATTAAGGAAACCCCTGATGGAATTTACTTTGGAGCCGCTGTGAGTTTGATGGAAATAGATGCTCTCCTTCGGCAGAGAATCGAAGAATTACCCGAAACGGAAACCAGATTGTTCCAATGCACCGTGGATATGCTTCATTATTTCGCCGGAAAGCAAATCCGTAATGTGGCCTGTTTGGGCGGAAACATAATGACCGGCAGTCCCATTTCCGATATGAATCCCGTGCTCACGGCAGCAGGAGCTCAATTGGATGTGGCGAGTTTTGTGGACGGAAAGATCGTTAGAAGATCGGTTCACATGGGAACTGGTTTCTTCACGGGTTACCGAAGGAATGTCATCGCAGCTCATGAGGTCCTCTTGGGCATCCACTTCCGGAAGACCAATCCAGATCAGTATATCGTGGCTTTCAAGCAGGCGAGAAGAAGAGATGATGACATTGCCATCGTTAATGCGGCCATAAATGTTCAGTTCGAGGAGAGAACCAACAAAGTGGCGGAGATTTCGATGGCTTTTGGTGGAATGGCTCCCACCACAGTGTTGGCTCCTCGGACATCCGAATTGATGTCTGGCCAGGAGTGGAACCACCAGTTGGTGGAACGAGTGGCGGAGAGTCTCTGCTCGGAGTTGCCTTTGGCTGCCTCGGCTCCCGGTGGCATGATTGCCTACCGAAGAGCTTTAGTGGTGAGCCTCTTCTTTAAGGCCTATCTTTCCATCACTCTGAAGTTGAGTAAATCCGGGGTGATATCCTCGGATGCTCTGCCTCCCGAGGAGCGAAGTGGCGCGGAGATCTTTCACACTCCGGTCCTGAAGAGTTCGCAACTTTTCGAGCGGGTTTGCAGTGATCAACCCATTTGCGATCCCATCGGAAGACCCAAAGTTCATGCTGCCGCCTTGAAACAGGCAACCGGAGAAGCCATCTATACGGATGATATACCCCGAATGGATGGGGAGCTCTACTTGGCCTTCGTCTTGAGCACCAAACCTCGGGCCAAGATCACCAAACTGGATGCCAGTGAAGCCTTGGCCTTGGAGGGAGTGCATCAGTTCTTTTCCTACAAAGATCTAACCGAACATGAGAACGAAGTGGGTCCTGTTTTTCATGATGAGCATGTCTTTGCCGCCGGAGAGGTTCATTGCTATGGTCAGATTATCGGTTCCATAGTTGCGGATAACAAGGCATTGGCTCAACGGGCTACAAGATTGGTGAAAGTGGAGTATGAGGAATTAACCCCAGTAATTGTGACCATTGAACAGGCCATCGAGCACAAGTCCTACTTCCCGGACTATCCTCGCTTTGTGACCAAGGGAAGTGTGGAGGAGGCTTTGGCCCAGGCGGATCACACCTACGAAGGATCCTGTCGAATGGGCGGACAGGAGCACTTCTATCTGGAAACCCATGCTGCCCTGGCGATTCCCCGCGACTCCGATGAACTGGAGCTCTTCTGCTCCACCCAACATCCGTCGGAGGTGCAGAAACTCGTTTCCCATGTCACCTCGCTTCCCTCCAATCGAGTGGTTTGTCGAGCCAAAAGACTGGGCGGTGGTTTCGGTGGCAAGGAGTCCAGGGGTATTTGTGTGGCTCTTCCCGTGGCTCTGGCTGCCCATCGGATGGGTCGCCCTGTGCGCTGCATGCTGGATCGCGACGAGGACATGCTCATCACGGGCACCCGACATCCCTTCCTCTTCAAGTACAAGGTGGGCTTCACCAAGGAGGGTTTGATCACTGCCTGCGACATCGAGTGCTACAACAATGCCGGCTGGTCCATGGATCTCTCCTTTTCGGTAAGTGATTGTAACTTGTCATAGATTTTTTTATTAATAGTGAAAAACTTTTCGCCAAAAGTATAAAGTAAGGTATAAAGTATAAAGTAATAGGTATGTAAAAAAACCTTCCTTAAACAGAGAAGTTAATGAGAGTATACATTTAAGTACAAGAACTTCTTTTACAAACTTATCTGATAATCCCATCTTTTCTTTAGGTTTTGGAGCGAGCGATGTACCACTTCGAGAACTGCTACCGGATTCCCAACGTGCGAGTGGGTGGATGGGTGTGCAAAACGAACCTGCCTTCGAATACAGCCTTCCGTGGCTTTGGTGGACCCCAGGGAATGTACGCCGGAGAGCACATCATCCGGGATGTGGCCAGGATCGTCGGTCGCGATGTGTTGGACGTGATGCGATTGAACTTCTACAAAACAGGAGATCGCACCCACTACCACCAGCAGTTGGAGCATTTCCCCATCGAACGATGCCTTGAGGATTGTCTAACCCAATCGAGGTACCACGAAAAGCGTTTGGAGATCGCTCGATTCAACAAGGAGAATCGCTGGAGGAAACGTGGAATGGCTGTGGTGCCGACGAAATACGGAATTGCATTTGGAGTCATGCATTTGAATCAGGCTGGTGCCCTAATCAACATTTATGGCGATGGATCCGTTCTACTTTCCCACGGAGGAGTTGAAATTGGACAGGGTTTGAACACCAAGATGATTCAGTGCGCAGCAAGGGCTTTGGGAATTCCACCGGAACTGATTCACATATCGGAGACCTCAACTGACAAAGTACCAAATACTTCTCCAACGGCGGCAAGTGTGGGATCAGATATTAATGGAATGGCTGTTCTGGATGCCTGTGAAAAGCTGAACAAACGATTGGTTCCCATTAAGGAGGCCCTGCCCAAAGGAACCTGGAAGGAGTGGATCAATAAGGCCTACTTCGATCGGGTTAGCCTCTCAGCCACTGGATTCTACGCCATGCCAGGAATTGGTTATCATCCGGAAACGAATCCCAATGCCCGCACCTACAGTTACTACACAAATGGAGTGGGAGTCACTGTGGTGGAGATCGACTGCCTGACTGGCGACCATCAGGTGCTCAGCACGGACATCGTTATGGATATTGGATCGAGTATGAACCCGGCAATTGATATTGGCCAGATCGAGGGAGCATTCATGCAGGGATATGGGCTGTTTACTCTGGAGGAGCTCATGTACTCCCCGCAGGGAATGCTCTACTCCAGAGGTCCGGGGATGTACAAGCTACCTGGATTTGCCGATATTCCCGGAGAGTTCAATGTCAGTCTGCTGACAGGCGCCCCCAATCCACGGGCTGTCTACTCATCCAAGGTGAGTTGATTTAAGGAGTGACCTTTTGTGTTTTTTATGTTTAAATATAAACTCAACCATTTGAATTTTTCATTCATAAATAAATTAATTTATCGTCTATCCACTTTTCTTGAGAAACTTATTAACTTAGTTAACTTGTTTTTATTGTTTTACAGGCTGTTGGAGAACCGCCGCTCTTCATAGGATCAGCAGCATTCTTTGCCATTAAGGAGGCCATTGCTGCTGCTCGACTGGATCAGGGATTGAGTGGACACTTCCCACTGGAGGCGCCTTCCACCTCGGCTCGTATTCGAATTGCCTGCCAGGATAAGTTCACCAATTTGGTAAGTGTTTCTCAGACTAATTTCCAAAGAAAAAAACTTTTAATTTATATATATTTTTTTAGCTTGATATACCAGAACCAGGAAGCTTTACCCCTTGGAACATTGTGCCTTAAAATTGTTTTTATTGATTTTAAATGTAAATTTGTTTTTGTTCATAGTTTTATCGAATAAATGTTTGCAAACTAGTACTTTTTATTTTAAATGTGCTTACTCAATTCAATTTTGTTATATTCATAGTTTTTTTGAATTGCAGACTCTTTATAAGAGAAGATTTTTCTTAATGAATTTTTGATCTCATTGAATCGCGACACTTCTGAGAAAAGTAATTTTAATAAACTTCTGAATTTCTCACTTGACATTTATAGAAGAGGCTTCAGATTGAGGCTCTGGTTTTAGAGACGAAATCTTTGTGAGCAATTCATTCGGCTATCGGAAGCCCGCGAGAGTAGACATCAAAAGATGAGATCGCAAAATTGCTTGCTTCTTGAGTTCGGGTTAATTTTAGTGTCGTCAGTTGTATCTTCCAGTCCGCAAAACTATTATTATAATGGATATATTCCCCCGTATGTTTCGATTGATCGTTACGGCAATTGCCAGGCACACGATCGTCCTTTGGCTGGAAAATGTGTGAAATACATGGATTGCATAAGTGCTCTGCAATCTGTTCCCAGAGTAACGCCCTTATTTTGTCCATCATCGTGGCCAAATCAGTTCGTTTGTTGTCCACATGGCGGATACTTGATTGAGGCACCCAGAGTGTCAAAGAGCGAAGAAGGTGCGTGTGGAAACCCTTTGCTTATTCGGAAATTAAGAGACTAACTATATTTTGTAGCTTGTGCAAACGCCTACCCAAGAGTTCATCCGAAACGTCGTCGACGTCGCAGACATTCTACCTCTAAACAAGATCAAGTGGAAGTAGTTGAGCCAATTATACAAAAGCGCAATCAGAGCGATAATTTCTTAGTGGGTGGCAGACTCACCCATGCTGATGAATATCCCTATATGGTGAGTCAAAAATATTTTGCCAAAATATAGGGAAATGCCAAAATTGAAAAAATAAAAAGATTCGTTATAATCGTTACAGAATTATGATTTATAAAGAAAATTGTTTATAAAAATTTGATTTTTCTTCCGAACTATTAAATTGTATCGTTTTTCATTTAATCTATTTCACAGAAAACTAAAATAGATAAAATATATTGTGTTACCGAAATGTTTTACAATTTTTGTTTATTTACTTGCTTATAGTGCGCCCTCGGTTGGCCCTCCCGCGAACATAGATGGATTCATTCGCATGGTTCGAGCAGACGGCGGTATAGTTTCAACTGTGGCTGCGTCATGATTTCCCACTGGTTCGCCATAACGGCAGCCCACTGTGCCAGCGTCGGCGGGTGGGCAAAAAAGAAAAAGAAAAATGTAAATACTCGAAATGCAAATGGGTTTCTTCCAAACGAACAGGGAACCCCCGTCTGTGGCGTTGGTTGGTGGCGTTGAGTTGAACGGCGGTCGCGGGCAGCTCATCGAAATCAAGCAGATTACCAAACACCCGCACTTCGATGAGGAGACTCTATCCAACGATTTGGCGGTGGTCAAGTTGGCCAGGAGATCCCACAAAAAAAGTGGCCTGTCTGTGGAACGAGGAATCTCTGCCTGAAGGTCCATTGACTGCCCTGGGTTATGGACAGACCAAGTTCGGTTGGTATTTTTTTTACTTTAAAGTTACGTTTATAATAATTATTTTTAAATCTTAATTAGCTGGTCCACATTCTAACCAACTGCTGCAAATTCTGCTGTATCCTTTGAACATTCAACAATGCCACAGATATTTGAAAAGTGAAGACAAGTTAGTTAATGGTTTGGGATCGGGACAACTATGTGCGGGCGATTACTCTGGGAATATGGATACTTGTCAGGTATGCAGAATATACTATCTAGTTTAATTTAAATATTATTCTAGAACGTTTGTTATTAAGGGCGATTCTGGAGGACCCTTGCTACTTCACAGTCATATGCGACATCAGCATCACCGTATTTCATATGTGGTTGGATTAACTTCTTTTGGAGGAGCCTGTGCGAGTGGAGAGCCGGGAGTTTATGTGCGAATATCTCACTACATTCAGTGGATTGAAGAGCAGGTGTGGTCATAACCCACCCCTTTACAAAACAATTTTAAATAGATAAATAATAATGTATTAAAATTTCTGAAGTGTTACAGATGTTTGCTTAAACAGTTTTTAAAGCGAATGTAAAAAAATAAAGTGATCTTAGCTATGATTAAAATAAATTAGATAAATAAAATTAAAGTGTCAATGCTGCTTGAAGGCAATCTTCTCAATCCAATCCAAGTAGCTATATATCCTGGTATAAACACCCGGAGCATTCGGAGCTGCACAGAACTTTCCGAAGGAGGTGATGCCCACCACGAAGGCCACGCAATTGTGCTCCGGCAGGACAGCATGGATGGGACCACCGGAATCCCCCTGGCAGGTGTCCTTGCCTCCCGGCAAATACCCAGCACAGAACTGACCCTCGATGATTCCCCTCGGCAGGCGTCGCTCCTTCCGATAGATTTCCTTGCAGCGCTTCTGGGGAATCACATCCAAGTCCACCTGTCGCAGGATGTTCGACTTGGCGCCCAGGAACTCGGTGCGTCCCCATCCGGCTGCCACAACAGTGGGAATTCGGAGCTCAGGAAGTTGCCACAAGCAGGCAGGACGAACCTGATCGGAAAACCTGGCCCTCCTGGTCAACTTGAGCAGCGCAATATCATGGTAATAGGCAGAGGATCGATATTTCGGATGCAGCACGATAATCAGGATCTTGATGTCCTGCTGGGCAGAGCTGGTTTCATTCAACTGGCGTGCTCCCAATCTCACCATATCCGGTGGTTTGCTGTGGAAACAAAGGAGATCGGTTGAGTGCCTCGTTATACACTGCAACTTACCTACCCGAGGTGGCACAATGGGCGGCGGTCAGGACGTACAGCTCACTAACCAGGGCTCCACCGCAGCCCCACTTGATGTCCACTTCCTTGCTGCCACTTCCCTGCGTCCATCCCAAGGCGGCCATGTGGGGGAATAATCCGTGTCTGGTGGGAGTTCCACCCACAATCAAGGGAACACTCGGCACGCACTGCTTTCCGGAGAAGATCCTTCCGGTGTCCGCCAATTGAAGTCTTCTGGTGGCTGCATTGTATTCCTGGCATTCTATTGAAGAATATAGAAAAAAAATTTATATTATTTAAACCACAATGATTAAGTCTTGGATACGATGGGGTCATGGATCTTTAATTAACTATAAATGGAAACATATATAACACGAAAATAGAATATTAATATAAAATTGTTTTAAAACCTACTGGTGGCACTTATCCGCTGTGAAAGGACATGCTTGTCAGCCAAAGGACAACAAATCACGGGCACATTGTTCCGATGGGTGCAGATATCGATGCGGGTGCCATGCACTCGGTATTCCCGAATGACATGGAGACACTGGTAGGCCAGGATGCAATAGCCACTCCTTCCATCGAAACTTCGCCGGCAAAAGGATCCTTCGTGAAGTCCTTCGTGAACAGAACTCCTCACCTCGCTGTCGTCGCCGAACTTTAAATAGCTTTCCTCCGCCTCAACATTCTGATCATCTACATCCTCTCTTGTGGGAGCCACCGGCTGCTCTTCCCAGAGTTCAGGAAATGTGAACTTGGTGGTTTGGTAGTTTATTATTTCCAGGGCATCGAGAGCTGTCAGGAATTGAATTGAAAAGTAAAAGAAAAAATTGATATATATTAAATACTTACCCAAAAGACGTTGGGGGTTTAATATCAAATGCAAGAATGTCAATTGAAGATGTATATTCGAATTTATTATCATTCTATTTATAGACATTTAGTTTGCTTCATAGTTTGTTTTTGAAGGCTTATTCCAAATAAGAAGTTTCAATGAACTGTAAACAACAAAGTAATTTTGTTTAATTAAAAGCTAATTAAGTACAGCAAATCACTTTCTTTGTTTTGTATTTTCATACACAACAATTGCTACTTAGAATTGTATATAAAACGATTGTTTATATTATTGCTGAAATACGCTGGCGTATCTACAATATTTCAGCCACCACTGTTTGCAAAACAAACCCTTGCCTGTCTGTGTTTTGCTTTTTTGTTTAATGTATTTTTATTAATTAATGCGGGCGCTCAATTATAAATTCGGCTGAATTTCAATAAAACTGTTTGCCTGCGCTGTGTTTCTTTTCGCACATTGTGGATTGGAAGACGCCAGTCGGAATAAATCGGTCAATGGAGTAAGACCTGCACGGAGATGTCGGATCTGAAGAGACCTTGTCTTTGGCTAGCCTTTTGCTGTCTATCGTTCGGAGTTCGCGTGGAGGCGCAGTGGGATTTTCCCAATCCCAATAACGAACCCAATCCGTATCCAAATCCGGAGGCGGAGGCGGATCCAAGCAGGTGGGGCTACAACAACAACTACAATAGCAACTACGGTTACGAAGGTCAGTGGCCGCCGGGTTATTTTAACAACTACGGATATTATAGACCCCCGCCGCCACCGCCTCCTCCGCCCTGTGGGAGACCACCACCCGGACCACCGCCACCGGGTCCTCCGCCACCAGGTCCTCCGCCCGGTTGTCCAGGGGGACCACCGCCTCCTCCTCCGCCACATCGCCGGGAAAACCACAGATGGAAGCCCCGTCGCCCACCGCCCAACCATCACCGGAATTTCCACAACATCTTCCTGAGCACCGAACGCAAAGTGGATGGGGAAAACTACAACAAGACCGCGGAAACGGAGGATCTGCATGACGATTTCAATGGTCGATCCATCGTGGCTCCAGGGCAGTATCCCCACATGGTCAGTATGTGTATGCGGATGCACTCCGAGCAAAAATCAAATATCAACTCAATAAAAAACAAAGCAAAATAAAAATAAAAGCCACACAAAACCGGAATCGGGGAAACGCCAAAGTACCGCCGCTCACCACACAAACACGACTAAAACCCAATAGCTGACAGCTGACTGGCAAATCGAAGCCCTAAACCAACCGCACCATATGATAACAGTTACTTAGCTGATCTTAACTCTCTTTTTTGATCCCAGGCCGCTCTGGGATTCCGGAATGAGAACAACGAAATCGACTACAAATGCGGAGGAAGTCTGATCAGTGAGTACTTCGTGCTCACCGCCGCTCACTGTTTGACTACTCACGGGTAAGCTTTTGCTAATACTCATAGTCCGTGAGTTTATTTCCCCAGTTTGAGTGATTTTCGAAAACAAAACATATACGATCTCTATAGAAAAAGTTGTAGTATTAGAAACACAACGTATTTTAACATTATGGGGTTATAAAATTTTAAATCATAATAACCCAATGAAATACCTTTTTAGCACCGCTCCCGACGTGGTGAAAATAGGAGACATTAAACTGAAGGAATGGGAGGACGATGTGACTCCCCAGAAACGTAGAGTGGCTAAAACTTATGTGCATCCCCTGTACAACTCCACCCTGAACTACCATGATATCGGACTTATCCAATTGAACCGACCGGTGGAATACACTTGGTTTGTGAAACCAGCTCGGTTGTGGCCCAAAAACGATATTCCCTATGGAAAGCTGCACACCATGGGCTATGGATCGACTGGATTCGCCCAGCCCCAGACCAACATACTCACGGAACTGGATCTATCGGAGGTGCCTGTGGATCAGTGCAACACCAGTCTGCCCGCCGATGATGGATCTCCTCAGGGAATTCTCACCAGTCAGATATGCGCTCATGACTACGAGAAAAATAGAGATACCTGCCAGGTAAGAGTTTTAAATTAAAAGTCTACATTTATAAAAACATTCCAATATTTACTAAGCTATAATTGGGAATATATCTGTTTAAAATATTTAATATCCGGATTGGGATGATAATGTTCCTTCGCTTCTTTGTGGAATACCTTTTTTATTATTGATTGTTGGTTTTTTTATATAAAATGTTATCTTTAAAAACATTTTGAATAGGGTGATTCTGGAGGACCTCTACAGTTGAACTTGGAGCGACGTCGTCGTCGTCATCGAAGTCGAAGACACTACCGCTACTATATCGTTGGCATCACTTCCTATGGAGCCTATTGTCGCAGTGAATTTCCAGGTTAGTTAATTTTCAAATATAAATCAAATCAAATAATACAAATAAATTACTTGTTAGGTGTTTACACACGGATTTCTTCCTATATCGACTGGATAGCATCTATAGTTTGGCCTGATCACTATAAAGAGTTTATGAATCAATAAAAATAGACTCCAATAAAGTAAAGTGCAATCAAAATATGTTGGATTTAAAGATATTTAATATAGTTATGACGCATCACTCTGGTTATTGTTTGTTGTTATTCTAATTTTGTTATTTTCACTACATACTTACGATTACATGATTTAGTTGCCAGGCAGCGCAAATAACAGATACTTTTTGTCATTATCAAAACAACTAGCTTTATTTAAAGAGCTTAACATTTATAAATGGTTGGAAAAAGCAAAAAGAAGCGTAATAGCAAAGATTCCACATCCAGTAATGCTGGAAGTGGCGAGGGTGAGGAGAAGAAGAAGAAAGAAGGCGGCAAGAAGAAAGGGGGCGTGGGAAAATCCATTGGCTGCGATATTTTCAATGACGCCGCCATGGAAAATGCCTACTATGTGTGCCACAATGTGCAGGTGAGCTTTTATTTTTGTTCAATGCAGTGCCATTTCATTATTAAATTCTGTTTATAGGATGTTCTTAAATCGAGAGGATTCGCCTGGCCAGATGGACAGAAAAAGAAGAAGAAGGGAAAGCGATAGGACGTGATACTTAAGTGCATTCCAGGTTGGGTTGGAAACTTGAAGAATTCCAACTGTTTCACCTTAACGAATTTTTTTTTCCTGGATACGCTGGATACACTTTTAACTGAATTAACTGAATAACGGTTACCTAAATAACGGGAATCTTTCTTGTTTAATGTTGCTTAAGCGAAAGTTTTTCCCCCTTGGCCTCCATAAAAAACAGAGCGTACATGCTCATATTTATTTTAATAAAACCAAAACAAGGCGTCATCGATTAATAGCAAACAATTCCAAAAACGCAGCCTGCTCAAAGTTAAACGTCAGTGGCAAGCATTTCTAGAGCACACATTTCAATCTACAAACACATTTTCGAATTCGGCGTGTGAAAAATATAGAGAAGCAAAATTTAATTCGTTTCGGCTGCACCATAAATATAGGAGCAACAATCGGACGAATCTCAGTCTAAAATCAGCAGTAGTGGCTGCCACAACTAAATTGGTGAAGAGTTAGTATCGTAAACATATTAAAATGGTGAAGGCACCGGCAATTGGAATCGATTTGGGAACCACCTATTCCTGTGTGGGAGTTTGGCAGAACAGCAAGGTGGAAATCATTGCAAATGACCAGGGAAATCGAACCACGCCCTCCTATGTGGCATTCAACGACACGGAGCGACTAATTGGCGATGCGGCCAAGAATCAGGTAAGTCGATATCCCCATTAGGATTGCCCAAATACGCCGATCGAGAACCGATATGGCCAGGTGTGGATATCTGACAGTAATTATGTGATGTGAGTGATTTAATTGGCATTCCCATGTGTTCATACTTAAATAAAAGCGAGAGCGCCGGAAAATGTAGGTGGATGGGCGTATCAACACATACATATATGGCGGATATTGAATTTATAAAAGTGATATATCTTAAAACTATAATAAATATTATACTCAAGAGACAGAAAGAACTCTTTAATTTGTCGATAGTCTTTTAAATCGAAAAAGTGACAACAGCATTTTAAAAATAAATTAGTGGATTTTATACACTTTAAAAATTAAAAAACAAATAAAATAAATAAAATATATATTTAAATTTACCAACTTTCCCTTTTCCCCTAGGTCGCTATGAACTCGAAGAACACGGTTTTCGATGCCAAGCGCCTGATTGGCCGCAAATACAACGACAAGAAAATCCAGGAGGACCTGAAGCTCTGGCCCTTCAAGGTGACCAACGAGGGTGGCAAACCCAAGATCGAGGTGGAGTTCAAGGGTGAACGGAAGCGCTTTGCCCCCGAGGAAATCAGCTCGATGGTCTTGACCAAAATGCGCGAGATTGCCGAGGTTTACTTGGGTGCCAAAGTGAAGGATGCAGTGATCACGGTGCCTGCCTACTTCAACGATAGCCAGCGGCAGGCTACCAAGGATGCGGGTTCAATTGCTGGGCTGAATGTCCTGAGGATCATCAATGAACCCACGGCAGCTGCTTTGGCCTACGGATTGGATAAGAACCTCAAGGGCGAGCGGAATGTCCTGATTTTCGACTTGGGCGGTGGCACCTTTGATGTCTCCATTCTGACCATCGATGAGGGTTCCCTGTTCGAGGTGAAGGCCACGGCAGGAGACACCCACTTGGGTGGCGAGGACTTCGACAATCGGTTGGTCAACCACTTTGCAGAGGAGTTCAAGCGGAAGCACAAGGCGGATATCAAGGGAAATGCCAGGGCTTTGAGGCGTTTGAGAACAGCTTGTGAGAGGGCCAAAAGGACCTTGTCTTCGAGCACGGAGGCATCCTTGGAAATAGATGCTTTGCATGAGGGAATCGATTTCTATTCGAAGATTTCCAGGGCTCGTTTCGAGGAGCTGAACATGGATCTGTTTCGATCCACCATGCAACCGGTGGAGAGAGCTTTAAACGATGCCAAGATGGAGAAGAAGGCCATCCATGATGTGGTTTTAGTTGGCGGCTCAACGCGTATTCCCAAGATCCAGAAACTCCTGCAGGACTTGTTCAACGGCAAGCAGTTGAATCTCTCGATTAATCCTGATGAAGCTGTGGCCTATGGCGCCGCCGTTCAGGCAGCCATTCTCACGGGAGTGGGAAGTTCCCAGATCCAGGATCTCCTCCTGGTCGATGTGGCTCCCCTTTCGCTGGGCATCGAAACAGCTGGTGGGGTGATGACCAAGTTGGTGGAGCGGAATGCGAGGATTCCCTGCAAGCAGCAGCAGATCTTCACCACCTACAGTGACAATCAGAATGCGGTTACCATTCAGGTTTACGAAGGCGAACGCGCCATGACCAAGGATAACAACCTACTGGGCACCTTTAATCTCACTGGCATTCCGCCAGCTCCTCGAGGAGTTCCCCAAATCGAGGTGGCCTTCGATCTGAATGCGGATGGCATCCTGAATGTGAATGCAAAGGATAGCAGCACTGGGAAATCCGAGAAGATCACCATTACAAATGATAAGGGAAGGCTTTCCAAAGCCGAGATAGATCGAATGCTTTCCGAGGCTGAGAAGTACAAGGTGGAGGATGATCGTCAGAGGGAGCGGGTTCAATCGAGGAACAACTTGGAAGGATATATCTACGGTTGTCGTCAGGCCGTCGAGGAGGCTCCTTCAGGAGTTCTTTCCGAGGCGGAGCGATCCAAGGTGCGCGACAAGTGCTCCTCCGAGACAACCTGGCTGGACAAGAACTCTCTCGCCGAGAAGGAGGAGTACGAGCACCACCTCAAGGAGTGCCAGCGCATCTGCAGTCCCATCATGACGAAGCTCCACGGTGGCGCCAAGGGAAAACAGTCGGCAGGAGCAGCTGGTTCCCATCCCACCGTCGAGGAGGTGGACTAATAGATCCACTTACCTAGAAGATCAAGTCAGTACCATATTTCAAGAACAAATTAAACCATCACTTGGTTGTGAGAAGCTGTTCATCTGGAAGTATTTTTAAAAGTCAACGTATTCAATAGTTTTAAATTACATGGAAATATCTAAATGCCTTTCGTGTCGTAATAATAAAGATATCAAAAGTTATTAAATATTTAGTAAGTCCTAACCCTTATTTAGTTAACTTTATAAATTAATTTGCACTATTTCTGCGGCAAGATAACTCTAACCTTTCTTCAAAGGGATCTTCTTTCCCTTTGGTGCTGCTATGCTACTTTATCCACAATCTAGTGAGAACCAAAAATTTTCTACAAATTCAATTACACATTTCGATTCACAAAGCGGAGGTGCAAGCACCAGCAAGTAAATAGCTTGACTGCAGTGAATCGACTAAACAACATGTTTGGTGTTTAAAAAGTAGGCGTATACAATTTAAATATTTTGCATATTAACCTTATGCACCCCACTGTCAAGCTTTCAAGAGCCGCACGGGTTTACTTGGGTATTTTGGATACCTCAAAGTAGTATCCCCCGGAAAGTCGTTGAGAGATGGCCGTCGCACCGAGTAAACTTTTGGAGGAGCCCCTAAATCGAGTGCATTGCTCCATTTTACATAGTCGACCGGGTCAAAGTTGCACGAAAGCCTTTCTCTGGAATCTGTACCGCAACCATGTGTCCAGTGGGATATACTACTTACCCATGTTGCTGGTCTGTTAGTTATTTGATTTGTGCTTTAAAAATAGTGGCTAATTCGTAATAAAATCAATTTTTTATTGTTAAAAGCATGACGAATGCAACATTATAGATTTAAAAAGCACATTAAAAAGGAAAGTTTTTAAAGTTTTAACAATGGAAAAATAAAAAATTGTTTCCTCTACTTGCAGTTACCTTTGATAATAAACTGGCGGCGTACTTCTAGAAAAATGCTATACGATGTGGTGAAAAACTATGTCCAATGCTCCAGTTTCGGCGCCTGCATCAATGCCATTACATTTTACCTAATGTGCACGGCCAGGCATCTCTATGGAAAATTTGTGTGGCTATTTATACCCTATCTGCCCTGCTACATAGCTTCCCAGCTTAGCTGGCTGATGCCACATCAGACAAGTCACTTTTTTGTGACTGGAATTACCCCCGCAGTAAGAAGTTAAAAGGTTAATTTAATCACAGAAAAAAGAGTATCATCCAGAACATTTCAGACCATGGAAGCCCTAATGAGATATTTTGACGTTGGTTTGGTGCACTCCCGCATGATACAGACTCTGATTTTTATGGTATCCTCTGTGGTGGTCATGCACTATCAGCAGACAAAAAAATACTCTGGTTTTTGGTTTATCCGACCGGCTGTTTTGCCTGAGGATTACAAGGAATGGACGGTTTTTAGCCAAATATGGCAGGGTCTAAAGGATATGAGGTCATATCTGGGCATTGGACTAGCTTTGGATCTTATAAATCCGATTATGAAAAGAAATATAAACCTACTGCGTCCAAAAATGACAAGTTTTCTGACGGGCTACATTGGATTGTTTAAGGTGAAGAAACAGCAAGAGATTTAATAAATTGTATATTTAATACCTTACAATTTTTCAGTTGGTGCAATTGCTGTCGTTAAAATATTTGGAACTGAATAAAGTCAATGTGCTGGCGGCTTTTCTAGGAGGTGTTCCCTTTATCCTACTGCCCAAACGTCTTACCTTTATGTGTTTTGCTGTGGTAACAACAGTGCAAGTAATTTGGCTACAGGTGTGCAAATTAAAAACCAAAAAAAGAACGTTATTGGCTGCGTTGCAAAGGATTCCCTGGTCAAAGATCTTAATACCGAGTTGTCTAGCATACCTGGTACACATATTCTTTTACCACCAAAACCATCTCAACGAGGTTGCTCGGGGTTTTATTGACTGCACATGTGATAGGAAGTAAGTTACTAAAAATCTTAATAAATTATTATGGAAAATATATATATCATATATAACCAATTTATTTTCAGTGGCCAACGATTATTGGATCTGATGAATCTGCCCGATATTAACACCATTCTTGAGACGGTTAATAAGTCCCCCAAAACTTCGTTTTGGTTTTGATTTTTGTCATAGACATATAACAACATTTATTAAACTATGATAGTGCTATCGAGTTTTGTTTTAAATCAATGCACATAAATTAGCATGCTTTTTTTTGTCTAACGTGTTTTGAATCTCTGAATTTGTGAATGGAGAAATTGGAGATGTCTCCTATTCGGAGAATGAATTAAATGGCGATGTCTCCAAAGTAATTATTTATACTTTTGGCGCTAAATTTGATTTAGTTATAAGAATGACTTTATTAAAGATTTTTTAAGGTCATCACTACATGGGTATAACAATTATGACTTTTTAAAAAGATACCGCGAAAGTCTGACTTAGGCATCATTGGCTAGCCAAATGTCAGAAGTGCAATCACCGCCAGGATAACGCATTTCATGGGGCAAACTAGGTCCATAGGGCTCCTTGCCAAAGTCCACCAAGAAGTCCTCATTGAGGGATATGCCTCCATTTACGGTATCCACATCTATTAAAACAATATGACCGCCTTGCGAAACCATTTTAGGATAGAACTAAACAATAATTAAATTAAGAATTACAAATTAATTACAACGTTTTAAAAAAGTACTTTTTTAAAAGATCTCACCTGTTTATCCCAAGGGGAATACAATGATGATGAGACATATAAACGCTTGCCATCCAATGATAACTGCATCATTTGGGGACCTCCTTCCAATCGACGACCTTTTACATAACGAGCTGGGGGTCTTTCCTAAAAACAAAAATCTAGTAGGAAATCCATATGATATATCTTTTTAACTAGAGGTACCTTCAGTTCCCTATCCTCCTTGACAATCACGTTCGGTAAATCACTGCAAATTGCACCTCCTAGGAAGAGCTGACCAGTGAGCTTGGGATTCTCGGGATCGGTAATGTCATATTGCCTCACATCTCCATGTCGCCAGCAGTTGACATAAAGGAATCGATCGTCCAGAGAAATTATAATATCGGAGATCATTCCACCCATCTTTTCCAAGTCTCCACTACCGGTATCAACTAGTTTTTCGGGAATATCTATCACCTTCTTGGCCTCGAACTCATCGGAGTCTGACTTCTTCTTGAAGTAGAACACCTTTGCATTAAGAGCACAACCGACAAATCCTTCGGGTCGCTTGGGATCGTGCAGAAAACGAATCTCCAGAGGAGTTATGCCATCCTCTCCCAGATCGATGGTTTGATAGAGAGTCTGAGTAGACCATTTGTAGAAGTTTAGCCGACAACCGTACTGGGTCATGTCATCAAGATCACCGTTCTTCCAGCCACTAAAAAATTTTAGACATTTATAATCCAATCTTGAAACTTTTCAATTTATTTAATTTGTAGACTTACCGCCTCCATTTATTCGGAGCTCCCCATTCGGAAGAAACCATCACATCGAAATATGGCTGATACCAGAAATCGTAGCCACACAATGCCTTCTTTTCGCCTTTAGTCCAGGTTCCAATGCAGTTAAATTCCGAATCGAATAGGATAAAGTCTCCTTTAGCATATCCTTCTGCATCGCCCATTACGGAAATCATGATGTTTCCATTGGCCAAACAGTGGGTTGTATGGGGACCCGTGACGTTGTGCTTCTTCAACACATCGCCATCGATGGTCTTGATTATCTCTGGTTTTCGGGGATCTTTAACCACATCGAGTATATACACAAAGTCGGAGTTCAAGGCCGGCAATACCAGCTTATCTCTTTTGGGAACGGTTTTGGAATTCTCATCCACATAGTAGCAACTGGAGCAGGCATTCCAGCCAGAGTGATGCAGTTCATCACCTTTTCGGTTCGTAAAGGTGCGGTGAACTATCTAGAAAGCAACAACCAAACCACAAAAAATAAGCATTAACTTTTAGTGCTATGGTTTCAGGAACACATCTAAAATATTATATAAACTTCTACAAAAATTATTTTTAAACTTGATTGATAAATGAAAAATTTATAATGTGTTAGTGTTCTGGCATACATTTTATAGTTATCTGCTTGATTTGTATAAGATTTTGCACGATAACGACTGATAAGCTTTTTGTTTGTTTTGTTAAATATTTTAATATACTTAAACTTGCTCATTAGGCAAACAAATCAGGTAGTTTATTTACCTGGCAGTAGGTGGGGCTCTCGGGATCCACATCCACTGTTGACAGGTAATCTCCGTGTGGTTCATCCAGGTTGGGCTGAACGGTCACCGTATAGAGGAGTTTCTCGCGAGGACCATTTTTCATGGCATCCAGTGGGGTTGCGTAACCAGGTCCCCGACAACAGGCTGCAGAAAAACAATTTAATTATCAAAATTGCTCGGGATTTGTGTTCACTTTATCAAAGATTCGAAGCATGTGCTTGCACTACAAAGTATATTCAAGATTTTTACTTTTGTTGGACATTGCTTGGCGGTTGTTTGTTGATCGAAGAACAGAAGCAAACTGAGTATCATCCGATTTTGAGCGTGAGCTTTATACTCTGTCTCTCTTGCCGGGAATATAGATTGTGTACATTTCTTCGTTGACTCTTCAATTAAGTACCAAGAAAACAGGTTTGCCGGCTTTCTTATCACTAATACTAGTTAGGTCAGTTACACACATTCATTTATTTATAGACTTAAAATACTCTCTCTGAGCGGGAATAAGAAGTAAATATTGATAAGGCTTAACACTGATAGTTCATTCATATATTGAACACATTTTTGTACATTTTTTTTGTTCAATGAATAACAAAATTTTATATTTGATGTTTTTAAAGTCAAGTTATTTTTTAAATGTAAATTTATTTTAAATATTTAACGACAAACTATCGTAAGCGCAATGCGGTGTTGCCACATCGGAGGAAAACGGAGAGCAACGCCTCTCGAGAGAAGCTAATAAGAAAACTGTGTTACCAGCTTTCCCCCAAGAACAATTTCTGCTATCTGACTGAAAGAAAAAATACCAGAAACCTACGGAAACTGTGGGTTTCGAAAAACGCCGATTGCGAGGAAACATTTTAGCGCGTTGCGACGGGACCAGTGAAAAAGCAATCGTAATACGCGTGTTAGCCCGAATTAAAAGTTAACCAACCGCTATTTAATCGAGGGAGTACCGAATTCGGATCCCAGCCATGTCGCATCACTACGTGGTGACGGCGCAAAAGCCGACGGCGGTTGTTGCCTGTTTGACGGGTAAGTGATGGTGTGAAAGGGGGGCGGGGAAGTCTCTATGTGGTCTCCCCGGCAAAAAAGCCGAAAAACAAGCATGTTTGCCGGTCGCCGGATTGCACAAGCCGAAATGTTTGCTAAGCATGGGATTTCTCTTTTCCCGCAGGCAACTTCACCTCGCCCACAGATCTTAATCTGATTATCGCCCGGAATAACCAGGTGGAAATCGATCTGGTTACTCCGGAGGGACTGCGTCCGCTGAAAGAGATCAACATTAATGGCACCATTGCCGTTATGAAGCACTTTCGTCCGCCGGATAGTAACAAGGATCTGCTCTTTATCCTGACGCGCCGCTACAATGTCATGATCCTGGAGGCGCGTATGGTGAACGACGTCATCACGGTGGTTACCAAGGCCAATGGAAACGTATCCGACTCGGTGGGAATTCCTTCCGAGGGCGGAGTCATTGCCGCCATTGATCCCAAGGCAAGGGTCATTGGAATGTGCCTATACCAGGGCTTGTTCACCATCATTCCGATGGATAAGGAGGCCAGCGAGCTGAAGGCCACCAATTTGCGGTAATGCCATATTCAGCATTTAATATAATTTTCTGTTCTTTACTATACAAGCTATTCACTTCTTATTGTTGCAATCCAGCTTATTAACTTTTCTTTTGAACTTCCAGCATGGATGAGCTGAACGTATACGACGTTGAGTTCCTGCACGGTTGCCTCAATCCCACCGTCATTGTCATTCACAAGGACAACGATGGCAGGCACGTCAAGTCGCACGAGATTAACCTGCGCGAGAAGGAGTTCATGAAGATCGCCTGGAAGCAGGACAACGTGGAGACGGAGGCCACCATGCTGATCCCAGTGCCATCACCCATCGGTGGAGTCATCGTCATTGGTCGCGAATCGATTATGTATCACGATGGGAGCAACTACCACGCAGTGGCGCCGCTCACCTTCCGTCAGAGCACCATCAACTGCTACGCTCGTGTGAGCAGCAACGGATTGCGCTACTTGCTGGGCAATATGGATGGCCAGCTGTACATGCTGTTCCTCGGCACCTCGGAAACCAGCAAGGGAGTGACCGTCAAGGACATCAAGGTGGAACAGCTGGGAGAGATCTCTATACCAGAGTGCATTACTTACCTGGACAACGGGTTCCTCTATATCGGAGCTCGTCATGGTGATTCGCAGTTAGTGCGCCTTAATTCGGAGGCCATCGAGGGCTCCTATGTGGTGCCCATTGAAAACTTTACAAATCTGGCTCCGATCCTCGACATTGCCGTAGTGGATCTGGATCGTCAGGGACAGGGTCAGATAATCACTTGCTCGGGCAGTTTCAAGGATGGATCCCTGCGCATCATTCGCATTGGCATTGGCATACAGGAGCACGCTTGTATCGATCTGCCAGGCATCAAGGGAATGTGGTCCTTGAAGGTGGGAGTGGATGACAGTCCGTACGAGAATACTCTGGTGCTGGCATTTGTGGGACACACGAGGATTTTGACCCTCTCCGGCGAAGAGGTAGAAGAGACCGAGATTCCTGGATTCGCCAGCGATCTGCAGACCTTCCTCTGTTCAAATGTGGATTACGATCAGGTGAGTTTCTTCTATCTTGTATCAAATATAAAAATCATCTTCAACTAACGCTTTATCTTTCTTTCAGTTGATTCAAGTGACTTCGGACAGTGTTCGCTTGGTGAAGAGTGACACCAAAGCTCTTGTTGATGAGTGGCGTCCGAAGGGCGATCGTACCATTGGTGTGGTATCCTGCAATGCCACTCAGATTCTGGTGGCCTCTGCATGCGACGTGTTCTACATTGTCATCGAAGATGGAAGCCTTAAGGAGACGTCTCGCAGGACTTTGGCATACGAGGTGGCCTGCCTGGACATAACTCCTTTGGATGAGACGCAAAAGAAGTCTGACTTGGTGGCCGTTGGTTTGTGGACGGATATATCTGCTGTTATCCTTTCGCTACCTGACCTTGAGACCATTTACACTGAAAAACTAAGCGGAGGTGAGCGAAAGAAGAGGTTGATACTTAAGATTTCAGATTATTTACTTAGTTTCGATAATCAAAGCCTAAATTTAGAGTGGAAGATGTATCAAAGATCTAATGAGTATATTTTCTTTTGCAGAGATCATTCCCCGTTCCATTTTGATGACCACCTTTGAGGGAATCCATTATCTGCTATGCGCTCTGGGTGACGGCTCTATGTATTACTTTATTATGGACCAGAAAACCGGGCAGTTGACGGATAAGAAAAAGGTGACTCTCGGCACGCAACCAACCACACTGCGCACCTTCCGGTCGTTATCCACCACGAACGTATTTGCCTGTTCGGATCGTCCCACGGTGATTTACTCATCCAATCACAAGTTGGTATTCTCCAACGTTAATCTGAAGGAGGTGAACCACATGTGCTCTCTGAATGCCCAAGCGTATCCGGATAGCTTGGCGCTGGCCAACAAGAATGCCGTCATTTTGGGCACCATTGATGAGATTCAGAAACTGCATATTAGAACAGTGCCGTTGGGCGAGGGACCACGCCGGATTGCCTACCAGGAGGCATCGCAGACGTTTGCGGTGTCCACGCTTCGTGTCGATGTCCATGGAAGAGGCGGAGCTAAGCCATTGCGGAAAAGTGCCTCCACACAGGCCCAGAACATTACCTGTAGTTCGAATATCTTGCCCAAGCCGGGCGGTGGAAACTCCACAGCTACCAATGCGGAAGTTGGCCAGGAAATCGATGTATACAATCTGCTGGTTATCGATCAAAACACTTTCGAGGTTCTCCATGCCCACCAGTTTGCGGCCCCAGAAACTATATCCTCGCTGATGTCCGCCAAGCTGGGCGATGATCCCAATACCTATTATGTGGTGGCCACATCGTTGGTGATACCAGAGGAACCAGAGCCAAAGGTGGGAAGGATTATCATCTTCCACTATCACGACAACAAGTTGACACAGGTGGCCGAAACAAAAGTGGATGGTACTTGCTATGCCCTGGTTGAATTCAACGGAAAGGTTTTGGCGGGAATCGGAAGTTTTGTGCGTCTGTACGAGTGGACCAACGAGAAGGAGCTGCGCATGGAGTGCAACATTCAGAACATGATTGCTGCCTTGTATTTGAAGGCCAAGGGAGACTTCATCTTGGTTGGAGATCTAATGCGATCCATCACGCTGCTGCAGCATAAGCAGATGGAGGGCATCTTCGTGGAAATTGCCCGCGATTGTGAACCCAAGTGGATGCGAGCCGTCGAGATTCTCGACGATGATACTTTCCTGGGATCCGAGACAAATGGAAATCTGTTCGTGTGCCAAAAAAGATAGGTGAGAAAATCTTAACTAATTTTAAAATTCAATGAGGTTTACTTACGTAACAAATTATATTTTTAACATTTAAAGTGCGGCCACCACCGATGAGGAGCGTCAATTACTGCCGGAGTTGGCCCGCTTCCACTTGGGAGATACTGTGAATGTTTTCCGTCACGGATCCTTGGTGATGCAGAACGTGGGCGAGCGGACAACACCGATAAATGGATGTGTGCTGTACGGAACGTGCAACGGAGCCATTGGAATTGTGACCCAGATACCGCAGGACTTCTACGACTTCCTGCATGGTCTGGAGGAGCGGCTGAAGAAGATCATCAAGTCGGTGGGAAAGATCGAGCACACTTACTACCGCAATTTCCAAATCAACACCAAAGTGGAGCCCAGCGAGGGATTCATCGATGGAGATCTAATCGAGAGCTTTTTGGACTTGAGTCGAGAGAAGATGCGCGATGCCGTTCAGGGATTGGAGGTGGGATTAATTTAACTGAATAATTCCGAATTGGTTTTATATTTTTAAGCATCTTTTTCAGTTAACGCTGAATGGTGAACGAAAGGGTGCGGATGTGGAAGATGTAATCAAGATAGTCGAGGACCTTACGCGCATGCATTAAGGCGACGGGTCACATGTATATAAGTATTGGAAAAGGAACTGTCACGACGCGAATTGTTTGAATGTACATGAAACTTCGATACCATGTATCCCGCTTAACCACATAATTACCCTCTCGAAACTCTTCGTGCTAGATGCTGCGACTGTCGTTCATGCGATGTTTATCGAGTTCCTCCGTTTGTGTTTGCTCGTAAAAAATATTGACAATGTAGCAAAAAAAATTGTTTTATTTGCGCCGCACGCGCTCTTTCAAAGTGGCGCATCATTAATTTAATAAAAAATTTTTAAATGAAGAGAGTGTTTACATTTTTCCATTCACAGGTCTGACTGGATATTCTGGGTGGCATGATTCTCTTGTTTTTATTTTATTGCATACTTTTAGGACTTAATTGTGCCTCAAAAATTCATTTTGTGTTATTTGATTTTAGAACCGGAACGTTTGAATATTTTGGTTGATATTATTGCTTTAAATATGGAAATAAATAAAAAGGAAAAAACTAAGCACTTTGCGGTCGTAAATCATTAAATAGTTTAGGTCTAAATCGTAAAATTGTGTAAGCTGCTTTAGGATTCCTAATTTATGTGCTAAAACGCAGTATGTGTATTTATAATTAATTTTAACAGTTTTAATATTTTTAGGGATGGGAACCTAATACAATACCTTTCGGTTGGTAATATAAATCAAAACCAATAAAGATGTTACTCCGGAAACCGAAGGACGCCGCTTCCCAATTCCAGCTAAATTATGGTCCCCCTGGCTAATACCTTTTGGCACACCACACGCATGCGCAGCACAGTTGTTTTTGGCACCGGACTCCGAGCACGTATATATCATATCATCCAGATCCTCCAGACCGCTGCTCACGTGAAACGTGAGTTTATATTATATGTAGATATGCAGGGTGCGGGAAATGCGGTGGGTGGGGTATTATAAGGAGGGGTGGTGCGGCGGCATTGGCGTTTCATTCATTAATACACGCACACAAGCGGCCGACTGGAATGTTGCATGTTCAGCCACCACCAGCACGAGCAACACCAGCGACTTCCAGTCGGGGGATTGAGTTCCTGAGAGTGTGTGTGTTCCTTGTATCTGTGTGTGAGTCTGTTTGCTGCATCTGTGTGCGTGTGCGTGCGCACTCGTCGCGCCTCCACATCACTTGCTTTGTGTTGGTGTTGCTGTCGTTCTGATGTTGCTGCTGGGATGTTGCTGCCGTACTGCTGCTGCTGTTGCTGTTGCTGTTGCCGCTGCTGCCCCCAGTTACTGCAGGCTGTGCTCGGTCCATATGAGTAGTCACTCATTCGCTCGCCGCCCGCTCGCTGGTTCAGCTGCGCGTCCACGCCGTCTGTCTAAAATCCAAACCGTGTATATCCATCTATCCACATCCCAGTCTGGATATTTTTCCCGTCGTGCCCGCAAGTGTTAAAGGAAAAGAAATATATATATATTAAAAAGAAATAACGAATTCTGAAAAGCAAATTGCTCGAGTGCCATAAACGCCATCCAATAATCCCCGTTAACGGGCTCATTAAAAAACCTTTCCGGCAAAACATAAAAATCGTTCGTCCGCAACACATTCAAGTTTATTTATTTTTAAATCATCTATTTAAACAAAAAATGTGCTAGCATTTAGCACACTGTGATTTAAGCCTACTTAGTTTGTTTTTCTTGCCAAACGGAGCTTTTCCTATTGGGATTTATCGACGGTGGCCCAAGTGCAACAATACCAGCGGCAAAACGGATAGCTGCCAGAGGTGAGTGAGCCTAGCTCCCCGCAGGATGACGCATAACCCTTCGAAGGAACCCCGCTTAAGCATAAAAATTAATAACAAAAAAAAAAAAAAGGGAGCCGTGAACAAGTGAAATTCAACGCGAATTGTTGTAGGCGACATTTGAAAAAAAAACATATGTATGTGAGTCGAACAAAGAACCCGGGGAGCATGGAATCGTCATCGGCATCGAGGGCATGTCACACAGTCTGTAACATGACGCCCACAAGCCGTCGATGCCGTCGGCGGAGGTTACTTCTCGCTCCGTCCTCCTCGGAACCAAGAATCAGAAATAATTGTTTAGCAACAATAACAATAAAACGAAAAATAATATAGCCCCGAAAAAAAGAAAACCATAAACCGAAACGCCCCACTGGCAAATGCAAATGCAAATTCAGGGCCCAAACGAAAACAACCGAAAGACTTTTTATAATTATGAAAGGGGAAATGCAGCAAGTCGAATTGCACTTAAAAATGTCGCCGGATTTCGATCCCAGACGTTGTGGTCATCAGCCCCGGGTTTTCTACAGAATCCAATGCAGTCCTCATAAAACTAAAATCAACGACCGTTTTTTAACGTCCTCTCTGAGAATCGGTGGTATTACAGAGCTTCCATTAGTGGATATTCCGAGTCTACAAAAATTTTTATATGACTCAAGATTTTTGACAAGATATTTTTATAAATTTATAGTCTTTTTGTTTGAAAGTTCTTCGGCTTTCGCAAATGCATTAGTAAATTTGCCTAGATCTTAAAATTTTGACAATACTGAAGTTTTTTATTATATAGGCTGGTAAAAATGTATTATCTCAACTCAATAATCAAAAAACAAGTCTTTCCCAGATGTCATAAGTGAAATACCTACATTACAATTTAAAAAAAGTTTTTAAGAATTATTTTGAATTAGTTTCTTAAACTCGCAAATGCTACATAATTCTAAAAATTTTACAAAAGTTTGAAAATGAAAAGAACATTAACCACAATATCGATTTGAAAAGGAAAGTTAAACATATTTCCATTGAAAATATGCCCAACCGGTGAACAACTCTGTCAAAGCGAAATCGCAAAGTAAACCCAAGTAGGAGTGAAGCCGAAGGTCCACACAGATATCCCCATTACTGGCCAGACTTCAGCCTGGTCTTCCAAATGACCAACGAGAGTTGCCGAGACAGTATGCTTTTCAGGTTTAATGTAGAATATGCAAATTGCGCATAGCTAATTTGCATTTATGACAAAAATAATAACTAATAATCTGGCCGAGAAAAGGGGGGAACGGAAACCGAGACGCAGATGGATATGGAAATGGAGACGGAGATGGATTCGGAGATGGATACGGATACGGGGACCCGGCGACAATGACACACGAGAGATATGCGAGAAATTTACTATAATACTTCCAGGAAGGCAGATAGAGAGTGCCGACCGAAGGGCGTAAAGCACGGCGAGCAAACAAAACAGCATTCGGCTCGGACATTGGACATTGCTCGCTGGCCAACAGAAATGACCATGACGGGTCGCCAGTTCCAGCATCTCAGCATCCCAACTCCCCAGTTCCCCAGCTCCCCAGCTCCCCAGCTCCCCAGCTCCTCATGTTCCTCAAAAGTGTTCGTCTCCCGGTAAACTCCACTCCAAAAGGTGTCGCGCGCCAAGCAAATTAGCGGGTGTGTCCAATTCGAAAACGAGCCTTGGAACTCGGGAGGATGTCAGTCCTCCTTAAAGTCACACACATTTAAAGAAGCACTTGGAAAAATAGTCAATAGGAAGTTTTTTTAATTAATCAGGAAAAAGATTTGTAAATTTTTACTAGGATATACAGACCAGAAGGCAAATTGTAGAAGTAAAGAAAATGATTTCCCTGTGAGGCCTGCAACGGACACACTACACTTCAATAAAAAAAGATTCACTTAAAAAAGATCATATGAAACAATATCATATCAATGAAACCTAAGTTCATTATCGAACGGAATGTTTAGAAATGAACAATATTTAAAAATATTATATGGGAGAGAGTAAAGCGGAAAATTCGAAAAATGAGCTTAGTTTTTGTTTTACAAAGCTTTGCATCTGTCTCGTTTTCATCAGAAACTAGGTAAATAAGAACTAAATATAACCCAGTAATGAGTGATTTTTCGCCGAGTGCATTCCTAGACCATGTGTGCCAGTGTCTTCAATGTCGAGACCCTTTGTCACGTGAAATCAAATCAGGCATTACAATTTCACGCTCAATCGCCAATGCAATTGAGCCGCACAGCCGTCCCTGTTCCGATATTCCTTTAAGTGTTTGGGTATCCCAGGTTGCTTTCCGATTGCCGCCACTATGTCTGCCACAAATCCAATTGGTTGCCGGGAAGCCGGGATCATTTCAGAGTTTTTCCGGTGGCCTCGCTTCCGAAAAAATAAAACCGGAGGGGCGGCATCCAAGCGTGAGTTGCAGCTGGAGCAACAGTTAAATGATTTTCACACCCAAAATTAAATTTATATTTATCCAGAGATCTAGAGAAATATTTTTCTAATTTCTACAACTACTTGTTAATGGCTTAATTTATGCGACAACACGAACTCTTGCAGTGCGACTTAAAAATTTCACTCAGCGTTTTCGGGATAGTCCTTGCCACAAGTCCTGTGTCCATTGTTTGGATCACGTTCCCGCGCCGATATCGAATCGGTTCGATCTCAGAGGCAACTTTGTTTCCAAGTGAACAGCGCCGAGGAATAGCCGAGGAGATCCTGGATCCATTGTCCTCTTCTTCGTCCTGGCATTCCGCTATCGGATAACAAAGCCCGCATACGCGGTTCGTTTTCGTCCTCTTGTATCCGAATCGTTGGCGCTTCCAACTTGTAAGTTTTTTCTCTCTTACAAAAAAAGGGTTCGGGATTTTTGTGCTGAAAATATGGGAATCTCTCCGTGTCCAATGTGCACAGGCATGTGTGCATATTATGCCATCATCGAACGTCTTGAGATACGGATCTAGATCTGTGGGCTTGGCTGTCATGTAAGCATGGAAAAGTTGAGGGTTGATCCGAGGAAGCCCCTAGACTTAGAGCATAGAAGTATTTCATCTCACACTCTTTTCTCAATTCTTCTTGAAAAAATGTTTTGTTGTAGTGAAATTCATAATTCAAACTACACTTATTTTCTCTAAAATATAATGTTTAAGCGGACGTTGTAATGTCTTGTTAAACCAGGATTACAAATCTATTCAAATCTTTATCTCTATACAAATCTATTGAAATTAGAACACGCTTAGTCCGGTATTTTTATTTACTTTTTATTTTAAAGAGAACATAAGCAGAACATTACCCATATTTATTGGCATAGGGCTTATTAAAAATTCCTTCATTCGAAAAAACCTTCCTCAATGCAAAGTTAAGATCCCAGGTCTTTTTCCGATTTAGCTGACTTCGTTAGGGCGCCAGTGCAAGTGAATCACATATGTAACTTATCTGCGGTGAGAGGGACTATAAACGAAAAAGAATATTTAAAATTTTTGCACGTTGAGCCAAGATAATGAACGATGTTGCAGTTGCAGCGGCAACAACAACACTCAACTGCTGCAGCTGAGGGCGAAATATTGCTGCGCGTGCAAGAAATTGTAAACGTCATATGCGATTAGCTCATCGACGCCAGCAAAACAAACAAAAAACAAAGCCAAGAAAGAAGCCGAAATATTGTAAGACATAAAACACTGGCAGCTCAAAAGAAAAAAAGAAGACATTATCGGCAACGACAACAAATCGGCAACACGTGCCATCGAGCCGGCTGACAAGTGCCAAAAGATACTCGTACTATTCGTGATCGATCAATGAATGAATCGCGTAAAGTCCAAAATACGATACGATGACAACAAATAATGACAAAATACAAATTGTGCATCGCACAAGGCCGTGCCTCGAACCTTATGAATAAACAGACCTATATATTATTTACAAGATTTTTCTGATTAAATGTTTTGGTTCTTTATAAAAGATATCTTAAGAGATAAAAAATTTAAGATTTTACAGATTCAATCTCTTATCTGTAACCTTTCGAAATGAAACAAAGCTAAAGAAAAAATTTAATTGAATTAAACATAACTCTAGAAAATTTTCATATTCTTCAACAGAAGTATTTATGTAAAACTTTTATCTAAATCGTTGGCTTCCAATGGGTTAACTGATGATCAGACCTCTGTCTTATGCACATAAATATCTGATTCAGGGGTCAACTTTGGGCTTGGATAACTTTTATTATAGCTGGCGTCGCCCTCCGATTTGACTGAGCTCAGCAAATGTCGCGAAGAAAGTAAAGTCGCTGCGATTCTGGTGAAATGCAACACTTTTTGCTAACGCCGCACAAGTCACGGTCGCATCTTATGTTTGTTTATTTTCGCCAGCATGTGACATTGTCCGCGGCGAAGGCGACATTGGAACCTCCGCTCAGCACCGCCGAAGAGCTCTCCAAACGATTACACCCAGTCCCAGTGCCAGTTCCACTCGAATCGACTCGAATCGAAAGCAATCTACGGCGGAGAACCCAGCGAAAAGCCGAGCGGATGGATCGCACTGGGCAGCGGCGTCGGCGCTGACGATTGGAGCGTTTTAGTTGCGGTCAGCTTAGTGTTGGATCAAGTCGCACTGCACCCAGTGACCAAGTCGTCGTCGTTCCCGTTCTTGTTCTCGTTCTCGGTCTCCAAGTGAAGTGCTTTTATTTTTTTTCGGGCCGCCTATTGTCGCGCGCGTTTTATGTGGCATAATTTACGATTGCGCGGACGTCTTGCAACTTCATCTTGGCCAGCGACTCCCTCAAGCGATGCAGCCTGCACTCCCAGCAGCCCGCTTCTGAGATGGACCCAAAAAGTAATCATTAGCCAGCGGAGTAGCCAGTGCTGCACACGAAGAAATTTTTTAGAACTTTGAAAAGATCTACTCGAAGAAGGACTAACTAGTGATGATCAGTAGAATACAATTTTGTTTTTTATAAATTTTTAACGAATTTACAAGCCCGTGC